TTATTAAACACAGTACTTCTTTTTATGAAATCTGAAAAAAATACCGAATATTCGAATCTTAAATTCATATTCGAATATCAACTCATCGAATGAATATTCGAATGTTCGAATATTCGTTGACATCCCTAAAAAATAATACTCTTTAATTCCTGAAATAACAAAAAGTATATTCTCAGGGTTTGACAAAGTTTGTATTGGTTTCAAAACCATTTAAATATTGATTTCAAAACCTTAGGAAATTTGTTGATTTCTGGTAACTCTATTGGACTTTTTCCCCTTTATTTCTGCTGCACTTGGGAAATTATGCAGAAGCTGGAGTTGCAAGTAAATCAAGTTTCTTTCTGTGGGTTCCACCCTGATATGATTTAGATTAATATGTGTATGTCTGATATAATTCCTCAGTTTTTTTCCTCTCTTTCTTAAAATGATAAAATTTTGCAATGAAAAATTTATGAGTCAGAACATGTACAATGTGTGTTATTTGTAGTCAGTTATGCTGAAGTATGTTATTACACAATGAGATGGACAATGAGATGGATGTGAAGTCTGCATGAACAAAAAATATTATTATTGCTGTAAAAATAGATGAGTAAAGACTAGCTGTTTCATCAGAATTGAATATGAAGCATTAAAGCTTTTTCAAGGAAGTCAAAATTACGTCATATTTGTCATATGATAATATATGGTTATAGTTCATTATTTGTTTTGTATTAATAAAAAATGACTTTCTTTTAGGCATTTATTAGTCATTACATTTATGAGTCTGTTCACTATAATTTTCTATACTATAGTATTCATTATTAAAATGTATCAGTGCTGGTAATATTGGAAAGAATTCAGAGAAATTTCCCATTTCATGAAAATGATGCCCATATCTGACTTGAAGAAAAAAGAACTGATATTTTGTTTGCAATTTTGATCACCAGGCTGTTTAAAGAATGAAAAATAAATGCTTTTTGGGAATCCACATAATGATGTAAAAACGAAAAATTGAATCTTGTTGAAATGATAGAAAATTCTGTTGCCTCCATTACAATACAAGGGAGTTGTGGTTAAAATCGTGACTTTTCCTTCCCATAGAAATATGTGGACTATGTCTACTGAGTGCCAAGGAAGACATGGTATTCTATCTGTAAATCATCAAACTTATTGATTTTGTCTTAATCAATCATTACTCAAAAGAGAAGATGGCCTTGAGAAAGGGTTGATAGATGAATTTGGGGTTGTCCCTGGCATAGGTCATTGACGTGACAACAATACATGGTAGAAATTGTCTACATTCATTAACATATATCTAGGTGCTGTGAACCTGACAGCCTTAATAAGAAATATTTCACAGCCAAGATATACGGAAGTGAAATCAAAATGAATTTGGACTTCTGAGAGATGATGGTGTATTGAGTGGGATGTGTGACTTATTGCAAGCTTGATGCACCCATTCTGCACTCAGCAAATGACATATATTTACTTTTGTCTCCCTTTGAAGATTTTTTTTTGTAAGTTGATGGATTATCATATTAATCAATTTTCCAAGTGAAAAACATTTCATTTGTACTTTTAAAGTTATTTTTGTTTGCTTTTTTTCAAGAATTTTCTTTTTAAAATGTGAAAACTGACTTTTCATTTTTCTTGTATGCATTTAAAAGTTGAAGGCTTAGTCATACAATTTATGGTTCACTTGAAGATTTTTATTGCAACGTTTATTTGAAAGAATTTAATTAATTTGTTTCTCTTTGTTATGCTCAAAAGAAAATAGGTTCATTCATATTCATTCAAAAGTTAGGATATATACATATGATGGGCATGTATGATGTGTTCCAGAATTATATATGATTGTTGATGATTCATTATTTAGATGAACTTGAATTAAGTAAACATTTTACTAAATCAATTCATTAATTAAAAATCTTCTGGTGATACCTTAAATTGCTGTAATTTGAGCCAAGTAGATTATTCATCTATTAAAACCAAATGTTCTTATTAATTGTGTCATCTTTTTGCTGATTCATAAGAGTTGAAGCTTTAAATTACTATGTAATAATTTGCAAGAAGTTCTTCAAGAAGGCTGCAGTAAAAGAATAGCTAGTTTAATGGTCCATTCAGAGAACTCATGTTTTTTGACAATGTTTGCAACTTCCTTTTCATGATCTGTAAATGAGGTAATGTTGACCTAATTTTAATGTGCATTTGTCCACACTTGGCTGACTCATTGAGCACCAAGCAGCTTTATCAAGTGTCTGCATTCCAAGAAAGTATTTAATCTTAATGGGCTTGTTTGACATGTGATATATAGTGTGTACATTGAATTCATTTTTGCTTTAGAGCAGTCAAGGTAATGTGCGTCTGACAGGCAGTAGAAGGAAATAAGTGTATTAACATACGCAAGTTTTTTATAAACAGAGGTGCCTTTTATGGAGACAGAGCAGGCATAAACAGTTAACTGGCTTGTGGATGATCATGACACTTGACACTTACTACACCTTACAGATCAGGATTGTCTTTATTGTGGATTAATTCGTCTTAGTTGCAAGGGAACTTGTATGTTTTTTAGACAAGCCACTATGTCTACAGCATCCAATAGGTGCTAAACTGACTTTGGAGTCTTTCTTTGCAATTTGATTTTCTGGTATCAAATCAATGTTTTTATTTTGAAAGCAGTCAGTGATCCTGTTGTGATATGGAATTGTGAATCCGAATTGAAAGTTACCATCTGTGAAAGAATTTTTCCATGTATGAGTTGAAGAAACTAGCAACTTTTTTCTTATGATAGTTAGAATAAAAGGGCATCAAAATAGGGCCTATACTGTACACTAGTTATTACTTCCCTTTTGGAACCACTGTGAGAAAAAATGCACTGATGTGTAATGTGAGTACCAACTTTTTCAATTTTCTTATATTTCATAATTATATTTTGGGTCTAAAAGAATTAAACTATTAGTTTGCTACATTGTATGCAACGCAATTTCTAATTTGAATTCAGAAGTTACTAAGAAATGACTTGGTATACATGCAACCATTATGTTTACCATGCTGCTGAATTTTTGAATTGAGAAAAGAAATATTTCAGGGATTTTTTCTGTAGTCAGAGAGGATTAACATTTTGGTTTGCAAAAGAGTTTCCCATCAATATTTTTGAAGAAAAAAATTGCACTTCTCTTTTTTTCTGCAATTCTTTGCAAGAGTGCATATATTGTCATTATCCTGGTGTTGCAGGAATATAAGGCTTAGATTACAGGAAAGAAGGTAGTTCAACTCTGGACATATTTTGCTGATTACAAGAAATTATACCACAAATCAAGAAATGTGTTAAATTGAAGAGTGCTGTATTTTTTTCTTTTTTTAATAATAAGTTTGAATATTGATAGAGATTTAAGTATTCATAGTTAAATTTTGGCCTCACATTCAGATCATGTATTGTAAAACTAGAAAATTTTATTGCACAGTGTTTCATGTATTTGGGATTTTAAAATATATTTAAAAAGGATGAATTGGTTCAGCTTAACAGGCTAAGTGCAAGATTTAGAATCATAAGTTGTTGAGTATAATGAAATTTTCAGTTTTGATTGTTGTACTATGTGTACATTTGTTTGTAAAGTTCATAATTGAGAATGTTGTGAGATAATGGATCTTTATCTTGCCTTGTTGATGCATGAAAATTTAAGTGCAGGAAACCTCAGGCATTAGGGTGTATTAAAAGAATGTTTTTTTGATGTGAATGTTTTATTTACTTAAAATAACATGATGTTTGATTTGTCAGCATGAACATTATGCAAAACTAGTAATCATTCCAAAGTCGGTCGAATATTGAACAATTTTCCCTCATAAACAAAAATTTCATTTAAAGTGCAGGAAACTTTTCATTGAGTGCTCCATTATTTAGACTAGCAGTGATGTAATAAATGGGGCAAAAGGGTTGATCAATATGTAATTAGCACACCTTGATTTCAGTTTTGGAGATTTCTTATGACGTCATTTTGTTGCAAGTCTGTGATGTACAAAAGAGTTCACTTTTGTTTTTAGTCCCTCTTGTAATTGACAGAATTCATCTGATTAATAGGCTGTTCTAAAATTACGTGTTGTCTCGCAAGTCACAAAAGATGTATTTTTTGTGGATACACTGCTGTACGTTTTGATGTATCTAAGTAGAACATTAGTAACATTTCCGTTGAGAGTGTAACCAGGGACCCACACGTCAAACAGGGAATCTCATTGTTTTTAATCGCTTCACAGAACCACTAACTGTCAACTGTTTGTTTTTTGACATGGAGTTTGAAATTATCATTTTTATTAAGGTTTTGTGTCATGTGGGTATATACTTAAAGGCTGACCTAATTAAAGCTAAATAAACATCATGTGTTCAACTTCAAAAAGAGTACAAATGTCTCAGTTTAGCTTGATGTGGAGTATCAATTATATGCATGGTCAACAAATTTAGATATCTTTATTGTGCATAAATATTCTATTGGTTTTTCCATGTATCATTGTAGTTGAAAAATTGAATATTCAAATTTTTAAATGATATGGTGATAATATATTTCATGTATGTTCTGCGAGAATAATGTGAAGAATGATTCCTAATTGTGGCTGCCAGTTGGTAGGATCAAGTGATAGCTGGTAAAAGGTTGTTAAAGCCATATCTTTATGAATTGTATATATGTTGAGTTTACCCATTTACAGAGTATACAAGAATTTGTAAGGGTGAAAGTTTACTTTAAAATGGTGCAATTTCAGAAGTAAAAAAGAAATGACTTTAAACCATGCTCTGTAATAAAAAGCAGGAAGGCTTCAGTAGAGTATGTTGTGTGTAAAAGTTTCCTGGCCAATTCCATTGATCGCCAAGGGCATGTGACACTTTTAAGAGGATGCAATGGAAATGCTCTGTAATATTTTCATGCAGTCTGTAGTTATGTTCACTCTGAATTCTCTAACAATTTTGAATGAAATATTGCTAACTAACTAGAATGATTACATACTGTTAATCAAGATTTTTTAAATTTCAGAATACAGATAATGAAGTGATATTTGGACCAATGAAGCTGAAACAAAAGAACTTATCAGTAAGTGTGTATACAGTGTATTTTAAAAAAAAATAGAATTTTCTTAGGCCATCTTTCAAAAAAAAAAAAAGATTTTGCTTGCCCTCTCCTGACTCAGGATAGAAAATTGGGTAGATAGAAAGAAACATTTTCTTTTAAAGTTAAAAACACTTGCGAATATGAAGTTAAAATAGTAAACAATGGGATGAGAAAACTTTGGAATGAATAAAAAATAACTGTTTCCTGGAGGTTTAAAAAAGTTTTGAGTTGGACCATTTTTAGTCAATCTTTCGGGAGAGGGCAACCAAACAATTTTTTAAAGATGGCCTTATCTGCAGTTTTATACTATTTTGAAGATTACTTACTTACCCTTAATAAGCATCCACCCCTCAGTCTGACAATAAGTGCCCTATCTTATGGCTTAAAATATTACATTTCCCCTGAAAGCAGAATTTTATTTAACTGAATATGTCTATTTATTGTTGAAAGAAAAAGACTTTAAAATATAATACAGAATAATATAGAGGCAGAAAATTCTTAACTTTGGTATAGAAACATGCAGTCAACTTGCAGAAATTAACAAATTTCCTATATGGTATCATTTATATCCAACAAAAACTATTTTATCCATTCAAGATGAAGGTCTTAATTTGGCATGTGCAATATTATGAGAGGCTTGTTTGTTTGCTTTTAATGTGGGAAAAATAATCATGAAATTTTTAATTGTGATCACTTTTTGAAACACAATAGATAGATCTCTGCAAGTCATCATGATTTTGACTTCGTTAATAATTCAGACCTTACATTTCTTTATTTTACATTTTAACTGTTTCAAAGAAACTATTCAAGATATATATATGTTAGCTTATGTGCTAATATATAATTTGGTGACAATTTATCAATCATGTCTAATTTTTAGCTCACCTTAACGAAGGTGGGGGAGCTTATGTAATACCGTGGGTGTCAGTGTCCCAGGTTAAAGTTTTTGGAGCAGATTTCTTTTCAGGTGTTTGTATGCCCTATATTAATCAGAGATGGATGGGCAATGCTTCTAGTGTGTTTCATTGTACCAGTCAAGGTTTCAGATGCTGCAATTTTAGCTAAAGAATGAGCAGGTTAATGTTTTTGGAGCAGGTTAATGTTTTTGGTGCAGGTTAAAGTTTTTGGAGCAGGTCTCATTTCCAAGTAACTATAAGCCGTATGTTGACCAAACTTGCATGGATGATACATCTAAGGATGCACATTACTGGACTTGCTTTGGATGCTGGATCTGACCTACATTTTGTGGATGAGTGACCAGGTTAAAGTTTTTGGGCAGATGTCATTTCCAAGTAACTATAAGCCCTATGTTGACCAAAATTGCATGGATGATACATCGGATGCACACCACTTGACTTGCTTCGGATGCTGGATCTGACATACATTTCCGGATGAGTGATCAGGTTAAAGTTTTTGGAGCAGATCTCATTTCCAAATAACTATAATTCCTACATTGACCAAATTTGCATGGATGGTACACTTAAGGATGCACACTACTTGACTTGCTTCGGATGCTGAATCTGACCTACATTTTCCGGATGAGTGACCATGTTAAAGATTTTGGAGCAGATTTCATTTCCAAGTAACTGTAAGTCCTATGTTGACCAAACTTGCATGCATGATACATCTAAAGTTTAAAGATGCACACTACTGGACTTGCTTCGGATGCTTGATCTGACCAATATTTTCTGGATGAGTGACCATATTAAAGTTTTTGGAGCAGATCTCATTTCTAATCAATTATAAGTCCCATATTGACCAAACTTGTATGGATGATACATCTAAGAGTGCACCCTACAGACTTGCTTTGGATGCTGGATCTGACCTACATTTTCAGGAAGAGTGACCAGGTTAAAGTTTTTGGAGCAGGTCCATTGCCAAGAAACAATAAAGCCTATCTGAACCAAACTTGCATGGATGCTGCATTAATTAAGGGACGAACACTCTTAAAGTTGCTTCAGATGCTGGATTTGATTATATTTTCTGGATGAGTGACTAATTTAAAGTATTTAGATAAGGCCATTCCCAAGCCCTTTCAGATCAAAATTGCATATATGTTGCATATAGGGATGCACACTACTAGATAATTAGTTTAGTGTGGTACTTTGACTTACTTAAAGACAACATTCGTTGAGGTGAGCTCTGTAATCTCTGATTACCTATGGGTTTTTTTTTTTACTTTGACTTTCCCAGTGACCTTTGACTTTTCTATTTTGTATAAAACTCAGTTTTAAAGAAAGAATTCAAGATCTTTTCATCAAAATTCATACACTAACACAAATTTTATATTGCATTACTATGAATCCTGGGGAGGGCATTCATGTCCTGTGGACATATTTCTACTTTAACTTTCATATAAGATGATCTGAGTTTAAATATAGTTTGAAAACAGGTCAACATAAAATAAAATTTGAATTGCTTTACTTCAGATTGATGCCATTGTTACTTTATATTGGGTTTTATGTAGGTCAAGGAGTAAAAATTTTAAGTGTTACCCTCAACTTCATGCAGTATTTATTATGTAATACTGAATGATTTATATAAATAAAGGGCACATAGATTCTGGGCTCAGTAGATATATATATTTTTTGAATATCACCCATTGTCAAGCAGTGTTTACTGTTGCTAAGTTGTTTCATCGTTCATAGTGTAAGTGTTCTTAAAATGTTTCTTGATGAATCAAATTCATTACAAGTATTTACATGAAAGTATAATATAACTGTAATATTTTTTTGTTGTTGTGTCTGTTTTTATTAATCAAAAACAAGCAATAATGAAGTCTGGCATGACTAGCGTAGCAACTTCTTGGTTTCAATGTATGATTTCAACGTACTGGCTCTGAGGCCATGGGACGTAATGTGTTCACTATTGATCTCATGCAGTCTCACTTTTCCACTATTAATTCCTTTTGCAAAAGTGAGACTGAGATCAAAAAGTGAGCTCGTCCATGTTTCAGTGCCCCAGAGCTTGGTTAATTGTCCAGCTAAATAGTGAAAATAAAAATTTCTGAAAAAATAGCTGTTCTGTCAAAAACATATTCAAAAAGTACTAGTCAAGCTTGAAAATTTACTGGCAACCTCTTCTTTCCCGCTGTATGTCAATTGAGGCATATTGTTCACTTTTTTGCCAGTATGGGTAATCCAGAACTAGGGTAAGTCTTGGGCTCTTTGAACCTAAATTCATATATTTACTTCTTTCTTTAAAAATAAAGCTACAACTAAGGTATTTTTTCTGAAAATAGATTAAAACTGCATATTTAATTGATGTGACATCATATAAAATTCCTCACATTTTCAGGGAATTTATTAATATATTAAGTAATATTGAAAAGTTTTCATTTATGGTTACACAAATGAGTGAATTTTAAGATTTACAGGATATTTAATAAGTTTGAAATATTTGACACAAGGTATGTCTAAGTCACTGTCTATACCTTGTGAGTGATTGAAGGGTAACTCAATCATTTTATTAGCCAATATCATTCAAATTAATGACAAGACTATAAGTCAGCAGGAGAAAACTGTCTTATTTCCTGTAATTTGGAGATGATGAATTGTCATTCGGAGTTTACTGTGGTGACCTAATTTACAAATTGTCCTTCTCAGGCATTGTGGTTCACAGAGAGAGAAAAAAGTGATAAATTGTACTTCTAAGCTAACACTGTGGAGTGTGTTTTCATTCAAAGTATCGTGACAATCATTAGCCTAAATGCAATGAAACAAACTGTCTAATTACAGGGGAGACACTTTTGAGTGTATATTCATTATGGCTATATCTTTTTTACGCATTATTTTAATGATAATTATTTTTATTATAATAAATTCAACTTACATATCATCTTTGTTTTCTTAGTAATATAAATATTTTTATATCTGCATGAAATTTCTGTAAGTTAATGGAAACACATAAGTATGTATATCCATTAAATAATTTAGAATGGTTAATTTGAAAGTATATATTAAGTAATGAAATCATACAAAGAAATATAAAGTAAGAAGGTAGTTATTTTAATTTACACACATAGACATAAATGAAGATATACCTTTATGTTTTATTTTAAATTTACAATAATTTCTTTAAGAAAGATTACTTTTTTATGAATACATTCGTCTATTGTAGTCCTATGACTCTAACAACTAAATAGCAATGATCAGTCTCGTATTCAGAGGATTTGGATGCTCTGTTGGCAATATATAGTCATAAATAATACTGGCAATATTATAAAAATAGACTTTTTTTGAAAATAGAAACAGTTTAAAAATGTGTAAAGAATTTTCAACTTCTCCAAATATATATTTTAAAATATATACTAAAGAGGCATAATTTATTTTTTCTTGGAATTATAATAAGCTGCATGCATAGTGCTGACTGAAAAAGTCAGCAATATGTATAGTTGCCATCTTCAGTAAGTTGTGTGGGTTTATAATGTAGAATTATTAATGGAGATTAAATAGCTTCCACTGTAATTGTCATTAAAAGCTCACTGTTTTACTTAAGAAAAAAAAAGCATTCTTCACTTAAACAGGAAATGTAATGTAAAGAAGCTAAAACAAATATCAATTGTTTGTTGTTGATCTTTTTTTTTTTTTTTGGTTATTAATATAAAAGCAATTTTTTTGACAGTATGAAAAGACAATGTCTTTGTGAAATTGATTATTATTAATTATTTGTGAATTCCTGCTTTGTTATTTTTCAGCATGATTGTGTGTGTTTAAAAAGTTGATTGATCTTCTGTATTGATGGGATTAGAGAATGAACACAACATTACCAATGAATATTAAAACTGTTTACTAATACTGGATTCATTTGTTCTAATGATGATACAGTGCAAATACTTATGGTTGGGGGATTTTAATTGAGTAAGTCTGATTGATTTCTGTTCTGTTTTAGTGTTATTTGTTTTGGGAAAAAATTGATCAATCAATTAAGCCCATAGCATAAGGGCTCGGTTTCAGGATGGTGTATTTTGTGTATTGTGTGGGTTTTTTTTCTATGTCTATATATTCTGATTATAATAAAAATTTAAAACGCTGAAATTCACAATTATAAAAATGTGACGGAAGTGAAGTTTTCTCAGAATATATTCTCGTAACATATTCATAAAGGATGTTATTTTGCTTGATATGTTCTGTGCTGGTTTAATTATATGAAAAGTCTGAAACATCATATAATATTCCCGTATTTTCATCAATACATCTTCTGTATACAAAATGCCACATAATTAGTATATAAAGTTTGTGAATGAGAATAGTTCCAATGGAAGCCAGTGTTTAGTAAGAATTTCATCCCTGTTTATTGATAGAGAGTGGGAGGGTAATGGTAAAGTTTGTGGTTTCTTTTTATTAGGAATTTTTACACTTATTACATTGCTAATCACTCATTCTTCATTACATAGCAGTTTTTAAATTCATTAATAATTGATTCAAATGAAGTACTGCCAATCCTTTGAAGAAGATACAATGGTATAATGAATCATATTTTTTACTACATTTTATATTCTTTTATAAAATGCATGAATTATAAAGTTGAGGTTATAGTTGCTCACTGACATTTTCCACCTGTAAGCAATGATTTGAGAAAATTTGCAAATACATGGATATTTTCTAAATCTTGTACGGTAACATTGGTAGACACTACTATTACTCAGAGACAAGTTATCGGGTCAAGGTGAATCAGTGTCGGCCAAGCAATGATGAACAGGAACACCAACACTTGATAATGCACTTCACTTTGCAGTGTTCAAACATGAAGGTACAAAATAACATCTGTGTCAACATGCTTTGCATACTCAATCAAGTGTTAAGAGCTGATGAATGTAAAAATTTGTTATACTTTTATCCTCTTGAATTATATGCATATGATGAAGATAATTTTAGTTAAATATAAACAATTTGATTTTTGTATAAATTAGTTTTTCAAATTTATTTAGTTTATTGCGATTCTGGAAAATTATTTTGCATGCTAATATTTTCTCTCAGTCACAGAGGAATTTTCCAGGGATGGAATATAATGGATTAAATCATGATAATAGTAAGGTGTGGTTCACATCTTGTGGGGCAAAATGACACAATCTAAACAGGATTCTTAGATATTTTATAGTAAAATTTAGATATGCTTGTACTGATTATATTGTTGGTTTCTTCTTTCTATGTTATTTGCAATTTGAATATCATTATATCAATTATCATTTTTGACTCCTCATTGTCATTTAATCTTTTGATGTTACAAATGAAGGTTCTGTTCTCCTGCATTCATTTGCTCTAATGTTTCAATAAAGAGTGTCATTATTTTTTTTTTTTAATCTTTTCTGCCTTAATGTCATAGGAAGTTTATTGAACTTTGAATCATGAGTTCATACTGTTTCTATTAAAGTGATTCATTAAGAGTTGGGTAGTATTTAAAAGGTAAACTTTTGTAATTTTAGATATTACTGGTGTTTGCCAAGGAGGATGCACAGAGCGATGGTTTTTGGTGGGCAGCAGACAAAATGGGCTATAAGTGCTTTATAGCTCATAATGCTGAAGGAGCCCTAGAGTGTTACTTAGACAAACATCATGATGTGGTCATCATTGACAACAGAAGCAGCAAAAATTTTGATTCTGAAGCTCTTTGTCGGTAAGTTACTACATTACTACGTGTTTAAAGATATAATACAAATACAGCATTGATTTTCCATTTTTTTTTTACTCGATAAGTTACAACAGTTAATATAGGATTAAATGTTCTTTTTTCAGAATTTATTGATGAGTAAACTCATGCCTTTGAACTCACAAACTGAATAAAAGTGCGAAGCACTTTTATGTGAAGTTTGTGAGTACAAAGACATGAGTTTACACATCGATAAATTCTGAAAAAAAGAATGTTTTATTCTTATAATTCCAATTACGAAGTTTTAAAATTATTTCTCTTTGAAGCCTCCATACAATCCACTATTTCTGTACACAGCGTAGGAATACTTTATGTCGCAATGTGGAAATGAAATGTAATTGAGATGAACATCGATAAAGTTTAACTTAAATTGTCAAACATTCAATAAAACAAACTTATGAAAACTCTTCGAATATTGCTTAAGTCAATGAATTGTAAATGCAAGTAGACTTCAGAAGAATTCGTCCTTGACCATGTTGACATTATCGACAAATGTTCTAAAATGAAAGTAGCATACCGACGACACCTTTGATTTGCTCTGGTTTGTTTAAAAACGGAACAAAATATAGGATGTAGAATTATGAATTTTATGCTTATTAGGCAAGAGTCTGAGGTACGTTTCTCTTTCCTATCAGCAACCAAGAACTGAGCTGATTTGCTTAGCATTAGGAACAACAATAATATCCTTTGAGAGATTTAAACAAAAAATCACAATCCTGATCTGACAGTGACATAAACTTAAAATTCCTGTCTTTTAGTCCTGTATGTTGTCAGTATTGTATTTATTTAATTTAAAGTTTCTGTAATTGTTGAGCTAAAACAGAATAGAAGTAATGAATTGTTTCAATTTTTTTTTACAGTAAAAGCTAAGCCAAGAAAGTAGTTCTAGTTGAGAGATTTATTGATGTGTAAACTTTTTCTTGAATTTGTTCTCGTCCAATCAAAACACAGGAAATCAATAAATAAAATAGAATAGAATTATTATGTGTTTAAAAAAATTATGTTGGTGTTATTAGTCATGTTTTATGTTTCAAACAGTAAATAGTTTTATGTATGAAATATTAAATATCAAAGGGATCTTCATATTTAGTCAAAGTTTAAGTCCAAAGCTTTATGTCAGATCAAGGTCCTGATGAAACTTCAATTCGGTCAATAGTCCATAAGGACTTTCTTATTATGCCCCCGTTCGAATGAAGGGAGGGCATATTGCTTTGCTGCTGCTGTCTGTTGGTCAGTCTGTCTGTCTGTAGGTCCACCAACAGTTTCTGTTCATTTTCCTCGCAGTGTTTGCGCATAATGAAATGAAATTTGGTATACAGATTTATCATAAGAATATCTAGGTCAACCTGTTTTGGGTACAATCGAGCAATTTTTGACAGAGTTATTTCCCTTGGACTTTGAAAAATTCCAATTATTTACAGTTTCCATTCATTTTCTTTGGAGAGGTTGCACGTACTGAAATGAAATTTGATATACGTATTTATCATAAGTCTATCTAATTCAAGTTATGTTTTGGGTATGATCAAGCAATTTTTGACTGAGTTACCTGTATGCCCCTTGGACTTGGAAAAAGGACAAGTGCACTTCAGCAATGCTTAATGGGCCCTTTTTCTGTGCCGTTTTACTTTACAATATATTACCAAATCGTTCTCTTTTGGTAATAGTTAAACACAAGTGGATATTTCTAATTAAAATCACATTAAAATGTCACCTAAATCAGCATGGATTTGAAACAAATGAAGATTTTCAAATGCATATAGATACCCCAAATCCGGAAAAGTCGCACCGAACCTATTTTGAGTTTCATTTATTTAAATCAAGGGGAGGAGACATTTAAATCGACACTCAGTTGAACAATCTGATGGTGGATCATTGACGGGCACGTTTGCCGAATGATACTTCTTGCAGTATTTTACCTGTGAAAAAATCGAATGAAGTTGTATAGATGCCTGTAATCATAGTAATCAAACTAAGAAATTTGCACGCTTGCATTTGAAATAATACAATAAGTATTTACATTAGTTCCTTTAAATTTAAAATAAAAAAAAGGAATTTAGGTGGCTTTCAATACCAGTACCATTTTCTTGCATGAATGTTAAAAATGTTCGATACTTTTATGTATGATGACCTTTTTAACAAGACTAAACTCTCCTAACCCTCCCGTGTTCCTAAAACCAAATACATACAAACTTCTCTATGCAACATGACTTCGATATAATGATACAAAACGTGGCTATGTTTTACAGTGAGCACCTTTGAGGAATGTTTACTTGGGTAGAACTCACGTGACTACCGGTATTTTAAATAATTTATTCCACAGGTGGGTTCAACATAGGTCATACAGGTAAATAGCTCTCACTTGCTATAGGGAAAACATTGAACTTTTCATTCATTTTTAATATTTTAAGTACCAGCCTAATCTTGTACAAATTTCCTACTTTCACACAATTTTTATAAATGTATAATGCGTTTTTTGCCATTCGCACAAGTTTGTACAACGTTAGGCTGACAGTAAACAAAAGCTTTGAAATGAATGACCGTCCTTGATTTACTATAGAAAATCACAAATGTCGACTGACCCCTAACGCATTGTATGGCTTTGCTCTATGTATATTCATGAATTTCAGCGATAAAATTTGTTCAATCTTATGGTTTAGATATCAATTAATAATTTGAGATGAAAAATTATGCTTAATTTGATTCTTCATTTTTTCACATTTTACCGGGGTCCATAAGTGCACTCGTTTCATTTTCTTCGCAGAGGTTGCACATACTGATATGAAATTTGTTATACATATTTATCATAAAAGTATCTAGGTCAAGTTCTGTTTTGGTTACAATCGAGTAATTTTTGACAGAGTTATGCCCCTTTGACTTAGAAGAATTCCTGTTATTTTGGGGGGGGGGGGGGGGCATAAGTGTTTCAAACAACTCTTGTTAATATAGTTTTGATGTTTTCACAAGTCAACACATATATCCAACTAAAAGGCATTGAATTTGTTGCTTGTTACATTTTCTTTAGTTTTCCTTTCTTTTCGTAACATATAATGTATGTCACAAACTGTGATGTTTTGAGACATCATAGCTAAGCAATTGTGAGATTGAAAAGTGTAAACATGGACTTTAGCAACAATTTGGAGAAACTTTAGTCTGTGCTCTCTGTAAAGAGTATTTTCTTTATTACACTTTGTGAAGGGGAGGAAAATTGAAAGCTCTGTTGTGATTTTCATATTTTGTACAATCTGTACAATTAAAATATATCACTTGCAAAAATATCAATTTTCAGGGTTCGACACTAACGTTAGTCCGTTAGTCTCAGACTAATACATTTTCATTCGGACTAATAAAATCTGGGACTAATTAGTCCGAACGGACCAGTAAAAATTCCTAGAAACAATATGTATAATTTACCAATGTCCGATTCTCCACAAGATTCTTGACAGGTCGTTAGACAATTTCAAGTCAGCGCTTAATATTTTGACTGATTGATATGAAAAACTTTTTAGCAATCATAATTTATATGACACATAAAAGAAAGATGGCAGACATTTTGGATTTAATGTAAAGACAAAAGAACGAGGTCGGGAATACCATTGTACTCGTTGATCTCGAGATTTCAATGAATCTGTGCTGTGGAATAAATAATTTCACGTAAAATAAAATGCTTTGTTTATTTTTAAAAAGTATAAAAACATTTACTGAAATGTTTATTTTTAAATTAATGTTACAAAACATTGATGTTTCCTTTTTTGACGGACTCATAAAATTGCATGCGGACTAGTAAAAGTAAAGAAGCACTAGTCCGGCCGGACTAAAACCTAAAAAAGTTAGTGTCGAACCCTGATTTTATTCAAGGAATAAAATACAGTATGTCACTGTTGAAATTGTAATACCGGTAAATAAATCATACATGTTTTTATTGCTAACATTGCTAACCTCCAATATTAAAGTCTGTGAAGGACAGATACATGTATAGATTTGATATCTTCTCAAGATTTAAACCTTTGAAGAGGAAGTATATATATCAATGAAGAAGACCGTAAAGTAAAATATTTAGTATATATTGGTAAGAAATGGTTGGCCTTTATATGCTAGTAATGATTAAAATGTTAATGAATTCACAAGACACAATTTCTTATGAATGTTGAGATGCTGCTTTCTTATTTGTCTTGTTGTCTGAATAATTTATAATATGTGCAAGGTGATACTTGGAATGTGAACAATATTCAGGTTTACAGAATTTTCATTATAAAAGATAAATACCTTAATGATGGTAATTATATGTTATCAGTAGGAGAATTCAGGTCTCTTTTGCCTGTGGTCATATAGACCTTGTGGAGTGGTACTCAGTCAGATCTTTGTCAGGGATATTGGCTGAAAAGGAGTGTTAAATAATAAGTTGGAATATGTTTCCTGCTAAATGTAATGTCAGGTAAAGCTTCAAAGAATTCTCTTTTAACAACAGGATAAGCTGACATCTTGAGCTTCAATTACTGTTTGTGGGGTGGGAGGCAGTATTCCAGTAAATAAGGCCTATTTGATTTATGGTAATATTAGGGAACTGTTCTTCACAACTTGCCAGTTCATCTTGTTGATATTTTTAAAAGAGATTTTATCTATCTATGTGCATATCAGAAGGGGGGAAGAATGGTAAAGATATATAATATTCTGAATTTAGCTGATATCTAATGTTTGATCAGATTGGGAAATTCATCCCAACAATTGAAAGTCAAATACAAACTTCAGTCATGATGTATTCATGAGATGTCAATTTGAAGACCTTATTGAAAGCACATTAATGGGAAAATAGACATATGGATAATGTCATACAACAGAGAGAAGTGTATTCATGGTTCTTGATGCATGTAAATTTTCATCACAATCAAGATTAATGGAATTTCAGGATTTCTTGGAAAGCTTTCTTCAGTAATAAAGTAATGATTCTTTTATTTTCTTTGAGAATCGTCTTGTTCAGGTTGAGATTTTCATCCATAATTTCAGTAGCCAGTTTGTCTGTTTGTCCATTTTTGCATATATTCATTTACCACATTCATTATTAGACTCATGCAATGAGCACTTAAGTCAGTACAAGCATTCTCCTTTATCAAATCAGAAAATATATTTTCCTTTCCTAATGACTTAATAAACTAAATGAATATCAATTGAAATCATGGTTGGCATGTAAGAGAAGATCAGAACACAGGCATTTGCTGGTAGATCACTTTAATCCAACTGATCGACAAACTGGGGGTGTAAAAAATTACTCTTTTGTATATTCCTGCAGGTTTGTTAGAATAAAGCGATTTACAGACCTGTGGATCAGAAGTATACGTATTACAGTGTTGAGTAGCAGTAACAGATATATATTGTTTATTATTATGGCTTATATATATATATGTATATGCTGAAATTCAAGAGTTCACTAAAAGTTACATTTACTATGTTAAATAATGTGCAAGTGTAATTAATTTTGTGGGTGTAAAAAAATGAGTGATTGACTTCAAGATTAAATAAATTTTATGTTGTCTTTTCAATGGCTGATTAGATGGACCGACAACACAGTAACTAGAGCAAGGTAAAACTGATTAGCTATGTGTTTATTGCCATGCATCCAGTGCGTAACGCAGCTGTATGAAATCAGTATGCAGTTGAACTCGATGGTTGGTCAGGTGTAAAAAGTTGTCTCCATTTCACTGTCTGCTTGAAATGGGATGTTATTGAAATATGAAGACCTTATGATTTTGGTTATATGTAGTTTATTTATTTCAACATGTATGCATTAAGTATTCAAAAATTGTTTATGGCATATCAAATGAATTTGCCAAAGGAAGACAGGAAAGTTACATAAAAGACTTTAGTACAGGTTGATTCATGTCAAAACACTTGGAATTTGATTTTCCTGTATGCTTCTAATATGCAGTAATTTTTTTTTTTACTGTTTTAGATCAATGAGGGCAACTAAGTCCAGTGATCACACTGTAATTGTGGCAATCACAAAAAGGGTGTAAGTATACATGGTGTTAAGATTTGATTGTGAAGTCTAACTTGTATGAGGTTTGTCCGGTAAAATTGTAGACATTGCGTTTTTATCAAAAAATAATTCATGGTCTGAGCTGAAATTTGCAACAAATGTTTATTTATCATATTTGCAGTGTTGATCATTTTTCACTCTAGACTACTTGTCCACGATTTTACCGGACATTACCCTCATACATCTGTTAAGATACAAAAAGATGCAGTTATATATACAAATAGCAAGATGTCACTTACCTCTGTATTTGATTATAACTAAAATTCACATCTTGCTCTCTTATTAGCTCACCTGAGGTATTCTGTTCAAAATGTGTCCATTTTCTGTCATTGTTGTCATAAATTTTCACATTTTCATCATCTTCTCCAGAACCACTTGGCCAATTTCAACCAAACTTGTCCTTAGGTGTCCCCTTATCCATTGGTAAAAAGAATTCAAGTTTGTTTAAATAAAGGGCCACAACTCTTCCAAATTAAGATATTAAGAAATATTAAAACTTGGGTGTGGTTGTTTAAAAATCTTCTTGAGAACCACTGGGCCAGAAAAGAAGAAACATGTGAAAGCTTCATGGCATAGCGTTGATTCAAATTTGTTCAAATAATGACCCCTTGAGATAGGGTGGGGCCACTATGGTTGATCAAAGTGTTATTCTTTGAAAATTCTTTGACTCAAGAGCAGCAAAGCTGCATATTTATATGGAAGTATCCTCAGGTAGTGTAGATTCAAGTTTGTTCAAATCATGATCCATGTGGAAAGGGTTGGGCCAGAATGGAGGATCAAAGTTTTACATGCATACGTAGGAAAAAATCTTTAAAAATCTTCTCAAGAACAGCAAAGCCAAGACTAGTCTTATTTTTTAGGAAGCGTCATCAGGTAGTGTAGATTCAATTTTGTTCAAATCATGACCCCCTGGTGTGGGGTGAGGCCACAATATGTGATCAAAGTTTTACATAGGTATATATAGGAAAAATCTTTTCATTTCAGCAAAGCCATGATTAGTCATAATTATATGGAAGCATCCTTAGCTGGTGACTAGATTCAAGTTTGTTCAACTCATGAACCCCCCCCCCCCTTTTTGGGGTAGTGTGGGGCCACAGTATGTGATAAAAGCTTACATAAAAATAAATAGGTAAAAGAATCTGTTGATGAAGGGTCATAGTTGCTCCAATGGGCATCTTGTTTATTTTCATGAACCCAAATAAGTCATTCAAATAAACTCTGTCCATGCATAATGGATAATGAAAAATGTTGTTTACAATAAACCCAGGTGATTTATAGGCCCAATAGGTTGGATGTATCATGTAATACTCGGAATCTCACATTTTTTTGTATTACACAAGTCACTATGATTAATAAAATGTAGATATTTGGTCTGTAAAAATTGTTCCATTAACCAAGAGCACAATTTGCTGATCATTGATCAATTCTACATGTATATGCTGCTGTAAGTGGAATGCATGACCATGTAATTACAGTAAATTGTATTCCTATTTCAATAGGGTTAATGATGTATAAATTGAAATGGGTAAAACATTTATAAAAGATCTTTTGTACTTGTCATGCACAAATGTTTGCCAATAAGTTTTTTTTCTCTCTGGAGCGTAAAGGGTTTTTAGCTCACCTCAATGAAGTTGGAGGGAGCTTATGTAATACCCTAGGCATTGATGTCCCAGGTTAAAGTTTTTGGAGCAGATTTCTTTTCAAGTATGTTCTTTTATGCCCTATTTTAATCGGAGATGGATGGACAATGCTTCTAGTATGTTTCATTGTACCAGTCATGGTTTCAGATGCTGCACCTTCAACTAAAGAATGACCAGGTTAATGTTTTTGGAGCAGGTTAAAGTTTTTGGAGCAGGTTCATTGTAAAGTAACTGTAAGCCTTATATTGACCAAACTTGCATTAATGATACGTCTAAAGACTACTGGACTTGATTCGGATGCTGGATCTGACCTACATTTTCCAGATGAGTGATCAGGTTAAGTTTTTAGAGCAGGTTCATTCTAAAGTGACTTTAAGCCCTATGCTTACCTACTTTGCATTGAAGATACATTTATTGATGCACACTAACAGAGTTGCTTTGGATGCAGGATCTTACCTACATTTTCCAGATAAGTGACCTGGTTAAAGTTTTTGGAGCAGGTCACTTACCAAGAAACTATAAGGGATATCTGAACCAAACATGCATGGATGATGCATCAAGGGATGCACACTACTAGTATTGCTTCAGATGCTTGGTTTGAAGTACATTTTTCAGATGAGTGGCCAGGTTAAAGTTTTTGGAGCAGACTCATTCCAGTGTAACTTCAAGCCCTACCTTGACCAGACTTGCATGGATGGTGCATCAAGGGATGAACACTTTCAGCCTTAAATGTTGGATTTGACATACATTTTGTGGATAAGTGACTAGTTTAAATTTTTTAGAACAAGTTCATTCCCAAATAACTGCAAGACCTATCAGACCAAAACTGCATAAATGTTGCATCTAGGGATGCACACTATTAGATTATTAGTTTATTGTGGGACTTTGCCTTACTTAAAGATAACATTTGTTGAGGTAAGCTTTGTAATCTTTGATTACCTATGTTTAGCTACTCAGTTAAGCATCGGTGTGAGATACTGTCTGTCAGTGAAAAGACCATGTTAATATCTTTAAGAGCACTGTTCCTTTTCAAGAAGAGGAATAAGAAAAGAGGGAGAGGGAGATGTACAAGCTTATAGAAAAGGCAAAGTATAAATATTGCCTATTTGATTGTGAGATTGCTTCAATTATAAACTTTGTCCTAGTACAAAAAGAGCAATGAACTTTGAGGATTCACCAAGAATTCAGAAATAATGCTTGAGTTTTGTCATTTTGTGGCTTATTTTCAGCATTCCAGATCTTATCAGTTGGAGTAAATTTGAAGAGTATTATTTGCACTCATATCATCCTCTGATTAGAAAAGACTAAAAATAGACCAAATTTGAGCTAATGTAATTTGTTCTAGACCCTAAAAATAAGAACCACTTGAGAAGTTTTCTAAAATTAGAGAAAACTTCACCCATTTTGGTCTCATTTTGCCTTTTAGAGGTGATTGGATATATGAGGTACAGTAAGTCGGGACAAAAGTAGACCTCCTTTATCAACATTTGAGAACCCCTACCTCACTATCTCAACAAGCCAGTTTTACTGACATATGTAACAAAAATCTGGTTACTGACCATACAAGGACCACAAGATAGCATTTATCTGACTTAATATTCTAAATGACAGACAAGATGTTTATCCTCTTTGCTTGCTTTTATTGTTCTTTTTTGCTGTTGTAGGATTATGGATTGTAGGAATGCTAATGTGCTGTTAAGTTTTGTCCTTTACTTTCAGTGCACCAGAAAAAGAGGAACCTTCAATACTTTCACTGTTGAAAGCAGGATTCAACAAGGTAATTCAAAGATTTCAGTGTTTAAAAATATAAAAAGTATATGTTAAAGTAATTATTTGAGAAAGCAGGATTTCAGTTCCCCAAGAGTTTAGTTCCCTGAAGTGATGGAAATGGATTTATTGGAGGGAAAACATCCTCCTGTTTATTTCTTTCGTCTTTTGTTCATCGTGTGCTGATATTTGACATTTCAATTTCTTCTTTTGTGGCTGAATCAGTTTCAACCAATTTTGGTGTATAGCATGAAGATGCATGTACCACACTTCCTTCAGATGCTGGATAATTGACCTACATTTCCAAAAGAGTAAATAGGCTTAATCCCTACCTATATCAAACTTGCATGGATGGTGTATCTAGGGATGCACACTACCACACTTGCTTTGGATGCTGTATCTGACCTACATTTTCTGGATGAGTAACCAGATAAAATTTTTGGAGCAGTTTCATTCTTAAGTAAAAGTAAGTCTTACCTGGACCAAATATTCCTGGATGATGCATACAGGGATGCACACTACCAAATTTGGAATGTTGGATGTGACCTGCTTTTTCCGGGTGAATAAAACAGGTTCAATTTTCAGAGCTGGTCTATTCCTAAGTAACTATAAACCATATGGTGACTGAACTTGCATTGATGATGCTTGTTAATAAGGATGCACACAAACAGATCTGGAAAGCTGGATCTTCCATTTACAGGGTTATTGAACAGTATTTTTTTTTTTTTGGAGTGGTCCATTTTCAAGCTATCTGTAGATCCTACCTGGACTAAACTTGTAAAGATGTATCTAGGGATGCACACTACCAGAACATTTGTTTTCTGTGAATTTTTGCCTTTCTTATAGATAACATTCAACAAGGTGAACTTTGTAATATTTGATAATCTATGTTTCTCATTTATTTAAATAAGCTATAGTGATTTCTGTTCCTCAATTCTAAGATGTCCTTGAACATTTTTCCTGGGAATAAAGGCTGGTACCCTATGTTGAAAATGATAAAATAAACTCATTATTTACACCTATATACCATGTAATTCTCTCAATGTCCAAAAACATTTTTCATTAGTGTATAGAAGGTCCTTAGTTTATGAAATAAAATCTTCATTCTCATTAGGGTAAAATTTGGGAATACATATATAATGTTTGTAGATAATTGAGGATTTATTTATTGTTTGCAGAGGATTCCAGAAAACCACAATGTTAATTCCTGCATAAATGAGTTACTTAGTTTGGAATATGGTGAGGTTAGAAGTCAGTTGAAGCTCAGGGCCTGCAGTGCTGTGTTCTCGGCACTAGATAACATTTCTGATGCTGTACAGATCAGTAATGAAGACAACCAAATACAGGTGAGCTAACACAAACAAAGACCTTAGTTATTGAAGAAAATGTGAAAGATGCTGGTTAGAAGGGAATTTCTTCATTTTTCTATCATTTTTCTTCATCACTTCTCTTCAGACACAACATCATTTGGTAGATATGGGACAAATTTGACCTTATAGGCACTAAGCACAGAAGATTTTTTTATGTGATTAAGATGACGAGATATCTATTCTGCCAGGTGTTCTTGGTGTGTGACTATGCTAATTTGATGTTGGTTCATTACATTATGGAAGCATTAATGTACATCATTAAATTCAGATTTATTTTGTCACTTTATCAAATAGAGTGTTAGATTTTAAGGACATTCTGAAGGTTAATATGTAAATATAAAATCTGATTATAGAACTTTTTTCCACAGCTATTGTAGCCTATGACCTTTTGCAATACTCAAAATCAAACAGCTGGTCTAATTTTGTCCAAATTTGATAGATTCATGTTGATGTTTTTGTATAATGTCTATTGCTGAATACAAATTATCAACATTTACAAAGCTGAGTCATAATTTAGATAATTCTTGTAGATTAATTAAAACTAAATTCCACCCTCTACTGTATAATTATTTTTTGTAAATGATGAGTACCTATACCAAAAAAAGTCATTTTGTCATCACATTAAGCTTTCTTTTTATTTAAATTCATCAATGAAGTGATTTAAGTATATATATATATGTGTGTTCATTAAAAGTCGATTTTTATTTTAGTATGTTAACCCAGCATATGAGAGGCTAACAGGCTTCTCAGCTGAGGAGGTGATAGGAAAAGATGCGACAGAAATGGCCAAAGTGGACCGAAACAAGACAGACCTACATGACAGCATCAATAATCAACTGAAAAAGGGCAAGGTCAGCATACTTTGTGAAATTTTCTTATTATAGGTATGCAAATAAAAGAAATACTATGTGTATAACAGAAAATTACTTCAAAATTCAATTATTTAGCTATGTAAAATTGCATTGATTATAATTTTTTACGTGGAAGCTAATTATCTATTCAAGATATGTTGTTTGATTGTTGATCCAAGGTAGACCACTTTTTTTTTTTAACCTTCAGCAAATTTAGGTTTAAGTCACTTCTGCCCCCCCCCCCCTTTTTTTTTTTTTTTTCCTGAGGGCAAGGATATCATATTGTGTAGTTGTTTAAAGCTAAAAATGTAATATGATGTGAATACAGTTTAAAACAATTATTTTGAAAAGTTGACTTGCATTTTAAAATATAAATTGATATATAAATCTTACTGGTACTTCATTTAGTTCTGGGAAGGTACATACCATACGCGAAGAAAAAGCAGTGACGTTGGTGTGACCAGTCATTGTGTTTTTAGTCCTATACTGGGACCAGGAGGGTAAGTGGACTTTGGCAATATAATAAAATATTGTATAACTCTTTGTAACAAACTTTTATTAAAGTTAAGTTAAAGACCCTGTTATGCTGAAGTAACTGAGTATCTTTTAAGGACACATCTTCAACTCAGTTTGACTGTATGTGCTGTCTGAGTTCAGATTTGTTCAAATGTTGCATGTTGATAAGTACAGTTTGTTAACAACTGGACTAAAGGATACTGAAATATTTCCTCCTGAAATTTGAACTGACAATAATATTTATGCATTAAAATAGTAAAAGCCTAATGCAAAGAAAGATATAGAAGGAAGAAAATATAGATATGTATGTACATTATTCTTTTACAGGAAACTTTCCCATATTGTTTCTGTACAAAAGACCAACCCAGATACCTCATACACTGACAGAATAAAAGAAGCCGAGTACAACTTAGCCAATGGTAGGTACAGTCTCCCAGAACAACTGTCAGCTTCACTGTTGTCAGTAGCATTGGATGTTGTTACTTTCTGTAGTTTCATTCCATATGTGTTAGAGCGTGCTGTAGACAAGTATACTCATATATAAACATTTTTGTAAAGGTAGATAAGCATTGTGTTAGTATGAAATGATCATGAATTGCCATGAGAATTCCAAGTGATCAAAAATAATCCAATAATGATCGGTAAATAACCACATTGGTCACTAAATTGTCAGTATATATCAAATTGTATTTTGATTGGTTTGTTGTTGGTTACAGTTAAGTTGGGTTTGCCCATCAGTTTCCGGCGCAGATCTAGTGAGTGGTTAAAGATTGTATGATTGCAGTTACATACACCTACTAATTACTGAGCTTAACTTGTCATTTTGCACTGAGTGCCTTTTATTTTATGTACAGACTTCCTATTATCACATACAGATATAAACATTTAATACAAAAATCAAACAGTTCCAGTATAGATTTCTTTGCAACAAAAATATTTTGATAGCAATGATTGAAGGAAGTTTTTAAAAATTCATCAGGGTTTTTTTTTCTGTTTTTTTTTTTTTTATTGGTAAAACAAGGCCATTGCATATGTAGTTATATTGTCAGAGTAACAATAGAAGTTCTTGATTTTAATTGAAAAATATTGAAGTATGCTCTTGAAGTAATTCTTTATCAGATTAATTAAACAAAAAGTTTTATTAGCTCACCTGAGCTCAAGTGAGCTTTTCTGATCAAAATTTGTCTGTTGTAGTTATCCTTGTTGTAAACTTTACACAGCTTCATCTTCTTTTCCAAAACAACTTGGCCAAATTCAACCAAATTTGGCAAAAAGTATTCTTGGGTGAAGAGGATTCAAGTTTGTTCAAATGAAAGGTCATGCCTCTTTTCAGGAGAGATAATTAAGAATTCATGAAAATTAATAGCTTTCAAAAATCTTCTTCTCAAGAATCATAGGTCCAGAAAAGATGAGACTTATGTGAAAGGTTCATTACATAGTGTAGATTCATATTTTTTTTCAAATCATGACCCAATGGAAAGAGGATGGGGCCACAATGGGCAATCAAAGTTTTATATAGGAATATACAGGATTGCTGGAAAATCTTCTCAAGATTAGCAAAGCCATGGTTAGTAATATTTAATATATGGAAGCATCTCAGGTAATGTTGATTCAAGTTTGTTCACATCATGACCATTGGGGTTGGATGGAACTACAACATGTGATCAAAGTTTTACACAGGAATATATGGGGGGGGGGGGGGGGGGTGTCTGCTGATGAAGAACAGAAGGACCATAGTGACTCAGGTGAGCATTGTGGTCCACTGCCCTCTAAATATTGAGAAAATGGATGTCTGTCTATTTGTTATGCTAATTTTGCAAAGTAGTTTTGTTACCCAGGTAGTATGTCTTGTTGCAAGAGGATGTTTCAACATCATAAATCCCCATATAGAGTATTTGATTTTGAAAGCCTGACTTACATGCACATAAATGTAGTGAGACTAATTTTGGTTATGTAGTAGAAAATCTCCCAACTGCTAGTTCATCATGCTACACTGACAGTGTTATCAATTCTGTAGCAAATTTATTGACTCCTTCAGCTTGATCCATTTAGTAATGCCTCTTCTATTTTCACCTTTTACTCCAAAAGTCTCCAGTTAATCCTCTAGATTTAACTGACTTCATTGATAATTTTAACTAGTAAGTTCTATAGCCAGTTTATTTAATATTATAACTTTCTTTACCTTTCACTTTAACAGTTTAAAATATATAGTGATTTAATTAATTTGATTTAAAGACTTCTTTTCTGTGATGCAGTTTTATACAATTTCTGTTTTTTAGGTGGATTGGCACATGGATATCCCAGAAGAAGAGAATCTCTCGCTAAGATTCATTCCATGACAGTAGAGGCCCCTATCACCAAGGTACATAGGCTACAGGAAAGAGTTCAAAAGTTATTGCTGATATTCACTATGATTGATGTAATATCAACTAGTCATTGATATTAATTGAATTATTTGGTTCTTCATCAGGTAATTAACATCATCAATGCAGCACAGGAAAACAGCCCCATAACAGTGGTTCAAGCACTGGACAAAGTTTTAGAAATATTACGGACCAGTCAGTTGTACTCTCCACATTTTGCACAGCCAATGAAAGAGGGGGATACCATGACCTCTGACTTAGTGGGAGGGCTTGTGTCAGTGAGTAGAGTTTCATTATATATATATATATGTATGTACCGGTATATATATATATATACACACACCCACCCGGTATATATATATGGGTATGAGGCAATTGTAGTTTCCCTTCCAAAAAGTAATCTTATCTATAAATTTAGAAATTAACAATATATAATTATTTTCTCCTTTTTAGCAAAATGTAAAAAGACAACTCATAACCAGTTCACAGGAAAGCAGCAGTGTGTCCCATAGCAAGCCTGGTATGACTTGATAGAATGATGTGTAATTCGCAATAGGGATATCTCATAAATAGAAAATAAATGTATAGATTTTCATAGTATCTGAATAATTGTTCAGATTAATCAATGTTTGATGTGTTTTCAGTTTCAGGTCACCACATACACATTCCCAATAACTTGCTATCACAGATGCCAACAGAAATACTAGACATACTAGAGCTAGAGCCGTCTTGGGATTTTAATATCATCACCTTAGAAAAGGCTACATCCAAAAGGTGGGTATACATTGCTTTACCAGAACTTATCACAATTTGATAAACAGTTGCAATTAATAGTCTAAGAGTTTTGAATGGCAAAATCTCTGTTCTGGTACTAATTAAACCGTTAGTAGTTATAACATGTTTGATCCTTTGATGATAGAGAAAAGCTTAACTTTTTTCATACTAACTGTACACTGAATTTCATAAAGCTATTAGATACTACTGATGTTCCAACAATTTTCTGGCAGACATTTTCTGCACAAGTCGAAGAACCCTTGACTAGACAAAGGGTAGAAGGAGATTATGAGCTTTATAGCATCTTCTTGGGGGGGAAATTCCCATAATTGTGCAAGATTACTGTAATTCTGTCATGTTGTTGTACAAAGGGTCAGATATCAAGATCACAGGCTACAAAATCTGCAATTCTACCTCTCAACTCATTGTATCTTTCAAATAACAATCTTTGTCTGCAACAGGGTAATTTACTTTTTCACCCAGTTTGCAATATTTTTGATGTTTTAACTCAATATGCTGAACTTTTTTCCAGACCTCTGGTTCATTTAGGATTAAAAACAATGGCTCGTTTTGGTGTGTGTGACTTTTTACGTGTAGATGAGATGACGGTCATGAACTGGTTAAGTCTAGTTGAGGCTAACTATCATTCCACAAACTCCTACCACAACTCCACTCATGCAGCCGATGTTCTGCATGCCACTGCATACTTCCTCAACAGGGAACGCAACCAGGTATAAAATAAGTATTCAGATACTGTAAAAGTCATTTTTACTACACAGGTTTAATTTTTCCATGGACATCAATTTTTTGGCAAAACTGATCCTCCAGTTAAGTTTGAAGACATTTTTTTTTCTTATAATACCAGTATTATTTTGTATGAAAAAATCTAAGAAAGTGATCCAGAGAAATGGACAATCTTCTGGATAGGAAAAAAAGTTGAATTTGAGAAAAAAAAAGACATTTAAAGTACAGTGAATTTGAAATTATTTATTTATTTATTGGGAATTTGATTTCCTTTAATTAAATCCATCTTATTTTTTTTATCTTTATTTTCCATCGTTTAAATTTACTCAGCTGCCGTGTCTAAGACATGCACTAATAAGAAAGAATTGTTTCACTTTAACATGATTAAATAAAATACATGTAATTTACCTCTGGTACCATTCATTATTTATTTAGAAGTTTTTTTCCTGCCTATCTATGATGGGTTAAAGTCATAGTATATTGCTCTGCCCTTCTTTGGTAAATTAGAATTTTCATGTCACACATAAGACTAAGAATCAGGAATAGGGACTACAAACATGTCATTTAGGGCATTTTGAAGAAGATGCATGTCCTAATGACTTCATATTTGAAATTTATGGCTATTTGCAGGTAATTTTAAAAACAAAAATGCTTAAGGTTTTTTCGTCCTCTCTTAGTTTAAACCTTAAGAAACAAATACCTGTTTTTTTTTGTTTTTTTTTTCAATTACATGTAGACATTCTGTGAATTAGAGTAAGAGAGATTTGTATGAATTGGTGTTACCAGGGGTAATTGTTTCATTTGCCATTATTAGAATTATAACCCCAAAGTGTAAAAAATGTTAAAGACGACAAAAAAAAAATTAATGAGCTCTACATTTGAAATAAATAATACTATATGAATTAATATGAGAAGTCAAGGAATTTCAGAATTACATGTGCTAATTCCATGAAAAATGCCATCATAAACTTTCCACTGACTGTAATTGAGATTGATAATGACTGATGTTAAGAATCCCAGTTTCTTGAAGAGGTGCACTTTTTATGACTTTGTCTAGATAAACTTTACAAGATCAAGCTTCCACTATAGAATAAAAAAAAGCTAGGATTAAAACAAATTTTTGTTGAGATCTGAGTATTGATCATGACTATTCTTTTCCTGAGAAATATTGACTACATTTAGATTTTTTATGTCCATTTGACAGTGAAATTAGCCAGCTGTAAAGTAATTAAGCCCTCAGTACATTTTAGTTGTTAGGGCATGAACAACTTGTGGTATTCTTTTGTCCTTGCATAGATTACTTACCAACTATATAAATTGATTTGCTTTCTGAAAGTTTCAGTCTTCATTTATTTTGAATGTCTTTCAAAAGTAAATATTTGAACAATAAATGTGCATTGTAATTTTAAAAAGTGGAGGCAGTCAAAACATGCTCTAACATTTAGATTGTAGTCCACACTTCAAATTCACTCAAATTGTGACAAAATGGGTGAAGCTTACCCTTAACCAGCATAGATTATCTGAACTGACAACCTGATAAGTATTAACTTACATGTACCATGTGTTTATTTACTTTAAAGAGATTCCTATTTTTAATGGTTTTCTTGGTCTCTGCAGCATGCTACATGATCACCAAAATATGAATTCATATATAACTATGATGAATTTAAACAATGGCAGTATAAACAGTCCGTGGTTTACAGTTATGCTAAATTTGTTCTACATTAAAATATGTACACTTAAAGTAATCCAGTTATTAGATCACAAGGAAAATACATAATATTGTATTAAACATTTTATGTAAAACTTTGTCAACAGGATTACTTCTTAACTTATGTATTATTTCTTGATTTCACCAAATGTGGACTGACCCTAAAAAGTTGAACAAACATGAATAGGACATTGGAAATGCCATATAAGCTGAATACTGTATCGAGCAACATACAAGTTAACAGATCTTTTGTTAAATTTTTCCATAAATGGAACTTTGTACATGTATAAAGTTCACATTTTTTATGCATTGAACAATTTTTAGAGAACTGGTCATTCATTTTTTAATACAATACCTTTTTCAAGGCTGTTCTTGACCAACTGGACCAGGTTGCTTGTTTGATAGCTGCCATTATACATGATGTGGACCATCCTGGTTATACAAATGCATTTCTTATCAACGAGAAAAATCCTCTGGCCCTGATGTATAATGACCAGTAAGTCTATTTTATTGCCATTTCTTACAGTACTCTGTTGTATTGTTGTGACAGATCCTTGTTGTATTGTTGTGACAGTACTTTGTTGTATTATTGTGACAGATCCTTCTTGTATTGTTGTGACAGTACCTTGTTGTATTGTTGTGACAGTACCTTGTATTGTTGTGACAGTACCTTGTTGTATTGTTCTGACAGTACCTTGTTGTACTGTTGTGACAGTACCTTGTTGTACTGTTGTGACAGTAACTTGTTGTATTGTTGTGACAGTAACTTGTTGTATTGTTCTGGCAGAACCTTGTATTGTTATGACAGTACCTTGTATTGTTCTGAGAGTGCCTTGTATTGTTGTGACAGATCCTCGTTTATTGTTGTGACAGTAACTTGTTGTATTGTTATGACAGTACCTCGTTGTATTGTGATAGTAACTTGTTGTATTCTGACAGTACCTTGTATTGTTCTGACAGTACCTTGTTGTATTGTTCTGACAGTACCTTGTTGTATTGTTCTGACAGTACCTTGTTGTACTGTTGTGACAGTAACTTGTTGTACTTGTTGTATTGTTCTGGCAGAACCTTGTATTGTTATAACAGTTCGTTGTATTGTTGTGACAGATCCTCGTTGTATTGTTTTGACAGTAACCTGTTGTATTGTTCTGACAGTACCTTGTATTGTTCTGACAGATCCTTGTTGTATTGTTGTGACAGAACCTTGTTGTATTGTTGTGACAGTACCTTGTTAGCTCACCTGAGCTGAAAACTCATGTGGAAGCATCCTCAGGCAGTGTAGATTCAAATTTGTACAAATCATGACCCCCAGGGGTAGGGCTGGGCCACAATGGGGGATCAAAGTTTTACATAGAAATATATAGGAAAAACCTTAAAAAAATCTTCTTCTCAAGAACAGCAAAGCCATGATGAATCATATTTATATGGAAGCATCCTCAGGTAGTGTAGGTTCAAGTTTGTTCAAATCATGACCCCCAGGGGTAGGGTGGGGCCACAATGGAAGATCAAAGTTTTACATAGAAATATATAGGAAAAACCTTTAAAAATCTTCTTCTCAAGAACAGCAAAGCCATGATGAATCATATTTATATGGAAGCATCCTCAGGTAGTGTAGATCTCAGGTAGTGTAGATTCAAGTTTGTTCAAAACATAACCCCGGGGGGAAGGACGGGGCCACAATGGAGGATCAAAGTTTTACATAGAAATATATAAGAAATACCTTTAAAAGTCTTCTTCTCAATAACAGCAAAGCCATGATGAGTCATATTTATATGGAAGCATCATCAGGTAGTGTAGGTTCAAGTTTGTTCAAATCATGACCCCCAGGGGTAGGGTGGGGCCACAAAGGAGGATCAAAGTTTTACATAGAAATATATAGGAAAAACCTTAAAAAAAATCTTCTTCTCAAGAACAGCAAAGCCATGATGAGTCATATTTATATGGAAGCATCCTCAGGTAGTGTAGGTTCAAGTTTGTTCAAATCATGACCCCCAGGGGTAGGATGGGGCCACAATGGAAGATCAAAGTTTTACATAGAAAAATATAGGAAAAACCTTTAAAAATCTTCTCAAGAACAGCAAAGCCATGATGAATCATATTTATATGGAAGCATCCTCAGGTAGTGTAGATCTCAGGTAGTGTAGATTCAAGTTTGTTCAAAACATAACCCCCGGGGGAAGGACGGGGCCACAATGGAGGATCAAAGTTTTACATAGAAATATATAAGAAATACCTTTAAAAATCTTCTTCTCAAGAACAGCAAAGCTATGATGAGTCATATTTATATGGAAGCATCCTCAGATAGTGTAGATTCAAGTTTGAACAAATCATGACCCCCGGGGATAGGGCGGGGCCACAATGGAGGATCAAAGTTTTACATCGAAATATATGGGAAGATCTTTAAAAATCTTCTTCTCAGGAACAGCAAAGCCCCGATTGGTCATATTTATGTGGAAGCATCCTCAGGTGGTGTAGATTCATGTTTATTCAAATCATGACCCCTGGGGGTAGGGCTGGGCCACAATGAAGGATCAAAGTCTTAAATAGAAATATATAGGAAAATATCTTCTTCTGAAGAACTGGAAAGCCATGATTAGTCATTTTGATATTGAAGATTCCTCAGATAGTGTAGATTCAATTTTTTTTCAAATGATGACTGGGGGGGGGGGGGGGCAATGGGGGATCAAAAGTTTTACATAAGAACATATAGAAAAAATATTTCTTCTCAAGAACAGAAAAGCTGTGTATAGTCATATTGATGTGGAAGCATCCTCAGATAGTGTAGATTCAACTTTGTTCAAATGATGACCACTTGGATAGTGGATAGGGAGGAGCCACAATGGGGGATCAGAATTTTTGAAAATCTTCTCAAGTACAGCAAAGCCATTTGTGATATTGACATGGAAGCATCATCAAGTGGTTTAAAATTCAAGCCCCCCCCCCCCCCCCCAACCGGTAATCTTTTCAATACTGAACTGATTTGTGCTTTTGCCAAGCCAGTGTGCTCAGGTGAGTGATGTGGCCCATGGACCTCTTGTTGTATTGTTGTGACAGTACCTTGTTGTATTGTTGTGACAGTACCTTGTTGTATTGTTCTGACAGTACCCTGTTGTATTGTTCTGACAGTACCTTGTTGTATTGTTCTGACAGTACCTTGTATTGTTCTGATAGTGCCTTGTATTGTTCTTACAGTACCTTGTTGTATTGTTCTGACAGTACCTTGTATTGTTATGACAGTACCTTCTTGTATTTGTGTGACAGTGCTTTCTTGTATTGTTCTGACAGTACCTCGTTGTATTGTTCTGACAGTACCTTGTATTGTTATGATAGTACCTTCTTGTATTTGTGTGACAGTGCTTTCTTGTATTGTTCTGACAGTACCTTGTTGTATTGTTCAGACAGTACCTTGTACTGTTATGACAGTACCTTCTTTTATTTGTGTGACAGTGCTTTCTTGTATTGTTCTGACAGTACCTTGTTGTATTGTTCTGATAGTACCTTGTTGTATTGTTCTGACAGTACCTTGTATTGTTATGACAGTACCTTGTATTGTTATGACAGTACCTTCTTGTATTTGTGTGACAGTGCTTTCTTGTATTGTTCTGACAGTGCCTTGCTGTATTGTTCTGAGAGTGCCTTGTTGTGCTGTTGTGACAGATCCTCGTTGTATTGTTGTGACAGTAACTTGTTGTATTGTTCTGACAGTACCTTGTTGTATTACATGCATTTCCATGAAAAACGTTGAAACAATTTACATTTGTTTTATTTCAGAGCTGTTCTTGAAAACCACCATGCTGCTCTGGGCTTCCAATTGTCTTGGAAAGATAATACTGTCAACATCTTTAAAAACCTAAGTAGGGATGAGTACACTCCACTGAGAGAGACCATCATTGACATGGTGCTGGCTACAGAGATGAAACAACATTTCGAACACCTAAACAAATTTGTTAGTTGTGTTAATAAAAGCACCCTCAAGCTAGAAGAAACTTCATCTATGGTAAATTTACATACTGGTATTGACAATAAATTGTAGTTTAAATTGTGAATGAGAATCTAATGTCCCTATTTTTAGAGGACAGAAGAAGTGTGAGCACTTACTATGAATATTTAGTTGGATCTTTCTATTGGTGTGTACTATAATTATTTTATTTTCCCAGAGTGGAACAGGATCTCCAGACAGCATGGCCATTATAAATCAGATGTCGACCCCAGAAAACCGTTGTTTAATAAAGCGTATGCTGATCAAGTGTGCTGATGTAAGCAATCCACTTAGAACCACAGAAATGTGCATTGAGTGGGCCAAAAGAATTGCTGAGGAATATTTTATACAGGTAGAAGAAAATTTAGATGTATTCATTTGACAACTTTACAATAAATAAAAAAAACTTGAAAATATACCTGTAAATGTACAGGAGGCTTGAGTGCCAATTTCGGATTTTCTCTTTCACAAGCATATAAGTAAAGCATTTCAGTATACAGTCAGTCGAGATTTATGTTTTTTACAAGTACATGAACATCATAACTAAACACCCCCTCCCCCCCCCCCCCCCCCCCCCCCCGAAAAAAATTGCTAACAAGTACAGTTCATATGATGATTTTAGACTGATGAGGAGAAAAGGAGGAAGTTGCCTGTGGTGATGCCAGCATTTGATAGGAAAACTTGCAGTATACCAAAATCTCAGACCAGTTTTATAGACTTCTTCATTAATGACATGTTTGATGCTTGGGATTGTAAGTTTTTTTTAATTATTTTAATTAAATACAGCAAGTCTTTTTTTTCACTGAGCTATTTTTTTTTAAAGATGACTGAATTCATTGTAATTAAAGTATTAAAAACACAATATATACTTTATGAGGAAAAGAGCTCAAAAGATAATGAATTTATTCCAATTTATTCAAGATTTTTGTGATATTCCTGACTTAATGACCCACCTACAAGAGAATTATCGTTACTGGAAGGAGAAATCGGAGGAGGAAGCCTCATGATGCTTAGGACTCTAGTTCAGGTTGTCCAACCTGGCTCTGTGAGAACCAGGGTGACCTAAGATAAAAACCAGAGTACCCCAAAGTATGAACCAGATTAACTTTTGACTGAACTGTTGTGACCATTAGTGGCATAGGTTACTGTGGACTGGACAGTTTCTGCTTTTTTACCTCATTCTTGTATGGACACAAGTGCCAGCATTTAGACTTCAGCAGGACCCAAGTGCAGTAACTCAAACACCAGGAATGGATGTGATCATTGAAGACATTTGTAATGAAACACAATGATTATCGACTCTAGGAGCGAACATGCAGTCATTTCTATATTTTTGTAAAGATCTCATAGTTGTATTTTGTTCACACAAAACCCAGCCAGTAGTGCTATTGGTGTCTACAGTGTGTAAGATATTATGGTTTGGGAGACCACTATAGAAGACACTAGCATTGTTTGTATTTAACATTGTTAAGTTATTCCTAGGCTCTGTTGCTTTTGTGATAAAACTCCTTTTAAACTGGAGTTTTATTTGAGAGTTGGTTGTACTCTTGTTTATTATTGTTAAATTTTTAATATTTAATTAGTTCAAAGTTTATTTTGCCAAAATATTTAAGTAAATTTTTAATTATAAGGTAATTATGAAGATGTTATTTAAGATTACATTTTGTAGCTTTTCAATAATTTTCTTTTATTATAATGAATGTCCTTGTATTTACAAATATTAAAGGTCTTCATGTTTTTCATTGCATTAGTAACCAAAATTAATGATTTCATGGCACCATTAGTTGTCACAAAGAAATATGCAGTCTTGTACTGCTAGATTTGAGGAAAGGGTATATAATGTGAAAAGAAGCCTTTGAGAAAAGGAAGATTTTTCATCCTGAGCAGATTTTACTCCAAAACACAGTACAATATCGTATTTAGTAAAATTTCTTGGGTTATACAGTACATTATCTAAAAGATAAAACTTTTTGAAACACAGTTTTAACATTTCCTAAATATGTCTAGCTATTAATACATTACCCAGCTGACAATACAAAATTGAAGTCCTTAACCCTTTAACTGATTAATGTCATAACATCTATTATGTAGGTATGTAGAAACAAATCTTTTCTAAAGAAATATATATAGAGTAAGATGAAGTAGACTTAGTATTACTCATATTATTTTCCTTCCCCCTTATTACAAGGAAACGGTACAACCAAAGAAAATGTCTACGTTTATTAAAATGCCACGGAAAAGCATGAACCACACACATACACAATTCAGGAACTGACAGTGTAATTGCTTTAAATACTGGCTTCTTACAAATTGAAAGTGAGCTTTAGATCTAGTCATTTCCCACTTTATTTGTTTGCTTAATTAATGTGATAGATTGTTGTTCTGTGATTTGATATTTGTGATTAATGGAAAAAATGGCAGAAGTGTGATATAAGTTACAAATTCTGTTGTGAAAATGCATTTGCCAAAAATGAAAAATGATATATTCCAATAGGTTATTAAAGCTCACATATATATATTACTCTACCCACTAGTGGGTGCCAAAATAGAAAATGTTGTACCTCAACTTATTAAAGTGATATCACATTGCCCATTTAGAAGTAATAAGCATTTGCATATGCTCAAATATGTGACTGGTTTTTGTTTTATGTGAGAATGTTTTTCCTACTGTCATGTATAGTGAGCATAAGAGTGAGTGTCCCTAGGTGTAAAGTATTGTCTTATGTCTGTCAAGTTATATAACCAGATTAATGTAGTTTCATTATTTCTATCGTTCTTGTCAACAAATATCAGTTATTGTGTACCTTAGAAATGTTATGTCTAATTTATTCTGTATGCATACATTATTCTTGTATTTATATATTTTTGTGCGGCTGAAAGTTTGGAAATATACAAGAATTTCCTTCAGGTACTTTAGAATTTGCACTGCAAGGACACTGATTCCATTATATTCTTACACACTTCTTAGATAACATAATTACCTCACTGCCTTGGCAAACATTTCTACAGCAGAAGACTGGGAGGGGGATTGCAGACAACCTGACTTGGATTGGGTATTAAGGATAATGTAGGACCAGTGAATCTTTTCTGTCTTGGACTTCTGTATCTTGGTTGATTCCATCCAATCATCCGTCCATCTAGGGGGTCAGAGTTAAATAAAGGTTGTCTTAAAGCCATTGAAATTGCTTTACAAGTCCATCACTATCACACAATCTCAAAATGTGAATGTTAGCAATAGTCTTGTACTGAATTTTTATTAAGATCATTATACTTTTAGACTGTGTCAATGTTTTTTTTAAAACCGGTTTATGTATGATTATTTGTTTATTTTTGTACTAGTAGTTTGACAAGGGTAGATGGAGGAAATTAAGAATGGTAAGGAGTTGGTTCTAGGAGCTCTACCAACACTATATTTGGGAGTGGATTGTAAAGTTAAATTTCCACTGTCAAAGAGAATGGGATTTCATTTTCGAGATCTGAAAAAAAAACTTGATCCCCATGCTATCCAGGGGACAGTGAGGAGTGTACTCTGAGGGTATGGGTTATGTATGTGTAGCTAGTTGTTATCAGTATCATCATATTACGTAATGTTATACTCCATGTAGATAATTGATATTTGCATTTTATTTAGAATTACTGTGTTTCAGTTAGATATTAAAAAAGCATTTCTATATTACAGTGAGGCTGGACTGATTTTCTTCAAGTTTTTATGTCTATTCTTTAGTTAAGATGTGCAAAATTTAACAAAAACTAACTCTCGAAGTTACAGATACATGTACATGTATATTCATTATAAACTTCTTTCTAGTTGAGAATTCTTGTACAAGCAGCTGCAACTTTTCTATGTATGGAGAATTGGTGAAGTGCCTCTACAATATTGATTGCTTTCACTCTTTATAGGGCATTTACTGAAATAATTTAATATGAAAGAATTACCTCTCTATATGTAACAAGCTTATAAACTGATACAGTGTCATTCATGTCTATTCTCCCCAATATGTAAACCACAGTTGACATTGGCAGTATGTCCTTCCAAGGTCAACCTCTATGTATTTTGGCCAATGATTGGAGATAATCCTGCTCACTCTTACTGCTGGACAGCTGTACAAAAGTTTTGTTATGAAAAAATGTGTAATAAATTATATGAAATGTTCATTTGCTTGTCACAGTTATAATATTTTTAGTTCACTTGAGTCACTCTGGTGATTATTGCTATCAATCTGTTTTTATCTGTCATCTTAAATTCAATTTCTGTTTACTTTTTTATTTTTGAACATTTCAGTTTCTTCATATAAACAGCTGAACTAATTTCATCCAATTTTGGCACATAGCTCTTCAGGGTTCGACACTAACTTTTTAAGGCTTTAGTCCAGCCGGACTAGTGCTTCATTACTTTTACTAGTCCGCACGCGATTTTATTAGTCCGTCAAAAAAAAGAAACGTCAATGTTTTTTAACATTAATTTAACATGACAATTAATATATGTATTATTTTTTGAAATAAACAAAGTATTTACGTGAAATATTCATGAAATCTCGCAATCAGCAAGTACGATCGTATTCCCGATCTCGTTTTTTTTTTCTATCTTTACATTACATCCAAAACGTCCAACATCTTTCTTAAAAGTGTCATACTAAATCATGATCGCTAAAACCTTATACTTCATATTCATCACTCGAAAAATTAAGCGCTGAATTGACCTGGTATTGCGTAACTCCCGCCAAAAGCTAGAAATCTAAAAATACACGCGGGATTTCTTAGTAAAAGTTGTCGAGAATCGGACGTCGGTAATTTCTTCATATTCTTTTTCAGAATTTTTTATTGGTCCGTTCGGACTAATTAGCCACATATTTTATTAGTCCGAATGAAAATGTATTAGTCTGAGACTAACGTTAGTGTCGAACCCTGGCTCTTACGTACATAGGTGTAACAGTTCAAAGCAAAAGTATACCAAATTCAAGGTCGAAAGATCATGGTGTTGGGAGTAAACAATTTGTTTACCAATTTCAAGACCAAAAGTCAAGGCAAACATAAACTTTGCTGGCAGTGATAAAAGATATGTAATCATCATGATAAATTAGGTTTAAACCTCAGAAGAGATGTTACCGTCAAAAGAGGATCCATGTAAACATTTCATTGACCAATATCATGATTGACTTTACTATCAATTTTAAAGAAAACATTCCTAAATTATATGCATTTAAGTGGAACTAAAGGTACTGTGAGCAAGCTCACAAAATGATAGATACCCCCCCCCCTCCTCTTTTTGCATTTTATTTTTCCAAGTGCTAATTCAGATTTTGGTCATAAACAATTTTTGTACCAAGTATGATTCTACATTACAAAGTTGTAGTCCAGACAAGAATTTTATACTTTTTTCCTGCCAGTAACCTTGAACATGCCAGAATGACCTTGGATTAAGGTCATGACACACCTTCAGGTCATAAACAATTTTTGTACCAAGAATGAGCTTCCAATGAATTTTCTTTACAAAGTTACTTAAAAGAAATTTCTGTGAAATATTTTTAAAACGCTACTCCTCCTACATCGGTGCATCGGTTTTTGATTTTGATGAACAGTGTTGCCATGGTTACTAAAAATAGAAATTTGTGAAATACTATTAAAATGCTACTCTGCCAACAGTTTTAGTCCGATTGCAATAAATCTTACAACAAAAAGAGACTAAACCAAGAACCATTATTCTTTTTATTGCTGTTGCATAGTTTCAAGTGCAAGTGCTACTTTTCTATGATTTTGCTATAAGTACAAACCACTAGAGCTACAGTCTCATCAGAGACTTCTGGTTGTTTAAATATCACATGAAATGAAGTTTCTCTCCTGGATACTCATAAGGAAAGATAATTTTTAAGGATATAATGCATTTTCAATATGTGATCAACTTAGTCCAAACTGAAGCCTGGGTCCTGTGGACAGTTTTAGTTTTATCAAGGACTCATAGTTTATCATCATGCATATAAGCTAAGTGAATTTTCAATACAAGTCCAAACAAGACATGAATGTCAAAGCATACAATTTAAACATGCAGTTTACTGCAAAGGTGCAATATATTTTACATACAGCACTTATTCCTTGACAAGATTTTCAAATTGGAAGTATTAAATACATGGCCATCCAAGGTCCTGAACTCCGGGTATATATTAATTTCAAAAATGAATTTTGATAGAGGGCAAATTGTTTTAAGAACCATGCAAACAGTTTGTCTGCAAGATGTCCAATAAAAAAGAAAAAGATTCTGAAGATGTAACTTGCTTTCCAAATATCGACTGTCCATGGAAATTTATTTAGAAAGTACTTATGAATACATGTACCAGTAACATTTTACAAAGTTATTAAATGTTTTATAAATTTTTTTTTTGTTTTCAATATTGAAAAAAATTATATAAAAGTGCACTTTCTTCCAACAATACAGAAATTCATTATAATTCATTAATTAAGGTTATATATACTAAAAGGCAAATTTGTTTGTAGAAAGGATTTTAACAGTGGCCAAAATTTGTTGTAGCTGGTGAGTTACCCTGCGAGTCACACTCCTGCAAACCATAGCTATGAAGTTGACAAAAAACTGTTTGACAACAGTTAACAGAGTTAGCAATACATGTATTCTATGTAAAAAAAAAAAAAAAAGACTAACACATTGAAATGCTCTTTGCAATAGCAGAATTTTTCAATTTTTTTACTTGCACTTTATAAACATATGTGAAATAATTTGAATAGCATTTTTGCCTCTGAATACTTACACATAAAAGGGCTAGATTTTTTTTTTCTGAAAATTCTGCTACTGCAAAAAGCATTTTACTTTGTTTCCAGTAATTTATCTATATAATACATATTCATGTATCTTGCACTTGGAAAACTGTTAAGTCAAATAGGTTTTTGTCAGCTTCATAGTTATGGTTTGCTGGGGTGAAGCAATAAGAGACATTAACATTTAAGGTGCTTGGACACAGATTTGAAGTTAACATTTTCTCAAATTTTCTGTATAATATCACAACTTATATATTGCAATAGCATTTCACATGAAAATATAATTAAAAACTTATTTTATCTGGAAATTATTGGAACTACTAATTCCAGGACGTGTTTGATTAACACATCTTTGCACTTACCCTGGTACACAAATTTTAACTTTATCCTTAATATTTAAGAAAAGAGGCGATTCTGTTATGTATTAATGAAAAATAGTACATCTATAATCCAGAAAGATCAGAGTAGAAATGTTCGAAAGCAAAACCAACTCACCAGTATTGTCAGTCCGTGCTCTGTGATGTGTACAGAGCTTAACAAATTGAACACACCCGTGAAACGTAAACTGTTTTTGTAAACAGGGCACGAGCCCTGTTATTGTTAATGTTTACGATTCACCGGGTGTGTTCAATTGTTAATCTCTGCACACACCACTGAGCACGGACTTACAATACTGTGAGTGGGTTTTGCTTTCGAACATTTCTACTCTGAATTTTCTGGGTTATATAGTTTTAATTTTTTCATTAATGCACAACAAAATTGCCACTTTTCTTAAGTATTAAGAATAAAATTAAAATATGTGAAAGCGCAAGGATGTGTGAATAATCCAACGCGTCAAGAAATTTGAAGTTTTGATAACTTCAAGATGAAATAAGATTTTTATTACATTTTAGTATGAAATGCTATAGCAACATATAAGTCATGAAATTATACAGAAAATTTGAGAAAATATTAACTTCAAATCTGTGTCCAAGCACCTTTAACAGATTTTGGACACTCTTGAAACTGTTTCTACGAACAAAAGTCTGCTTTTAGCAGAACCCTAATCCCACTTGGCAGATTCATTCTGTTAACAGATTCACAATAAAAAAAACCTTGATGTTAACTAGGCAAGATTGAACAACAAAATGGAACTTTTCAAGTTCCAACAATATCAGGCCTGCCTTTTTCTGTGTAAATTGATAGAAATCATGATTCATCTACAGTCATTACCAGATGACAATTAATTTTCTTCAGAACAAAAGAGTTCAGTCAGTTGTTTCACCTTCTCCAATATTTATATCAACCAAATACATGTAGATTAGTCAATTGTATCATCCACTCCAGTATCTATATCAAACAGTTCAATCAATTGTATCATCCACTCCAGTATCTATATCAAACAGTTCAATCAATTGTATCATCCACTCCAGTATCTATATCAAACAGTTCAATCAATTGTATCATCCACTCCAGTATCTATATCAAACAGTTCAGTCAATTGTTTCATCCACTCCAATATCTATATCAACAATATCCTTATCATCCACATCCAAAATATTGACACCATTCTCTGGATCACTGTGTAGGCTTTCATTTTCACTGTCTGTCATTTCCATGGTAACTTCAGACTTTTTCTCACTACTGAGGTTCTCTGTGACTTTTGAAACACCAGACTTTTGTATTAACTTGGACTGTGGAAGTAACCTGGTCAACTTTCTTCTTTCTTTCCTCCTAATAACATAGAGAAATGGCATCATGTAACTGATATTTCATTCCTTATTAAAACAGTAACTTTTGGTTGCTTATATATCGATTACTGTTACATTTGCAGCACTGAATTTTTTTTTTAAATTCATTTTTCCTATCATGCTCTGAATATATATATATACATTGCTGTGACGTCATGCCTTTGTTCTTACAGTCTGAAAGTTTACCTGTAGCTGTCGGCGTCCAATAATATTAATAATTATCAGTCCGATAATTTATTATTGGACAGCAATGATAACAAAATCTGTCAGAATTTAAAAAACAAATTGTAAAATGAAATCAAGGTTTAATACGTCCAGAAATAAAAACAAAAATAAAAACAAGAGGCCCAAGGGCTTTGAATCGCTCTTCTGATACACTGTACAACCTATCACTTTTATTTGAAGCCTCTAAGTATCCTGTATATTTAGATACACCCTTGAAATTCCAAAGATAGGTGATCATGACCTACATTTTAGATAAAACACTCTTGAGAATCCAAGATGATTCTAAGCCAATTAGTACTTGAGAGTAGGTCATGGTGACCTACTTACCAGTTGTCATTCTCTGAGGACCCAAGATGCATCAAAAGATCCAGCATCCGAAGAAAGTCCAGTAGTGTGCATCCTTAGGTGTATCATCCATGCAAGTTTGGTCAATATAGGGCTTATAGTTACTTGGAATTGAGATCTGCTCCAAAAACTTTAACCTGGTCAATCATCTGGAAAATGTACATCAGATCCAGCATCCGAAGAAAGTCCAGTGGTGTGCATCCTTGCAAGTCTGGTCAATGTAGGGCTTTTAGTTAACTGAAAATGAGATCTGCGCCAAAAAATTTAACCTGGTCACTCATCTGGAAAATATAGGTCAGATTCAGCATCTGAAGCAAGTCCAGTAGTGTGCATCCTTAGGTGTATCATCCATGCAACTTTGGTCATTATAGGGCTTATAGTTCCTTGGAAATGAAATCTGCTCCAAAAACTTTAACCTGGTCACTCATCCTGAAAATGTATGTCAGATCCAGCATCCGGAGCAAGTCTAGTAGTGTGCATCCCTAGGTGTATCATCCATGCAAGTTTGGTCAATTTAGGGCCTATAGTTATTTGGAAATGAGATCTGCTCCAAAAACTTTAACCTGGTCACTCATCAAAAAATGTAGGTCAGATCCATCATCCGAAGCAAGTCCATTAGTGTGCATCCTTAGATGTATCATCCATGCAAGTTTGGTCAATATAGGGCCTATAGTTACTTGGAAATGAGACCTGCTCCAAAAACTTTAACCTGATCCAAAAACTTTAACCTGCTCCAAAAACATTAACCTGGTCATTCTTTAGCTGAAATTGCAGCATCTGAAACCTTGACTGGTACGATGAAACACGCTAGAAGCATCCTCCATGCATCTCTGATTAATATAGGGCATAGAAGTACTTGAAAAGAAAACTGCTCCAAAAACTTTAACCTGGGACGCCGACGCTGAGGGTATTACATAAGCTCCTTCGTTGAGGTGAGCTAAAAATGGAAATAATTATTGTTTGGTCTGGGGTATTTCCCTAATTTATAGCTGTCGTATACTACCGTATTTATGGATACCCTTTAATGACAGAGTCAAACTACGATGGCATTGAACAGGCAAGTTGGAGAAAATAAGTTGTACAGCAGAATTCAAGGAAGTTTCAACTAAAGAAACTTTTTTTTATATATAAAACACTATTAAAATGTTTTACTCCGTTTTATTTTCTCAATACGGTAATATCACAGAGTAAGCCAAGAAGTTCACATGTTCTGATACGTAGTATCTACATAAGAATCTCAATAAAAATTGATAAACAACACACTATAAATTAAAAAGTAGGTCACGGTGACCTACTTTTCAGTTGACCTACTCTGAGGACCCAAGATACATCAACTGACAAAGTTTGATGATTCTAAGCCTAAGAGTACCAAAAATATTTAAATATAGCCATCAAATTTCAAAAGTAGGTCATGGTGACCTACTTTTCAGTTGATGTTTTTCGAGGACCCAAGATGCATCAACTTACAAAGTTTTATGATCATAAGCCTTAAAATGTCCAAAATATGCCTCTAACACACTTTGAAATTGAATGCCTGCAAAGTTCAAAAAGTAGGTCACTGTGACCTACATTTTAATAAATATGTTTTATGGTCCCAAGATGCATCATCTTATAAGATTTAATGATTCTACACCTCTCAGTATTTGAAGTAATGATCTTAAATGTTTTGAAAAAGATTAGCCATAACATTCAGAAAGTAGGTCAAGGTGACCTACTTTTTAGTTGACATACTCCAAGGACCCGAGATGCATCAACTGACAAAGTTTGATGATCATAGGCCTTAAATTGTTCAAAATATGCCTCTAAATCATTTTGAAAAAAGAATGGCCGCAAAATTTAAAAAGTAGGTCACCATGACCTACTTTTGAGTCAACATGGTATGAGGTCCTTAGATGCATCAACTGACAAGACTTGATGATCCTAGTCATTATAGTAAGCAAAATATCAACATTTTAATAAAATGTAATTTTTGGTCAAATTTGAAGTGACCTTGAGACCACGCCCTTTGCCCCAGGGTGATCCCCCGTGCAAATTTTAATCTACAACATATCCTCATCCTTTTGTGTAAGTTTGGTGATAATCTGCCCAGTGGTTCTTGAAAAGAAGATTTTTTAGCAACCACTACCTTTGTTTTTATTTCCCTAATTATCTCCCCTTGTTTAAGGGACACAACCCTAGTTTTAGTATTTAAATGAAAGCCCTTGAGCCAAGGATACTCTGTGACGAATTTGAAAAAAAATTGACTAAGGGGTTCTTGAGATTTGGCCCATTATCCAAAAAGTTTACGCAAACCACACAAATGGTCATAGCATTAGCTCTTTGAGCCTTTGGCTCAGAAGAGCTAAAAATAAATCACTTGATCTTTCATGTCACATAAAAGTGTTGACAGACAGACAATCTGACAGACATGGTAAGTAACACATTTGGTATCTGCAATTGATGCAAGGCCTTGCCGAGCAATGAAAAATTTTACCTTTGTTTTTGCTCTTTTCTCTTCTGTTTTCTCTCTTCAAGTGATTGTATAAACTCCTGCTCTTCTTTAGCAAAAATCTCATCCACCTGTTCTGGTGAAATACTTTTGTCAGATTTCAGCAGGTGAATAAACACACCTCCGGGGGAACGTCTTCTGGTTTTACTCTTTGAGAAAGACAAGGAAAAGAGTGGTGAAATATATCTCGTACATGTATATAGCCTACCATTTCATAAGTTCATGACAACATTGAAAACATGTCAACAACAACAACAAAAAAACAATAAATTTATCTAATTGTCTAAACAAATATGTCTGGGCATAATTTCAGCATGTCGTATTTTGTTACCCTATGACCTTGTCATTGGAAATATGACCCTGAATCAAAGTAAAGACATACTTTTGTATAATAGGCAGAAACAATCAATCAGGTATACAAAAGTATTGCCTCCTTACCTGTGCATTTAAACTTTAAAAATTAAATGAATTAAGTTGATCCTGAATTTATTGGTTATGTTTACCTGTATAAGTAAGCCACCAGCCTCTTCTATGTCTTGCGTTTTGTAAAATAAGTCCAGGGTCTTCTCTTTCCCTATTATTCTGTATATTTTTTCTGTAGAAATGTAGATGGTAAATGTACACAATAGTCCAAATTTTAATGTTTTATGGATTTTTTTCCTAGCAGATAAAATTCCATGTACATGTAAAACATTGAAAGCCAAAAAATAATGCAGATAAGAAAAGCTGTTTAACTTACTGTAGAATGAAGAAAACCAAAATTAAAGATTATGACTCAGAGATTTCCTTGCTCCATACAGAAGCATGTACACATACACACCTATGAGGTACACCTTAGGTTCATTCAGCTTCCTGGTGATCATTTTCACAATTTTGTCAGCCTCTAAATCTGGAAGTGGCTCTTTAAAGTCTCTATCATCATGCACCTTTACTCTCTCTTTCACTGGACGTCTTTCTTTGTGAGTTCGTTTTCGTTTCCTGCTTGAGTTAGAATCCATCTCAGGTAGATCTACCACCTTATTGAATGGATCATGGCTTTCATTATCACTTAATTCATTGGCCAAATCTGGCCTAGTGTCATTATACTTCAGTGTAAAGTCATACTTTTCAACATTGCGGCTATCATCACATGTTGAAGTTTTAACTCCAACATCTTTTAAGTCTTGTGTAAGAGTCTGTTCTGTCAGGACTGAACCCCAGATATTATTTATTTTCCTTTTTGCTGTCTGAGGATTTACATTTCTACTTGCAGGTCTGTCATTTTTGCGTATAGGGGATTTTATCTCCTCAGGTAATTCTGTCACCATACTCTTTTCATCATGCCTGCTAGAAGAAAAATATTTTGCTTTCTTGCATCTCCATAGTGGTGTGTCCTCATCACTGTATGAGGAGGTGTCAGAATCCTCACTGTCCTCATGGTGATTTTTGCTAGATCTGTAACTGACAGCAGGAACTGCCACTGGGCGATTTAATGTGGATGTTGGTAATGAAGTTTTATTTTCATCTTTCTGAAAGTATTCAAAAAATGTTTAAATTTATTTTTTATGAATCAACATGGTCAACAAAAAACAGTTATCAACTGATGATATGATCTCAATCACACTCTAGCTTTAATTACCGATAGTGCCATACGCATCATGTTTTGACAGAGATAGATTTATAAAAAGAAGAAATAAAATGTTAAACAAATCCCTGGAGTCCGAAGCCTGGGACCTGGTAAAATTGGACGCAGGCATGTGGAAATTGCATACTTACAAGCCCGAAAGGCATGTAAATTCTGAGGCCTAAGCCTCTGTATTATCAAATTAAATTATATCAATAACATTAAATGTACTTTAAAGACTGATTTTTCATCTAAAGTGGAGCACCAAACAAAATTTTAACGATAGTTTATTCTACCACGATTTCCAAGGAACTCTTTTGCAAAGGAGACACAAAAAGTGTACAGGTTGAAAACAATATTAGATCGATAGAAATGGATTTCGGATCATTTCCTTTGGCATGAAAAGGCAAATAAGAATAAAATTACTTGACAAAATTCTGGGCATGTAAATATTTGTTCGGGCTAGCGTAATAAGTGGTTAAATATGCCCGAAGGGCATGTACTGAAAAAAAGATTTGGAGAAGACTGCATTGATGCTGATCTCAACAGGATTTGAACATAGGCCCCTGAACTTGAGAATAATGCTCTACCACCTGGTCACCAATGAACAAATCTGCCCAATCACCACTTACTGATACATGTGTAACAGGAAAGGAGAAAATGTATGGCTGGACTGGGAATTGAACCTGGGACCCCTGCATCACTAGTCAGGTGCTCTACCAACTGAGCTACCCAGGCCGATATCAACGGCCCAAACCATTACATTTTCTCCTTTACATTCCATTACACATGTATATAATGTAGTACACAGCACTGTTTTATGCAAAGTAAATGGGAAAGTTGTACGTCTTTTTCCAAAACACATTATATGACATGTTCATAATACTGGATTAATTGTCCACAAGGACTTGTATCTAAGGCCAAACAAAAAAATATGTGTGGTTCCGGTTACACTTCCAAAAAAATTAGGGTAGGTTGGTAGGGAATTTTTTTTTTTTTTTTTTTTTTTTTTAACAAAATGATTTTCTTAATTTTTTCTTTAGAAATAATACCTATCACTGCTTTGCAAATGGCATTTAGATGTGGTGTGATAATATACTAGTCAATATTGGTCGGGGACACCTACATGCTAGTTTGCTTTGGATTTAACACTATTAAACTATGTTCTGCAAGGAGACCGTCATTGCTGAAACTAAAACTTAAACTGGAGCCATTGATGTATATCGGGGAAAATTCCGGAAAAAATATGAAAATTGCCAAAAAACAGTTTAGGGTCGGGGGTATAAAATAGGGAAGGTCGGGTAACCGGAACCACACATATTTTTTTATTTGGCCTAATTAAATGTACAGTATACATATACAATGATGACCACAAAGTGATGCTTGCAAAGTGAGCTTAAAAATGCTTACTAGAATGAAGTATTTACCTTCTCTTAATATAGTTACCCCTACTATAAATTTTTTACAGTAGGGGTAACTATATTAAGAGAAGGTATATATTACGTGACAAGCCCCTGTGGACTGACATAATTGATGTAAACAGGTCCGGCACAATCTCTTGATTAAGCTATATAGCTTGATTTAGCTATTTAGCTTTATTAAGCTATTCAGGATAGTTTGATTTAGCTATTTTATCACACTTTTTTCTCAAATGTGTTATTTTCCAAGTATGCACAAAAAGTCGCACCTTGGTGCAGTGATGATATTTAACCTTGAACTCTTATGAAAATAATGCATGTAAAAATCACTCATCAAATTGCGTCTCCTTAAGAGACTTTGTACTCAAAGTTCTAAAAGTTCTGGGGCTATATAAAGCAATTGATACAGTTACTTCTTCAGTGAAATTATAAACAGTCTAGACGAACTCCAAAAACAGCGTGAACTCCGAAAACGAAGTCTTTGGCTCCATCATGCATTGCGCCAAAATGGCGTCCGATGTAAACAAACGATGGATTATCGTTCGCTTTCTCCAAATATTCGGCTGCATAATGGCTGTATCTAGTGCAATATTACTTCATTTTATTTTTTGTTGAATGGATAATTGCATTTATTAAATTATTTTGTGAATATTGACTTATTTATCGCTTCAAACTCTTGCATATGGGTGAATTGGATATACGACATCAAATTCAATACTGCCGGTAAGAAATATTTTCTTATTAAATTTATTGTCTCCTTGATTTAAATTTTATGTCGTTCCTACACTAAAGGTGCTTTTATTTGTTTTTGGAGACACCCAACTTGTATTTATTTTAATCATAAAATGGGCATTTGTCACCACGGAGTAGGAGTATTAACAGGTTCATTTTTAGAAGATATGTTGTGCCCTTAATATCTAGAAGAGTGGGTTTTAAAGCCTTTATATTGATAGATAATAGTTTTAAAAATGTGTTCATAATAATATCTGTTCGTATATGATAAAAAAATCGGTAAATAACGATGGTAAAAACTTACGCGTCCAATTCAGATGTCGTACACAAATAAAAAACCGGAATGCTAATTTATGTGTAAAATTCAGTCAAGTTTTTAACAGTTACAATATATATTGTCCCATTTTGCAGATATATCCCTTTTTTATGCATATTTACTTCTCAAAACGTATCATTTTCTCTATAATTGATCTGACTTGAAACGTTAACTTTGAAAGTAAATATCTCCTTTTTTGCAAATAAAATCAAAAATCTGACAAATACGATCTCTTCCTAAGTCTTTTATTTAGCATTTCTGAATACTGGTATAATTGCCATACTTTCCAAAACTTTGCAGGGACAATTTTTGTAGACCCATCATTTTTGCCGAAAAATCGCCATTTTTTGTGTGTGTGCGCATGCGTGGACTCTTTTTTCGGAGTCTTTTTCAGTCTCAATTTCTTACTTCCGGAAACGCTGTTTTTGGAGTTCGTCTAGACTGATAAAGGAGGTTTTCTAAAGGAGGTTTTTTATTTTACAAAACTCAAGACATAGAAGAGGCTGGTGGCTTACTCATACAGGTAAACATAACCAGTAAAACATAATGCACACAAGGCAGTGTACAGTTACCCAAACAATGGAAATTCATCTTTTGCTTAAAATTATTCAAATGCTGCAATGTTAGCACTATCGTTGATTTGGGTTGTTGATTTGATAAACCATCTTACATATCAGGATATATGAATAGTCAAATACTTGCGACTTTTTGTCTATTTAGTACAAATAACATTTTTATGAAAACCTGCATATAAATAGCTTTATCAAGCTATTTTGAATAGCTTGATAAAGCTATACAGCTATTTCAAGCTATATAGCTTAATCAAGAGATTGTACCGGACCTGGTAAATATTTACAGATTACATTGCTTTCGATCTATGATTACCCAAATTTAAGAAAACTACACCTTTGGTTGGAATTCATTATCGTTGTCAGAGTCTGTTATTTCTCCTTCTTCAAGGTCAGACATTGCAAGAATAATTTCTTTAAGCAACCCGCCTTTTCTTCTACAACAAAATGACAAAATGACAATAGCCCCTATAACGCAGAAATTTCGTGCTTTTTCCGGTGTTGCAGATTTAAGACAGTTCAATCTAAAAATGATTCGTAGATCAACTATTCACCTACTTGATTACTATAAAATATCTATGAAAAAGCTCTCTCTCTCTCTCTCTTGAATTCAAACTGCGAAAATTGTAATAAAATAATAATATCTCTCGAATAATCATTGTATCAGTGCTATCGGGATTTAACTGTAGCAGGCCCGTAGAACGCAGGGGGGGGGGGGGGCAGGGGGACGCCCTCCCCAACTTTTTTCTGAGTATAGTATTTTGCTATGGTAAATCTTCCTTTGGATGCTGGTCCCCCCACACTTTTTGATGTTGTAAGGTCGAGTACTAGTTTTTTTTTGGGGGGGGGGGGGCTTGTCAGATAATTTTGGGAAGATGGCCGCCCCACTTTTGGTCAGTTTAGGTTTTTTTAGGGGGGGGAGTCCCCCCCCCCATTTTTGAAGGACTAGGCCCGAACAACAGTACAAAGAGGGGCGGGGGCATCCCCCTAGTATTGTTTACAATATAAAACAAAGCTTATTCATAGTTGTACCCCTCAGTAATTTTTCCAGTATTTATTTTACTATACACAATAGAGATCAAAACTAATTTACGGTTGCGCCCAGAGGGTCGGGAGACAGTCTGGGCAAAAGATATAGAGTATTATACTATATGTACGGTTTTTGCTCAGATTGTCTCAATTCCCTGTGGTTGTGCCCGCATTAATAACGTCTGATGCCCTTTTTTTTGTCCGCCGCTTTCACAGAAAGTAGGGGATATTAATTTTATTTGTCTGTCTAGATCTGTCCGTCAGTCTGTCCATCCCTCATTCTGTGTGTCTCTGTGTAACACTTTCGCTTCCAAAAAGCCTTTGAGCTTTTGCATTGAAAATTTATATCACAAACACCTATGGCGCAACGAAGACCGGTTTTGATTTTGATGTCCAAAGGTCATGGTCAGAAATTTATGCATTCTGTCTGTGGAACACTTTCATTTCTGAATGATATCCCAAAATGCCTTTGAGCGTTTGCAGTGAAATTTTATGTCACAACTCCCCATGACCTAAAGAGGACCCCTATTGATTTTGAGGTCAATAGGTCAAAGATCAAGGTAAGAAACTAATACATTGGGAAAATGGTTTCCAGATGATAACTTCGGTTTTCTTGATGATTTTTAATGTCATTTTGTATTATAACTCTCAATGTCATTAAGAAGACCCCTATTGATTTGTCAAAAGGTCAAAGGTCATGGTCAGAAATTCCTACATTCTATCTGAGTAAAACACTTTCATTTCTAGACGATCTCTCAGAAAGCCTTTGAGCTTTTGCAATTAAATTTAATATCACAACTCCCTATGACCTAAAGAAGACCCCTATTGATTTCGAGGTCAATAGGTCAAGGTCAGAAATTCATACATTAAAACAGGGTTTCCAGATTATAATTTTAGTTTTCTTTAAGATTTTTCAATGAAATTTTATATTATAAGTCTCCATGTCTTAAAGAATAACCCAATTGATTTTGAGGTCGAAAGGATAAGCTAAAAAAATTAATTTCCATAGAATGGTTTCCTGGTGATAACTTTAGTTCTTTTTTGGGATTTTGCATGAAAATTTATACCTTTAGATAATTTAACTTTTAAAGGAACTTGTTGAATTTTTTTCAAGGGAAAATATCAAATGTGTCTTATACTAAAAAAAGTTTAGCTTTGCTTTAATAGCCATTGCCATGAAATACTGAAAATAACAAACTCATTTATTAAAAAAAAAAATGTCATATATCTAGAAATGATTGTATTACATAATTATTGTACAAATGATTGTATGATTTATGCGTATCTTCACATTCTAGAATATTGTATAAATGTATGAAAATTGATGATTCTTATATGTTGTGCCTTTGCCAATTATTGTAATTGTGTTTGCGCCAATAAATATTGTATTGTATCGATGGTGTTTAACTTAACTATTAACTATTGATTTTGAGGTCAAAAGGTGAGAGACCATATATTGCATACATATTGCATACATAGTTTTTCGGATGACAGCTTTAGTCATGGCCGTAACTAGGCTAAAATTTTTAGTGAGGCAAGGATTCTGGGGGCCACCCGAGTCCCAAGCGGGTCGAGGGTAGTGCCCTGATGGGGTTCTGGGGGGGGGGGGCAGGGTCTCAAAAGCTGGATTTTAGTACATTAAAGACTTAATCTTTGAAAATTTTCACATATTTTGAATTATTTTTTACATGCTTTCTAATCTATATAATGAAGCACCAGGTGAGATGATCGATTTTCAAAAATTGAAAGTAAAGTTGAAAGTATTATAATGAATTTAGTACAAAGACGCAAAATAATTTCAGATCAAAGTAAAGCCATTTTCAATTTTCAGCAAACCTTAAAATTTTATAGTGAGGCATTTGCCTCACTTGCCTCAATGGTAGTTACGGCCTTGTTAGTTTTTTTGTTAGCTTTTGCAATGAAGCTTAGGGTCATGAATTTCTTTAACGCAAAAAAAACTCCTTTTGACTTTAAGGCCAAAAGCTGAACGACTTTTTTCCACACATGAATTTCTTTCAGGTCTTCCACTCTTTCTTTTTTTTCCTTCAGCGGGGGACATAAATTCTTTGAATTAGCTTTCTTTTTGCTTGTTAAAAATTTCTGTTAGGTTGTCCCTCCCTCCCCCCCCGCCCCTGAAATGGGTTGCTTGGCTTTTTCTTCATTAGTGTGGTACCCTTCACACAATTTCGTTCACACACTCTCTACATTGGCTTATGTAACCTCTAGACGAAAGACAGGGACCAAAGGAATGAAAACAAAGTTTAACGCATGGTTTAGAACATGAAAGATCTGCATAAGGTTGAAATTATCTTGTGCTCTAGCATTGGTTTGGGAATGACCATTTGATTCTGAAAAAGGGTGTGGCATTTTTTCCAAGTCAGATTATTTATTATATCAGTGAAGGACTTTTTATTTATTTTTTCCAAGATGATCAGGGACAGATTTATTTTCATTTTTACTGAAAAAAGTTTGACCCCCCCCCCAATTAAATAGTAACAAATCTGGCGGGCCCTCCTCCCCCCCCCCCCCCCCCCTCAAAAAAGCACACACACACACGTCAGAATCAAATAATTGTTATCACCTCTTACAGCCATAATATAGAATAAATCACAGATATAAATAAAGATTTATGTCACTGAATCTCTTTTTCTTTGTTTACCAGAGACATTAATAACAATTTATGTTTCTGCTTGCATCATATATATATATATATATATATATATATATATATATATATATATATATATATATATATATATATATATATATATATAATCCCTAACATTTTTCTTTTTCCACTTAGCATGCTAAGTATCTGGAATACTTTGATTTCATGTTTCATTATTGTCTTCAATTTCTGATAATGGGTAAGTGCAGTCATTATTTCTTTCAGAAACAGATGAACACCCCCCCCCCCCTAAAATGCACAGTGCTTTTTGGAGATGAACCCCTCCCACGAATCAGTTGTATTCAAACATCATCCTGTTTCGCCGATTCATTAGCAAAACATTTTCATGTTAATGATTTTTTTTTTTTACATTTTTGAAAATATTTGCAACATTTGTCCTTTATTGCATGATTAAATAACACAACTACAAACTGAAACTCTTAACTTTTTATTGTTATAATTCAGTATCAACTACATATATTCTGGACGGATGATAAATCAACTACAACATCAGAAGCTTTAAAACTACATACATATATCACATCAAATATTATGGCAAGTTACAAAATAGACGTTTAATGACTGTACCTTTGAACTAAAAAGAATATTATTCAGTACTGACTAAAAACAAACAAATCAAAAGAATGGAAAGTCAGATGTGATGAATTGATATCATTTTTCAGTGAGAGGCTCAAGACCACCATGTTTTTCCAAACTAACACATTCACATATTATCTTTACCTATACAAATATGCATCTAATACAATGAAAATGATCATTAGCATCAATAAGTCACATAAAAAGATTACACCTGCACATGGAGGTTTTCCTATGATATGGATTTTTAAAATAAACATGTCGACTACAGAATATTTATATTCAAAAACGTTTTCCTTTATAAAACACTATTTAAGCAACGCATATCTATATCTGTATAAATAGAGGTTCCTCACATCATAAATGTTCAACGTAATTTCTCAGTGACGTCATAGGGTTGACGCACATTCAATGGATCAAACTTGTGCCTTTGAGTTTTGAAAAATAAAACATTTCATGCATTAAAGATTATCCTCAGGCAAATATATATTATTAAAAAGTCACAAATGTAAATATAAGTAATAAGGTATCATTTTTAAACATCTATTGGGATATAAATACGGGTTGGTACATGATAAAATTTACCAGAAAGCCCTTCAGGCTTTATGGAATTTGATCACGTGACCAACCCGTATTTATATCCCGATAGATGTTTAAAAATGATACCTTATTACTTAAGAATTTGACAAGATTCAGACAGAAGCATTCAACTGGGAATAAAATATGGTAGTGAAGGAGATAAAAAGAGGAGATTTAACTGCGACTTTCCATACTACTGCTGCTTAGTTGTAAACAATTTTCTGAAACATTCAGACTTCATAAAGCAGTAAAAAAATCCATTCAGACACGTATACATTTATACACATCATACAATGACACTAATGCCATGGTGCTTTTCAAATATATTGAGACATAGACAAATGGGCTACAACGCTTACCTGAGTATCATCTTAGTCTCTTCTTAAGAAATGAATATGTTGATAAATGAAACCATTTACTGTTGCCATCAACTCACAATCCATAGTTTTTATCAATCTTGATATACAGAATATTCACTGAATTTTGATATCAAGTTTACAATTGTTGCCTTATTATTATAATTCTGCTAAAAGGAAATCTTATTTCTGTGTTAGGATTTGAAAGCCTGTTTGTGCCCAACCCTAGCTCAAAGAGCCAAGACCACTTTACAAATTTGAATCTACACAATATTAAAAATGGTATTTGTATAATCTTCTCTCTCTTAAAAAACATGGTGTCCTCTTATACTCAGTTCATTAGGTATTCATAAGCTTTGATCACCTCCAAAATAAACATTCTTTGATCTCATTCAACAGCAAAAAATACAAAATAGTATACATTTAACTAGAAAACACTGCCAATGTAAAATAATGATGTACATTTTACAACTACATGTAGATCATACAGACACAAATGAAAGCTGCCACTGGATTAAAACACCTACTGTAAGAGAAGGCAAATAAATTATCCTCTAGAGAGGTAGAGTCAAGCTAAAAAAATGTTCATCTTACATAACTAATAAGCCTATCAACATCATTATTCTTATAAAGCCTTTTAGATCTTGTTAAATCCATCTTCTGTTTTCTTGGACTCCAAAAGCTTTTTGTTGAAGCTCTCAAATGCCACTCTAATGCCCTCTCTGTCTGAGCTGGTACAGGTATGGATTTCCCAATGTCGGCTGTTAGATTCCAAATCTAATTCCAAGATTTTTTGCAACTAAAAATGTGAAATTAAAAGAAGAATTATTATTTTGCTTAAGGATCAATTTCTTCATAATATAAAAACAATACGACAAATAAACTAAAAAACTAAACTGTAATTATTTACTAATATGTAAAAATTATAATATATATATATATATATAAAAAGAACCTCTTCCTTGGACTTGGCCCCTTCTTTGTCACTGTAGTTACAGAGCACCATCAAAGGGAGATTATCAAGCTCAGGGTCAGCTAGTGCTTGATGAAGGGCGGTGTTGGTCAGTTGCAGATCTTCATCACCAGCAGAGCTGTCTACAACAAATACTACCCCCTCTGCTCCCCCAAAGTATTTATCCCAGTATGGACGGACATTGTCTCCTCCTGCAATGCGAATTTACCACAAAGTGATCTTAGCTTCTAAGAAGAAATCTCTCAAGAAAATGTGCAATTTAACATATCAGTAGGAGTCTTTTCTTAAATAATAGGGACTTATGATATAAAATAGGGATGGCAATCGATTACAGAATTGCTAATCGGTTAATCGCAAGATGTTCTGACCGATTAATCGGTTAATCGTATCAAAATACATATTTTTCCCCCAAGTTAATCTATTCATATACACAAGAAGACTAAAACAGGAGTAAGAAGTTAGAAACTTTCTGTTTATTTTCTTCATAGTGATGTACATATATTTTTCTTCAATTTCAAAAGACAAGAAAAAATTAAGAAAACCATGAACCTTGCCTCAGAATTCAGACACGATTTTTCCAGTGTACATGTAGATGTCACACAGGTTCATTCTGCATTGTCACCATAATCAAAACAATGCTCGAACTTCCACTTAATTTACAATGCTTCTTCTAATGATATGATTTAATAGATAACGACAAAAGATAGGCATACTAATTCACAGTGCTCAACGGTGATCTATTTATTATCATCAAAGAATTATGGGACAGTTGGGGTAACGACATAATGTTTTTTTTTTAATCAGTATTAATTAACACTTCCCAAACTGACCAATTACCCTATCAATCTGGTCAGCCATAATTACCTTCAATTAAGCTTGATAATAAGATTTGTAAAACACTAAGTTATCAACTCGTCACAGATAAAACACATGTCACCTTTTTGTGCAAAGGTTTCCTTTTGCAAAAATGAATTTAAAAAAATTGCGCTCAAAGTTACAAATATTTTATTTTTTCCGACTAACCGATTACGGATTTTCTAACCAATTACCATTGTTCCAACCGATTAATCAGTTAATCAGTTACAAATTGCCATCCCTAATATAATATTTCAAATTACACACTGACAAAATATAGATGGACAGATAAAGCCAAATCAATGTCCCTCTCTTTTAGCTGAAGTGGAAGACAAAAAAAAAAAAAAGGAATGAGTAAAATAATTTTTGTTTTAAAATATATTTTTTATCCTTACCTCCTAGTTCTTTAACATCAACTATACAATTACTAAATATCAAGGCTTTTATACTGAAACCTGTCAAAAAAAAAAAGGTTCTAAGCAGAAACAAAATTTAAATTTCATTTGTTCAACTTAATGGTCTAAATTTATAACTGTACAACATATAGATAAATTCTAAAATTTTTGTACAAACCAACAGTTGGCTCGATATTTTCTGTGCTTTCCCCACTTAAAACTGACAATAAAGTACTTTTCCCTGTCTTTGACAAACCAAGACACAGAACTGTAAAGTTAGGCTTTGCTGCTGGAGGATCCCGTCCACACATCCTCCTGAAGAACTACAAAACACAGGCATTGATTAGCACACTCTTACAAATGTATTCAAAAGAAAACCCTTTTTGCCAAAAGTCATTCTTATTTGAATTCAAAACTCTTGCTCGTATGCAGCTGCAAAGTTTGCAAAAGATCTACACCCACTTTTTGGTCCACTAATTGTCACTCTGTGTTCTTTGTGTTGAAAATGTAAATAAGGTACATGCACTCTATCAAGACTACTATTTCAGCTCTCATATCATTATTTTTTTTATTTTCACAATATCTGAATTATATTTTTTTGGAAATAGCATAGACCTTCCTTTGAATAAAATTGGGTTCCCATCAACCACAGATGCTTTGGGGAAAGTCTGGGTGAAATTGATCTGGTGGTAAAGGAGACAAATTTGTGATATTGACTTGTTGGTACTGGAAATGAATTTGATTGATTTGAATGGTTGTTTTAATGGCTCTCATTTTTTAGTGATCTGTAAAATTTAACAGGACACCATCTGTTTGGCCTTTTTCATCCACTGATTTAGCAAGCTCTTGTATGATATTAATGAGCTGGGTTGTTGCTTTCTGTAACTGTGTTGAGAGTTCATTTGGATTCAGTGGTGTTCCAGACATAACATGGCTTCTGATGCTGTGTTGAAGCATTTTGAATGTTTATAGATGTCAGTAAGACAGGTCTTTGGTTTTCTGGTTTGTTATTTGGTTCTTTTCTGAATACTAGAACGATGGCTGCCCTTTTCTAGTCTTCTGGAATGATGGATATTTGAAGAAAAAAAAATGTGAGAATTTAACAGATAAAACTCTGTGACTGCAAGCTTCATTCTGGTTAAAATCAACCTTTCTCTTTCTAGCTATTGACTAACAACAGACTAAAAGGTGTGGGGAGGTTAATAGCGAGCACAGCAAGCAGCGTAAAGAACTGATATCGTTGAGAGCTCTTATGACAGTACCTGGGTAAAGAGAATATTACTTCGCACATTGATCCAAATGAATTTTCTTCTGCAGTAACTTCTGGACCCACAATCCTTTGCAATGTAGTGGTTAAGATGCTACTGGGCCGATGTACCCAATCCCCATTACAGCAAAATGGATCTTGCTACAAACTACTGTATTTTCTTGTGATAATAACAATATTTAATTAAAAATAAACTCACCTTGATTTAACAATTGTTAAATGGGACTGCAGATAGATAGTAGATAAAGTGTTCTTTGCTAACAGTTGCACTTCTCAGACTTTGTCATGGAAATGCAACTAATATACAATGTCATGTAACATCACAATCAAGATCTTCCAAATGCTTTGTGCGATTTGAAGAGGCAGATCTAAGTTAAATAAGTTGAATAGGTATCCAGTAAAACACAACTGCGCTCGCCCCAACAGTTGCACTGTCAACATATTAATACTGAAGTAGTTAGTGGTACTTCTTTTGTCACTGATCATTAATACCTATAGCGGTATGTAACAATTAAATGTACAAATACTCCGCCCTCAGTAAAAGCTGCACTGTCATATTTTTCATTTATTGTCATAGTGTTCCTTCTTTCTTCTTGGTGAGCCCCTCCTGTAATTGAGCACACCATTAAAAAATGGGTGTAAATAGTTTATTTTAACCTTATACATGTGTACATTGAAACACCTAGTTAACGAGGTTCGCTCCTGAGCTTTTGAGCAGATTTTTATCTTAACCTATATTTCAAAAATTCTGCATAATTTTTTAACTCTTACAATAAATTTGGATTCTACAATGCCAGTTTAACTATATTCAGTTAAAACTCCATGATTAAATTCCATACCTAAAGCATTGAATGAGGAACTATATTTTGTGGTGGAAGGTTTTTTTTTAGAAGAAAATGATCATTTTTTCTCTTTCGAAGTATTTAAAGAATGTTAAGTTTGGATTCCTATTTTTACATACAGTCTGCACTTATAGTTATTTTCTGCAGTGGGCTGTTTTATACTGGTCCTAAATTATCTATTAAATAAACTGTCATGAATTCTATCATAATATTTGATAAATATAGCAAATATATTGTGAAAAATGAAGAAAAAAAAAAGCCCTAATTTAAGCTTAAAATTAGCACTATTTTGGTAATATCTAAAAATTAACATCACAGACCCCAACTTTTAATTTTCTTTTCTGAATATATACGACACTTTTAACCATTTTTCTTAAGGAAGAGATTGCAAGGGTCCATGAAAAAAATCCGCTCTATGAATTTTTCTCATTTTTACATATAATTTGCCTTACGTTAATGGTATCATAATATGAAAATGTCAACCATGGTCATCAGGGTTATAAGGAAGATATGGTTGCCATGGTAACCACCGTTTTTCAATATTTTGATATTTGTGTAGTGAAATTTTAAGGATGGCATACAGGTATCAAAATTAAACCAAATTAAATAATTTTCAGCAGATATTAAATAATATGCTTTATATTCATTGAAAATAAAAATTGTATCGGAAACTATTGATAGATGTAGTAATGCCACAGTTGCTTTGGGGAGTAGTCGTTGTAAATTTGCAGTAATATTTTCACCCCAAGAACAGTTTTCAGCGTCTTGACAAAAAATTGCCCAATGAATTTTCCTAAAATCAATATATTTTGTAACAATTATTATAAGTGACTTATGATTAAAATATGAAGTGGGGTCATCACATTCTTTTTTAAGCTACATGCATTTCAATAACCCCCCCCCCCTTCCTAAAATATCAAAAGATTTCATAAACTTTAATCTGAGGGTTTGTTGCTGAACCTTTAATATGCATAATCTGTTTAAAAAAAACTATAGAAAATACGTATAGATTAATAAATATTTTTTTCTGAAAATCTTTTGGTGGTTGCTCATTTTATATGTAGAGCAGAATGATAAAAGTATCATGTACACAAAAACGACAGCAAAAGCACATTTTTTTTTTAATTTTCCCATCTCAAAATATTCATTCCGTTATTATATCAATAAAAATATATACATTCTAAACCAGTGCACAGTGGTCCAAGGGCCAAATTGTTCATGATCTGAACACTCATCTAGTTCTCTGCACTGTGACTTGGAATCGGAAAGGGGGGGGGGGGGTCACATGAACACATTGAATGAATAGGTTATTTCAGAGAACTTGTACCTGCAATATATACCGTATATAAAAATCCTAGCTATTATCTTATTTGACAAATTTTAGTGATTTGCTATTTGATATTTATATTTGCAAATATTTTTCCTTCAGATTCATTGCAAGTTAAAAAAAAACAAATCAGTTTCTCATGAACTAGGTAAGCATTCATATCTCCATTGTGACGTCATAATGCCACACTTGACGTCAAAACTAAAGTGCAAACTGTTTAGTTTCAAAAATAATCGTTGAATGACATTATAATTTATAAATTTGCGCTTCATGCTCACGCGGTTCATGAAATATGCTGAGGTTAAGCGATTTTGTTCATGTCCTATGAATTTTTAAAAAATAAATTCATTTTTCAAATATATTCCCGTGAGCATGATGAGTTGAAGTGTTTTTTTTAAAATGTATCTGCTCAAAATAATTTTCTCTCTCTGGTACACCTGGTACCTCCGTAGTACCTCGATTGTCAGAATTAACCTCTCTTAGTTTCGTCTGTCATTCTTACACGCGTATTTTTTGCTAGATTTGTGAAAACTTGCAAAAAGAAACTTTTCTTTTCTGTCAAAAGAAGTGTGTTGAGTTTCAATTTTTTGCCAAATACGGTGCATAAAACATTTTATCACAACAAATGTTTACGCAATATATGTGCCGACGATTCAATGTTTACATTGTCTATGTAAGAGTTGAAAATGCTAGAGAAGATCTTACAGAGGAAAACAGTTTCCTCTGCGATATTTTAAAAAATACGTTCATGTCCAGCATGCGACCTCAAACTGGTCTATACACGTATATATGAAAATCGCATTTGTTTATCTGCCCATCCATATAGGCCTATATTCATTATAATCACTGAGAAAATCACGCCGTCTGAAGCTTCTAGGAATTGAATATCTTATTCATAGATGTAGATCCTATAGTAGAGAAACCGATCTCAAATAAAATTCTAAAATTCTAAATAAAACTAGAGGACATAAAGATCCAGATATGAATTAAATTTATTCATGAAATAGATTTCAGTGTTCAGAACTACGATAAAAGGTAGACGTGTCAAAACGAAAAAAAAAAACACAGGGATAAAAAAAAAAAAATCTGCGTCGACGCTCACCAACACTCTGCAAATTCACATCTTTATCTTATTCTTTCTCTGTTTTAAAAATATTGCCACGAAGACTTTTTGTCATTGGCGTAATCATAATCACGTTCCTTATTCAGCTGTTATTCCGGAAATGGTTACCGTAAACCTTCTTTTTTTAAACATCACGAGTCGATCACGTGACGCCTTGCAATCGCTTCCTTAAATTCAGTAAAATGTCATTACTTTTAAATGATTTTTTTGCTTGTTAAATTTTTAATGCCAGAAAAATGAAAATGTTTGAGTGCAAAAAGGTCAAATAATTGAACATGCGGAGTAATTTGAAAATTTCTTCGTTGTCACATATTTTTATGTGTCTATTTAAGATGAAATAAGACTGTTTTTGTTCCCATAATTTATTTGAACAAAAAATGTTGGAAGAAAAACTTTAAAAATTGATTTATGTGCAAGACGTATTTACAGTGCAAAAAGGTCAAACTAAATGCTCTGTAGCGCCAAAAGAAGCGCATTGACACCCATTTTTTGTTTTGATTTTTAATAAAGCTATGTGTATAAATTCTAAAAATATACTTGATAAAAAATGCTCATTAATGGCAGGATCCAACCTCCTTAAAACGCTGTAAAAATAAAGGTTTTATCTATTTACCGAATAGATGTAAATCCTTATTACTGCACAAAACAATTGTAGGTTTTGGCACATTATGCTTCTTGAGTTTGCAATAAGGGTGAATACTTCAATCAATCATTAATTAATCAATTCCAGTCAACTGAGACAGACAACTGTCAACTGTAAACTTCTTAGCAGGTGTCATAACAGTATTTCACTTGAGGTTCACGTCAAATCATGGCTGACGCAAAATAATTCCTGAATCTTCCCTTCCGATTCGGGCATTTTAACACGAGACTGGAGCTGAATTTTTTTATGAGATGAAAAACAATATGTAAACTTCCTGAATTGACTAGATTCATTATAATTTAGGGCGTGCTGACTTTTCTATATACTGTATTTGAGTGGGGAGTGATTAGGCCCTGGACTTGATTTTCAAGCACCTGCTCGACTTCGACCGAAACAAACTTGCGTGCCTTGCTGGATGGCTATGTATTTTTTGGTACTAAAATCTTTATAAAGAATTGTTTTACAAGATCTGAAAAGGAAACTTCTCAAAAGTTTGTTTTCAATTAATACCACCTACTCAAAGTTGCGACTTTTTGGTAAGAATATATAGCGAAATTTAATACTGTTGTGCAACCTGCAGTAAAACCAGATTTTATACTTAGAAATATTGTAGTCTATAATTTAAGGTTTAATTTCGTGAGTTTAGACGGAAAATGAGAAATAATGGCATTTTTTGGCCGTCATTGCTGTCCGTTCGCGTTTAATGGAGCATAGAAAATTAGTCCAGATTTCCTCTAAAATAATTTATCTTGACCACACAAGGGCCTGATTTCGATGTATCGGGTTGAGAGAAATGCATGAAAATTAGAAGACACTTTAACAAATACCTTGCCATCACACTCGTTAACATTATTTACTCACAAACAATTTCAAATTCTATAAATTTAAAGAATTTAGACTAAACCCGGAGCAAAATAAAAATTCTGAATTTGTGTAAATATCGGTTAATTTGGAACACAGTGGTAACAGATACAGAAATCTGGTTAGAAAAAAGAATTATTTAGGCAAAACAATCGTAATTAAGCAGAAAACGCCATGGTATTTCAATAATATGCATTATTTCAATGCTCTTTTTAACCCCACCCTCCTTCCTTATGACAAAGACTACTTCTTTCGCCCTGTTATAAAAAGCAAACATATTTTAAATAATTTTTAATCCTTATGTGAATCAGCATGCATTAATTAAAAATTTGAGACGAAAAAATAACAAAAGTTCAAGGCGCAAGATCATGACATACAGTTCAACTTTTGCCATATTTTTAGAAATCCGTGTTCACCGCGAACACCCCTGTCACCGAGTGTCGCCAATATTTTTCCTACCTTGAGAGGGAATTTTATGAAACTTGCTTTATTTCATTGAATATTCATTACAGATCGGGAAAATAGCATTATACTTGCAAGCAAAAATTTTAAGTTTTATTGCAGGTGTCATAACAGTATTTCACTTGAGGTTCACGTCAAATCATGGCTGACGCAAAATAATTCCTGAATCTTCCCTTCCGATTCGGGCATTTTAACACGAGACTGGAGCTGAATTTTTTTATGAGATGAAAAACAATATGTAAACTTCCTGAATTGACTAGATTCATTATAATTTAGGGCGTGCTGACTTTTCTATATACTGTATTTGAGTGGGGAGTGATTAGGCCCTGGACTTGATTTTCAAGCACCTGCTCGACTTCGACCGAAACAAACTTGCGTGCCTTGCTGGATGGCTATGTATTTTTTGGTACTAAAATCTTTATAAAGAATTGTTTTACAAGATCTGAAAAGGAAACTTCTCAAAAGTTTGTTTTCAATTAATACCACCTACTCAAAGTTGCGACTTTTTGGTAAGAATATATAGCGAAATTTAATACTGTTGTGCAACCTTAGAATTTCAAGCCGGAAGTTGTATGTGACGCGGAACATTCTGATAGTAATACGGAAAAACATTATTTTCCCGGGAAAATATTGTGCCGTAAGACCGAGTCTTACATGTAGTATTATAAATGCTTTTCTTTTAGGCAAAAAAGTTATTGTTTAGTTTCTCAAACCAATAATTTCAAAATTCAATGCAGTAGCAAATAGGCAGGTCTTTTTTTTTTTAGGGGGGGGGGGTTGACTCAAGCATGATCTCTCTTTTTTTGTCAGACAACAAAATTATTACTCCTCACAACGTAAGGGGTCCTGAGTCAACACGTTGCCGTTTGACCCCGGTCCAACGGCAACGTGTTGACACACGACCCCTGACGTGAGGATGAAACTAATATTTCTTACGTCTTTGGTAAATATAACTCAACTCAACTTTATATAATGTTCCAATCTAATTAAAATTAGATGTTCCGAATCCGCTACCGCTTCTCAAAGCTTGAGAAGCGGTAGCGGATTCGGAACATCTAATTTTAATTAGATTGTATAATGTTCCAAACCGTGGCATTTTTATAAAAAGTTAATTCATAAAATAACGCTTTAAGAAGAAATCTTAACCGTGTAAAGGTTGCATATGAGTACGCTGAAATTCTCATATCTTGAGATTGGTCATCTGCAAAAAGCATTTATTATTCTACACAAATGTACCGGCGCAGATGCTTGCCTTCGGAGATCAGGTCTCCCAACTATCCGTTGAAATTTTGACGGGCACTAATTCCGCTCCTTTACTTAATAATCTGATTTATATATTTTTATGAAGCACAATCTTTCACAAACTTCTACACGAAAAGAATAAAACTTCCGGGGGTGGCTTCGATGAGATTTCCACAACACAATACTGTAGTCGATTTATGATGCACTACCTTCACGAAAAATCCTGCTTGCAAGCTGTGTAAGAAAAGGGGCATCTTATCTGAGTGCTTGGTTGCACTGATGCAAGGCCGGTGAAGGTGGAGACATGACAGAGCCTAAAGGGAACTGGCTGATGTGGTGGAGAAGGGGGAGAACAAGAAAGAGGAGGAGCAAGAATCATCTGTCATCAACTGCATAAGGGAGGGTGCAAAACCTTAGGACAAGAAAGGATGGAAATTATCGGTGCTTGACATAGGAGGAGGATTGGAACTTGGGTGAATCTGAATACGAATCTTGTCTGTCCAGGGATAGTACATACACCGTTAAGACAAGACATGGTGCTGTGGTCCAAACAGGCCAAGACACCATAGAGTTTTCAGTGCCATATAGCAGCAGAATTCTTATTAGGAGCACCAGAGGAAAAGTCTGAGGTATGAGACCTGATGGCAGACTGCAGGGAGAAGGGTAGGGAGGGCGAGGTCGGGAGAGAAGGTTTCCCAGCCCAGTCATTGTCGAAATTGTTCTAGACTTTAGGTATGGTGCTGTCATTGCAGAAAGCTGTACATCTGACAGAAGCAGTAGAGAAGTCATCAAGCTCGGATTGGCACAGACGAAAGAAGTCGAGCTGGATGTCTGGAGCCAAAGATTATACTGCATGGAGTGGATTGGCCACCACTGCTGAACCACCGACTTGAAGATGTCATCGTCTAGGCTCGAAACATTCTTACTTTCGTGTTTCTGGAATATATGAACCTTGATTTCAGGAGTCAACTTGAATTTAAGATATGGACACACCCTACCTCTCCCCAGCATAAACGGGGGTGGGGTGGGGGTTAGAAAACTTCCTACTCTGAGGAGGCACAACGTTAACAGTAAATTATAGCTTTGTTTTTGATAGTATAACAGCCAAAAATATTAAGCGGACACAACTGCGTGCATGTAAATTAGCTTCGTTTTCTATTGCGAAGTATAGTTATTGTGGGCACCCCCACCACATATTCCTACGATATGTGTTTTGATATTTATACATGTATATCTACAGCGAAAATAAAAATAAACACATGCATGGTTTTAAAGAATGCCACTTTAGTTCGCTTTCGAATTCTTTCTCTCTTACTCAAAGGGGGTCGATGGTGGTCTAATATATAAAGTCCTCTACAAAAGTTTAGAATTTTTCAATTTCAATTTGTTTATGACAATTAATTGCCATATACAAATTTAAATTGAAAAATTCTAAATTTTTGTAAAGGACAATAATTCTATCCACTGATTTTAAAAACTGCTGTCGATCATTGCCGTTTGCTATATTAAAACGTGCTTTTTTTGCAATACAACGCATTCAAAATATGAAGAAATTGTTATTCTCAGAAATGATAATACTTCTAAGCGTTTGTTGTGAAATGGAATATTTCTGCTTTGCTTAAGGACAGACGATACGTTCCTCAATAATATATAATTTTTTCCAAGATTTTGTCATTGAAGGATTGCTACTTTAAGATGTTTACTCGCAAAAAATTGAGGTACCTTACCAGGCATTTGTGAAAGATACCAGAGGATGTTTTTCCTATAAAATCCTTTTGGGAAAAAATTAATTAGCCAATAACACATTTTTTGGTGTTTCATATTTTTAAAGACAATTAGAAATCAGTTTAGAAATCAGGAGGTAATTAAAATTTTGAATATTTTCCACATAATTCGAAGGTATACAAAACAGATATTTGAGGAACGTATCGGCTGACCTTAAGACAACACAAAATTTATATTCTAATCTAGGTTTGGCTTCTGAAAATGCTAATGAGTTAGGTTGCTTTAGAAAGACAGCAACTGATCTGGGTTTGAGTTTGAGGATGAACCAGCATGTAAGTAAAATTTAGCAACAAACCATCATGCATCTTCCACTTGAAACAGATAGTTCATTGCTCCATTTATTATATGCATGTATACTGACAAGTTCTTCAAGTTGTACCTCATGCACCATATTTACATTGAGCGAATTCGATCTAGACGACAACAGAAAGAATTTCGAAAGGGTCTTCTTGTTATAGGTGTTGTTAGATTTGTCTTTCTTACCATGTAATTTGCCCCCCCCCCCCCCCAAGAAAAACTGTATGTACAAGTGCCACACTAAATAATACAAGTTGTTTCCTTTGCATCCTTGCAAGTTGTTTTTCTCTCATTTGTGTGTGTGTTTTGTTAGTTTTTTTTTTTTTTTGTTGGTCCTCAACATCACTTAAAGTATATATCGGGGAGAAAAATTTTATAAACATCAGATAATAAAAAAAAAAAAAGCCGGATTATTAAGCATGGCTAATAAATTTTGTAGAAATTTTACAAAATTCTCCAAACAGCATACTCAATGAAAGGTCCATTACACAGTTTCTTCTAACACCCAGTAAAATAAATTATGTCAAGTTTATGATGTTCAACTGGAATACACTTTTTAAAAAGATTAATATCAAGTTAAGACTGTGTAAACTATCATGTTTTGGACTTCGAGTTTTAGTCAAGGAATATAATTACATTTCATTTTTTTTTCACATCGGATTCGAAGCATTTATCAGTTTATGCTATTCCACCCACACCTCGAAATGTTTTCGTCTCAACCCGGATTAAAAACAGTAGTCCACTCCCGTGGTCCAAATCCTTTAAATAACTCTGAACTTGATCATAACCTTGTATTTTATAAATACATTACAGAATTACATCTTATAAATATAACTAATTTTATCGTTATGTTTTCTCTATCTAAGGAAATAGGTCTAAATAAAGCTGGTCCCAACTTTAGAAACGAAACTATTATCAAGTAGCCAGGTTGTGTCGTGTAGGGCACCGCCCACAAAATTGTTTTCATTCTTCCAGCAGATGTCGCTGCACTCGACACACCTGTATCAGGTGAAGATTGCGGGTGGAAGCCATTTATTGTGACAGTCTGTAAACTTTTCAACTGATTATTGCAGTGCACTACTTTGGCAATATTAATTCGCGAGAAATTTCGGACAATCAAAGTGAAACCGGTTTTGTGGATCGAATTAGTCGCGGCCTGTGTGCTGTTTGGTAAGTTACTGTTGGCGCGAAGTTGCATGTCCTCAGAAAATCGATAGGATAGGCCCAGGATAATCACTTGTTAAAGAAGTTTTGTATTCAGTAGTGAAAAGTGCATTACGTGATATTTGTGTGAGTGAAAGTTCTTATTTGAGGAAGAAAGGATTTTTCATTCAAATATGTGCTCATGGTCGAATGTCATTGAAATATTGTTGAAGTGATTTCATGTAAACAAATCTGCTCGACCCCTGCTATTAGACTACTGATGACCATTTTTATGAATTGACACTTGATTTATTTGGTTTGGTATAAATTGTGAATTTATTACTTTGCTGTTTAACAATCTAAAACAAAGGTTAATTTATGCAAAACACAAGTAATGGGATCGCCATGTGGACAAACAGGTTTGTGAATTAGGGAAGGCATTTTCTCTCAATAATAATTTTGTGAATTTTAAGAAGTCATCCATGAAACATATCTGAAAAGTTATTAAAGACATATATATATTAATATGTGGGGTAGCAGACGAAATTTTTATTACAATGGATGACATTTTTTTTTTCTATTTTATATTCAGTATGAAGTGCAAACTTTAAATGCACACATATGTTTGGTTTAATTTAATCAATGGATATGATACCCTCTACCTTTATGTCCATTCATGCCCTCCCTTCTATATGCACATGTACCATATATCATTCTCTTCTGGGACTTTGATGGTGAGGAGAACAATTGAAGAAATCAGTATCTTCCCAGTGCAGAATATTTGGATTCTCCAGACATTCTCAACTGGTTATGAACTACATAGAATAGCATGAAATTAATTTCTTCTTACCAGTGTTAGACACTTAGTCTCCAAAACTGAGTCCTAGGGGTCATTGTCTTTGGAACATTCACCCCGACAGAGGAGGACATGATTACATTTTGGCCAGTGATTTCAGTTTAGTTGAGGAGATTGTTTGTTTTCTGTGTATGATGATGCTTTGTTGAAAATTGGTTCAAGTGAAAGGGTATGTGATCTGACACTTGTGAACCTTTACAGTGTATTTTGTAAATGCAGACTAACAATTTGGCAGACCCTGGTCATCTTATTTTGACTAGTTTGATGTACATAGGTAGAAGACCTTTGGAATTTAGTGTCAAACAGTATCTTAATTTTATCAGTAATTGAGGGGAGATTAAAAAGAAATTTCTGTGTAAATTTGTGAAGTTCAGTGATTCCAGCATTTTTTTTTTTCAAAAATATTTTCTGGACAGTAGTGCAAGTTTCATTTTGTTAGAGCAGGTGTTTTTTAAGGGTCTGTAGGGGGCCCAATTTCCAATGCTGAAAAGCAGGTATTTTTCCCAATTTTTGCTTTAAAATTCCCAAACAATGACAAAATGTCAAAGCAGGATAGCTTTATTTGTCATAACTCTCCTTCACAGGCGGCCCACAGATTACAATTTTTGCCTCAAAATTGTTAAGTAAGGCTATTTTTATTATCAAATTGAAAGCTAAAAGGAGTCCAATTTATACCTGCTTTATGCACTGATTTGGTCTTTTTCAGTACTTATTTGTATGAAACATTTTTCCCAATTTTTAGCAAATGTTGATATTTTTTTCCCAATCAGAAGGGCCCAGGCCCTTGAATTTAAAACCAAAAAAAAACTCTGTTAAGAGACTTTCAGAACAGGAAGATGTAACTTACTTGTATTATAGAGCATTCTAGTCAAATATCATAATACATTATGTCAACATTTAAACTCATTAATAACTAATGAATTTAATAAAAGAATTTAAAGCATCAGTATATCCGTTGTTCTAACGAAATCTGCAGACTTTGAAGGGAGACAACTTACTTTCCTTTATACTGTTCACATCAATTACAGATGATAAAACCATATCAGTGAAAAATGCATAAATTGAATGTAAAATCTCATCAAGCGATAGATTGAAGACTGTGTTTAGAAGACTAATGCAGGAGGTATTTGACCTGTGATTTGAATGGAGACACAACTGTTTAATAAGTGGTGAGTGGTTTATAGATATTTATGTGTGTGATCGACTCATTGGGGACCTGGAGGATTAATTGGATTAGTCTACCTGTTTACCTGATACAGTCCTAGTACACAAGCATAGTGAACGCTGAGTAAGGAAAATGACCTCACCTACACTGAATCTCGTTAAAGTTTACGGTTTATGAGTAATTTAATTCACTACCTTGTTTGGCAGTACTTGCAATATTTTTAGTGTGGTGTAGTTTGGAAAATTTGTGATTAGGTCTTATTAATTCATTTTGGAATGAATGTCTTTATAACTTTTAAGTAAATATATCCTTATATAAGATCAGGATAAATTGGAATTTAATCTGATAGGAGTATTTGCACTACAATGATCACTTTTGTTCAGAAAATCACCCTCTTGTTTAAATCCCCGGGAGAAATTTCCGTTGGTCAACATTGAGGGACACAGTGTCATTTACTCTAACTTTGTTCTGTTTGGTGATTGGAAAATTTTCTGAATGTGGAATTTGATAAAACCTGAAAACTGCCAAGAATAGAAACTGTTTTACAGGGTCTTTCTGGTATTACTTTTCTGTGTTCAGCTTGATTTCATTTTATAATTAATTACAAATTTTTCTTATTTAAATGATTGTTGACAGTAAAGAATGCAGATACCCTTGAAAATGATTATGGTAGGGGTTGTTTGACATAATCTTAATTGCTAATTTTAATTGAAATAAAGATTTTATATTGAAAAAGTCAAGGCCAAGAAATCACAACAGGTCATGGGCATACTGTTGTAGAGCATTTGTCAAATCAAATTCTTGCACAGGAATTCATCTCCTCTGGGTCATTGTGTTTTAGAAACTATTCTAACTTTACAACTAGATTTATTGTGCCTCTAGGAAAAGCCTCTGTCAGTTCTGAAAAGATAAAATTTATCACTGGTATGCTTTCCTCATCTAAAATTTTCTTATTCTGACTTCATAATTTCTATAAAAATGCATGTACTTATGTATTCATGTATGTCACATCTGTTTGGTCAAGGGGAAGACTTTTCACATGTGTCGTGCCATTTTTAGTTCTATATGCATATAATGCATATGTATAGTGAATTATAATCATTTTGACAATGCACTCGTGAATATTCAACTATTATAGCACTGGTTACCCAGATGAGGTGTCATCAAACATGCGATCAAGCAAACATGGTGTCAAATTCTTCAGATATTCTTGTTTTTATACACAAAGCAGTTGACATACAATGAATCATCTTAAATGACTAAAAATGTGTGGTTTTCAAATGAAATTTATGTATGGCATGTTATAAGTCAGGCCTATTTCATTTTCTCAGGATAGTCTGTGTTTGTAAATTGCACTGATCAGAATAGAAAAATGAGTACCATACTTCTCATTTAGCAAGAGGACATTTGCATTCTGGCATTTTTAGATTTATTGATGTTATAAGGTAGCTTATATGCTGGAAGGGAATTATTCAGTTTAACCTGTTGAAAGAAACTGCTTTCATGTTGAGCAATTACAGCAAATTATAGTCATTAATGTATTGAATGGAGATGTGACAATTGTTCCCATTGAATATCACAAAAACAGGTAGCAATGCAGAGAACCTTAATTTAAACATCATGCCTTAGACTGAGTTAAAGGGGCATAATTCTGCGAAGTTCTAAAACAGTTCATCTTTGATCTAAAGCCCCTGTCAGGCTAGGTTCCCCTCAGTTGGCACATCGTTTAAATTTCTGGGATTGCCATGGAATATCAGGAAAATTCAATGAAATTTTCAAAAGATGATGTAATGGCGTCATGACAGTGACCAAAGCGTTAACACAGAGCTCCCATAGCATGCTATGTTCCTTCAGAGTTCTAAATGAAGATTGACTGCACTCACGCTGAGTGCTCATGAAGTGCTAGGAGTTGTCACTTCATGTTCAAGGCATACACAATGCACTGACTGCGTGTATAAGACATTCTTTTGATGCAGTGACGTCTCGAAAGAACTCTGAGAGGTCTTTGTGCAATCCCCATTGACTATACTACTGCATCCAAACATTAATGCAATCATTGAATGCACCAATGCAGCTCTTATGACACTGTTTGAGACCTTTCTATGCTGTATGGTGACCCTATGACTTTTCTACTGCATGTCTATCAGAATGAGCCATGGCGCATACTTAATGCATGCTCAAAATTTGCACAATTGCATGGCATTCTGGGCAACCAAACTGCATCATGGAGATCCCACCAAGTGCACCTTGGTGTTCTGCTTTCATGGATGCCATGGGATGGAGGACGCAGCCTTGGTGTGACTTAAAGTTGCACAGCTGGAATAAAGTCAAAGTATACTGGTAAATTGTTTTGGTAGATGATCATGCTGTAGAACACAAAAATTACACCAAGAATCTTAATTTGAACAGATTGTATATTTTGGAATGCTTTTTTGGATTCTTGAAAATATTTAAATGGATATTCTTACATGGTATTTATAGGCATTCCTTATACTATTCTCAGGGTATTTCATTACCTTGTACATTATGTATGGTTGGTGATTTACAAAATGTTTGCTTGCTTTCTTGCATTGTATTTCATTGAAATAAACATCAGTCCCCTTTTCTTTTGGGATTTGTCAAACAACCCTCTACCAATATGATATGCATTTCATGTTCAGTTACCTGGTAATACAAGGCAAGACATTCTCCTGTATTTAGGTTTCTGTTCGTTTGCATATTACTGCATTCTTATATCACCACATTTCTATCAACGAAAAAAATCTATTGATGAGTGTAGCGTGCCAAAGTTAAACATGAATTTTTATTTTATGAAACTTGCAGTATATTTGAACGTCACTGATGTCTTGGGTAGCTCATGATAAATCCCTTGAAAAGGTCTCCTTAATTTGACTATGGCCATTTTTGCAAATGATTAAAACTACCTGCATTTTTATAAAAGATGTTATTGGAAGAAATAAATTGAAGAACATTTCATAGAAATACTCTATTCTTATACTTGTCAATTATTTATCATCTTCAGTGGTAGGTTTGCTGCTTTATTTTCAGTAATCTTTTCACCTGTTTTAGTGAAATGGATAATGTTGACCAGCTGACCTGTTATTACATATTATTGGAAGAGACACATATTTTGTATATTTCATCTAAACACTAAAACGTTATTCAAAAATATGGTATAGCCAGTCAGTGTCTTTCAGGAAACACACAATTAACATGCAGAGTGACTCATTTTAATTAATTAGACCAAGTAACAGCTACTGGTGTAAAGGATAATATAAGGTGATATATGAAAATGCCAAGTGTCTTCACTCAAAGAATGTGGTAGTGACCTAGTGCAGAGGGGTCCATGAATTATTGAATGGAATTTGTAACATGGATGATTCCCTATAGAGACAGATATACTGGTAGTGCTGGAATTATACACGGACTAACCAGGTATTATGTCTATAGCTTTAACTGGTAGAAAATGTGGGGCAAGTAAAGAAAAGATCTAATCTGCTTGAACTTTTGACAGATTTGTACAATAAGAGCTTTGTATTTTAGCCTAAGCTGAGTTTTACACATTGTATTTTCCTGAATTACTTCAAACGTGAACTTGAATAGTTTGGTAATATCATATGTTTACATTTTTGTTGTCAGTTCATCATTGGTTTGTTGATATTTTCCCTGACCAGAGGGAAATTCCGTTGCGTCCCTATGTAGGAAAGCGTTAGACTATGATTATCATTGTAATTATGTGTCATTGACCCCTAGGGGCACTTGAGGTCGCTGGATACAAATGAAGTACTAGAAGTGTGCCACAATGCAGGCGGTGCCAGTATATGTGGAGTACTTTGTTATTATGACTGACTATACAGTACCACCTGGAGTTGATACATAGTTATGTAGAAGATCAGAGCGTACATGTTGATGAGTTTACATCTTGTTGTGTAGTCAATTTAAAACTGATCTATATAAGTACTGATGACAATGTTGACCATTTACTTGTGAATAACTTGTAAATGAGTGCCATTTCCATCTTGTTCCTCTATATAACCCCGTAAAATCCTTCAAAGTCCTATTTTATTTACAATTTTTTTTTCAAAAATATAAAAATAAACTTCAGAGTTTAATTATTACTCTATAATGTATTCTCTTATTTCATAAGTTCTCCTGAAACAAGTTTATTTACGTGTTCACACTGTTGGATTTTGTGTTTACCTGAATATTTCTCCTAGGGAAAAAATTTAAAAATAAAATTAAGATGTCAGATTTTTCATGGATAAAATATGTTTCCTAAGGGCAAGAGACAACATTTAACAATCCATGTATTATTAAGATCAAGTAAATGAACTAAAAAAACATTGTAAAGATGATTAATACTATACTTGATATAAACACTGGTGTTAAAATATTTGACGGAAGGCTAATATAATGTCATGATAATTTATGAATTATATTCTGTTGCTTTTTAGATGAAATTATTTGTCAATATAAATTTAGTCAATCTTAATTTCAGTTATTTTTTCATTGTCGCAAGCCACGGGTTTTGTGTCCATTCTATTTCCACAAACATTTTTTGTGCTGAGACAAAAGTGTACATGTATAGCATTTAGATTCCAAAGTCATTATATCTTTTGAGGTATGTTTAGTTTTTAAAAAGAATACACAGCTTTTATAATATTTATTTACTTTTTTTTGTACTGAAGAAATGTTGCCATGGTATAGTTCATCTTAATATTCTGTGGAGTAAACAGGAAAGAATGTCATTATCATATTTTCAATTTTGATGGCCATTTTCTGTCATTGATTATAATCATTATTCAGAAACGGGGGCATCCCATAATTGACTGAATTAAATTTTAAGGTTGGTTGTATCCTAGGAATGCAGTTTTAACAAAAGAAAAAAGTTGTACATGGGACTTGATTTCAATTCATAGCTATAATGATGTTAAGAGATGCAGATCAAAGTCTCTGCTACCTGTAATGTGTGCATGCAAAGAGTAATTCATTTTTGAATTTATTAACTTGTTTGAATATGTATCTTAAGGAGGCTGGGGGTCAAAAAATTAACCACAAATTAACCACCAGATTTAACTTAATTTTTTAGATATGATATCTTAAGCTGTCAACTATCATTTGGCAAAGAAAAATTTCAAAAATTTTAGCTTTAAAATTTGATCATTTTCTATATCTTCATATGGATCTCTTCTTCTAAAGGAGATCAATATAGTCTAAAAATGGCCACAACCCCCAGCCTCTTTAATTCTTGTGCAGTAATGTCAAACATGGCACATACGGCCTTAAAGACTATAATAGGAATTTGTTGACTTTGAGAACAAACATATAAAAAAATATTACTTTGTGACAAAAAGTTGGCTTAAGTCCTCTTCTCCAATTATGCCTGTGTCAATTACAATATGACCTTAATTTTGTTAACTGGACCTTTGCAGAGTCGTGGTCTTGACACACCTTAAGGTCATCAATTACAACATCGACATACTCTAGACTAGCTGACACAAATTTACTATCTCATATTACCCAGTGATCATGACCTATAAGATATGACCTTGAATGAAAACCATGACACATTTGAAGGCCATTAAAAACCATATATTCTCAAGTTTCAATACATTTCATTTAAGATTGAGTTCTAGAATCATAACCAGGACAGGTCCATTTCACGTTTTCTTTGCTAAATGACCTTAAATTAGGTCATATGACACACCATTAGATTATGGGCAACAAAATTATAACTAAGGTTTAAACCCTTTCCATTCTTAATATTCAAAAATTAGGGTTCAGACTTGATTTTGTGACAGACAAACAGACAGACATGTAAAGACCAGAGGCAGCTATACAGACAACAGTGACAAAACCAAAATTTCCTCCATTAAGTGAGGGAAAGATTGCTTTTAGAGAGTATGATTTGTAGCTTTTGGAGGAACCTGCTCTGTCTGAGATATTGCAAAAAGTATTTTGGGATCCAAGGGATTATAGTCTTTTTAGTCAAAGGGGAGTGAAATACAACACAACACCAAGTTTGTTGTCATGTTAAATCGATCTGTAAAGTCTGTCCCACAGTACCAAATTCAGTGCATTTGCATTGTAACTAGGATATCTTGTATGTGTAATTGAATACTTTGGCTTTCAAAGTAGATTAGATAAATAAAGAATATTTTTTTCTGCAACTTTCTGCTTTGAAATTATTCCTAATTTTTAATAGCCCATTGTCACAGAACTGTTTTGTTATCTCGCTATTGAAGGTCTAAACTTAACTGATTTGTATGTACATGTGTATATGTTTCTGTTATTTCATATACAGTACTTTGGACCTGTAGTGTCTGAATGGATTAGCATAATCACTGGAATGCGGTCATGTCTCGCTATTCATTGGATAGAGCATACATTAAATCTCATGGTGTGTTAATACTATTACAGTGTCAACACTGTCAGTGCTACAAACCAGTTCCCTTTGAAATAATGTTAATAGAAGGAAATTTAGATGAATGCTTTTTTGCTCTAATAGTAATTAAGAAACTTTCACACACATATAACCTCTAATAGTTATATTTGCATCATTTAATATCCTTTGTTTTACTGACTCTTTATTTGGTCTGTTGTATTTTGATGGTCAGAGACTATTTCAGTTTACCATAAAACACCGACCAGTAATGAGATTTCCCTAATACCCACTGCACAGTTTGGCAGTTTGTCAATTTTCAGCATTTAATGCCTTTACTGTCTAGAGCCAGTGCAATATAAACAACAGGCAATTCTAGCTATATAACTTGATCTTTGGAGTTTACTTACATTACATTCTTGCACAGCTATATGGTCTTAAATGAACATTCATATTCTGAAATGAAATGCAAAAATAGGAAAAAGGTTTGCTTATGTGCATTTTTAAAGGGATTAAAAAAGAATGACAATAGAGATTTTTTTAAACAACTTTCTCCTTGTAGTCCATATTAATGCATTAAATGTACTTTCCTAAGATTAGAATAAAGAAAGACCATTAGATAATAAATAACTGGACATGAGAGGTGTAAATGAACACCCAAGCAAAGCAAAAATTAAGTCATTGACAAGACTACACAACTTGAGTCTTAAATGAATTGTGTGTCAATACAAAACTGATGTCTTTAAAAATATTTAAGGTTGTTAAATGTGGACAATTGAACTATTTGCCAGTTAAGGTGAAATATACATGTATTTACAAGAATTGAGTGGTTAATTACAATTATAAGATGATGTAGGAAAAACATGCTGTCAGTTTTGTTTACCTGCAGCCATTGAAGGTAGAAGGTGGAAAAAGTCTGAAATTAGCAACGGGGAAGTTTTTAAAACTGTGAAAAAAAATCCTAACTGTCAAAGATTATGCAAGGTCTTGCAGTAAAAAATATTTTTTGCTTGGATTTGAATGCATCATGATTGGTGGAATGTAAGTATTTAAATAGAGATCAAATGTGGTTTATTGTCCAACGTACACTAAAAGTAACCTGATTTATTATGATTTGTCAGAAAATTTTCTGGTTTGTGTTTTTATGGCGCACCGTGTAAATGATATGAGGCTACTTTAAAGTGACTTAAATTCCATCGCAGTTAGCTGAAATGTTTTTGCTGTTTTAAAAGAAAGTGAGAATCTGTACAGTTTTACAATTCAAGTTTTTTTTTTTTTTTTGGTTGGTTGGTTGAATCAATTTGCAGACAGGCTTATTTAAAAGTTAGAAAATTCTTTAGTTTTTCTGCCTTTAGCTGATGGTGTATGCTACAATACCAAATAATCTGTTTGTACTCTTAGAATACACATGGAACTTTATTTGGGAAATATATCATATGAAAGAGCATGTGGTAATTGTGCAGAAAAAAGTTTTCTCATTTTAAGCTTAGTCATAATGTAATAATTCCAACTATAGTGACTGATGCATTCTATTTTGTGCAGATGGATCTGAGACACAAATGATTAGATGTCGGTGATGGATGTACAGAATTTCGAGAAGGGTCGCATCAAGGCCCTTCAGGATGAGAGAGTCTATATACAGAAGAAAACCTTCACCAAATGGGCTAATGCCTTTCTGGAAAAGGTAAGGTTTTTGTGTTCCATTAGGGCTTAGATCATTGTTATGGCAAATCAAAGAACCATAGTCCTCATTGTCTTTGCCATTTATTTTTTGCTGCTGTGATCTTTGACCATAGGCTGCAAGGAAAAAATAAAGTGTCTTTGATCAGCCCATTGTAGAAAGCGTAGAGATCAGTTATTTTGAAACCCAAGACTTTGGTACAGGTATAAAGGATACTTAACGTTTAAAGTCATCGATAGGAGGCAAGGTTGCATGGGATATATTTCCAAGTGGATAGGATAATAATGGCATCAAGTGGATAGGATAATAATGGCAAAGCAGTGCTCAACAAAATGGGTTAACCAGGAGAGAATGATTGTGCAAGGGTTTTACATTATGTTTAAATTTTCATCCAACGACTATAAAAACAGTTTATAATGTATTTTTAAGAATTTAGGATGAATATTATATACATCAAAGCTTGAAGAAAAAAAATGTACAAAAGGTAACAGTCTGCTACTTACTGTCAAAAGTTTTCTTTTTTTTTGTACTGTAATGTCTGTTACAAAACATAAATGTATTGTAATTTAGTAGATTAGTAGATTATTTTTTTTAAAACTATGTATACATCATTTTCAACTTTTCTGTAAATTTTGAATGAGAAATATGATAAAAGTACAGAGTTCTCTGAGAGATCTCTCGATGTGAAAATAAACCAAAGCATCTGGCATTTTATTTTATGATGTGACTTTTTAGAGTGATCGAAGAAAGAAAAATGAAAATTACAAGGGAAAAATTTACAAGCCCCTCCAAGTTCATGGGTATACAATATATATTCAGCATTTATTCTACAGGGCTTTAATTCAGCAGTGTGACAAAAAATTTTGGATCAGAGCTCCGCTTAGATTGTAGAATTAAAAAGATCAACAAGTTACACTTGCTGACTTGGGATTTGTAGATATTCAGATACATACATGATGAATCTATCTCCTTTCTTTAGGGCTTTCTTTTTAGTGGGAAAATAGCTATGTACATTTTCAATTTGTTTAAAGAATTGCATGTCAGAAGATCATGTATATAATTGTATGAATAACCCTGGAAGGAGAAAGCATTTGACACAAAATTGTTCAGTGCTTTGTGTTTGTAGATGGGATTATGTGTCTACAAATGGTTAAAGCTATAATTACTTTAGGTATTTATGGATCTTTTATGAGTAGTTTTTACTAAATCTCCATTTATGGTATTTAGTGTGAAGATTGTAGTAAACATTTCTTGGTGTGCTAATTTAAGACTGTTTTCATCTAGTTTGAATATTAATTAAGTATTTATGGGGAGCTTGATAGATTTTAAGTATTTAGCAACACTGAACCTGATTGGATTAGTCTTGTTAATTTTAAGCTTTAATAAGCAGTGATTGAAAGTATGTATGATGTAAAACAATTATGAATAGATTGTGATATCCTACTGCTAAATAGTGACCACAGAAAAATGCCCTATATTTTGATCAATTCGAATGGAAATTTATTAACTTTGATTTTGTACTGACAAGACCAGATATTGTACATGAAATGAAAGATTTGAATGTTACAATGTTGAAAAATGAATCTATTGATATGAAAATAGTGTTGCTTTTACACATGTGTAAGGTCACTGGTTTATGCTTGCTATAAACAGCAATTAGAAACAACAGCATTTTTTGTTATACCTTTAAAAATAAGTTCCTATATAAATCTATGCTAAAAAAAACCCCTAGATTTCCCATGTTTTACTGAGCAGTCATAAAAAATCGATGTTTGACCACTTAGAGTAAGATATTTGACCTGTCGATGAGATATTGGACCTCTTACGTCACATTGTGGGTGGGATCAGCTAAATCTTATTTGCATTCGTTGGTGTTCAACAGTGACAGAATTGACCCGAGTTTTACCACATGGCGGGTAAAGGAAATTTACATCATGGAAGCCAGCACAAGATACATGTATATATATAAAAAAAAAAATATAAGGTATAAAAAACATTTATTGACTGTGATCTCAGGCAAAATGAGTTTTGTCGACCCCTCAAACCACACTGTTTGCCTTCGGCCTGATGGCCTCAGGCAAACAGTTTGGTTCTTGGGTCCGACAAAATGCATGTTGCCCTCGAACCCAGACAATAAATGTATAATACTGCTGTATATTATGGTTGCAAATTCTTAAAATTGATAATTTTGTGATACTGATCCTGATTCACTTTCAAACGGCTATTGATGCAGTATAGTTGAGTTATAGTGAAGCCCTATCTGTATCAGATATATGACAAGGAATGAAGTGTTGTTATGCAAGAGAACTGATAAGCTGTGCACTTTTATTTCTCCCATGGATCAAAGCCAATTGATTGTAATTGGTAGTTGATCTACTGATTGTTTTTCAGGTATTTGAAACACCTGTAAATAAAGCGTGCTACTATAACGCAGGTCTCCCTGCCTCATACCTAACGCACTAAGGAGATATGAAAAAGATGAATGGACGTCATTATGATTAGCTGTGGACCTTTTTTTTGTAAAAGTTTTTGATGGTGACCTGTCGCTTTTGATCCTGTTTATTTTGCAATTCTTGATCTGAAAGGACTTCCTTCATAGGTCGCAAGTCAGACATTCCATACATATTGTGCACATAACAATAGACAAGATTATAGTGTCACGGTGCGCTTGATAAATTTATGTGAAAGAATTTTAGTTCTCTTACTTTGATTGATAGTCACAAAATAAGGAAAAATGTGTTTATTTTAGCCAAAAGAGTGTGTAATATACCAAAACAGATTTTGATGAATCTCCAATTATGTAAATATATATTTTTTATTGACACTCAGATGTCAATCGACTTCTTGTTAACTAGTACCTCCGTGTTGGACAATGTAATACTACGTATCAAACATCCTTAGACAGACAGCTAAGGGTGTCCCTGGCATTATAATCAATGGCAGCTTTATGGGCTTTCCTATCACCAAATTAGGATAGATGGGGCTTTTATTCACCCAACTGACCATGGTTGACTGGTAACATGTCCAGTGAATGATTGTTATTGGTCTGTGTCACTTTCTAGTTAACTGGGCATTTCTAAATTGCCTATTTATAATTTGTTACTTTTTCTAAGAGGCAGCATAGATATATGTTCAATAAAATCTTGGTAAAATGTATATGTACTCATTGCATTTTTAGCCTTTGTATGTTTTTTTTATGGTAAATAGCTCATTTTGTAGTTATTAACTGCATAATTGCTATAAATTTTAATACCAGTAATTTACTGTGCTGCAATTTATTGAAACCAAGTTGTAAGAGTTGTGGTGCCAGATTTCTGTATCATGAAAACTATGTCCTTAATAATGTTGTGTAATGAAATTAACAATAATAGTACCCCATTCTAAGGAATGCTTAGGGGTTGTGGTCATTGACTGCATCTCTTCAGATAAAGCCCCAAAATTACACCTTGTTTGCCTTATCAGGGAAATCTACACGATTAGAAACAAAATCATGTGTTCATGCTCCACTAAGAATCAATTTAATCACGTGACCCCAATCTTCTGAGACCATCTCCATAATCGTAGGTTCTACTTAGGGACACCCTGTTCCAATGATAGCAAGGACTTCAAAAGAAAAACCAATACAACACTTGTAGAATGTAATTTGTAAGACTGCAAAAATTGCATTATTGCAAATACCTTTCCAGTTATAGAGAATTTACGGAAATGTGAGAGATTCATGAGAGATTTCACAGATTTGTGATGAAAGGCCCATATATATATACCCCTAAAAACTGGATGAATTATTTACAAGTGGATGTGAGCTAATCATTTTACTTGCTAAATATTAAAAATGTCTGCAGTTTTGTGTTGAATATTTTTAGATTGAACACACCCTTATTATATGAAATTTATTGAAGTATGACGATGAAGGTCATTTAAATTAAAAATAAGTTGAACCCAAAAAAAGGATGCATATAGGACAAAAAAACCTTGATTTTTTAAATACCTTAGATCTCTGATACAAAAATCTCTTTCTCAACGTAGGAATTTGACACACAATAAGAACTATAGTAAAAGAAATGTGTGATAGAGAGATTTAATCTGATTCTAATGATATTTCTTGGTTTCCTATTTTTTTTTATATATTTGAAAATGAATTAAGCTGTTTGAAAGAGATATGGAACTCCTTATTTTTCTTATCTTTCTGGTGTCTTTATTTATTTATTTTTTTAAAATTTAATTACATCCTTTTCAAACTGCTTTTGTAGTAGTCACACAAATCCATCAAGATTTGAATTTTAGTTCTTTTTCTCTTGCAGATGCAGCATCAAATGCATTTTGTATGTATATTCGAATGTTGCTTTTAACATACTTTAAACTCCTGTTTTGTAGGCCCGTCTTGAAATCAAAGACTTATTCACAGACTTAGCTGATGGCAAGATTTTGATGAAACTCCTGGAAATCATCTCTGGGGAACATCTTGGGAAACCAAACAAAGGGCTTATGAGAGTACAAAAAGTGGAAAATTTAAGCAGATGTTTGAAATTTTTAGCTACAAAGGTAAACTCAGCAGCATTAGATTTCAAAACTATAAATATTAAAGCAGCCAGCATTGGGACAAAAAGAAGAAACAAAAGTTAATATGCATTACATTTAATTGTTTATTAACATTGAAAAGTAAAAACAATTTAATGTATTGTGTGATTTAGAATAAGGAAATGTTGGGGATATGGGCTTTTGTTTTGGAATTGCGTATGTAATATGTTTACTGTATTATTTTACAGGTATATTTTGAGAACATTGGAGCTGAAGACATTGTAGATGGAAACCCTCGTCTCATTCTAGGTTTGATTTGGACCATTATTCTGAGGTTCCAGATCCAAGAGATCGAAATTGAAGTGGTACAAGAATTTTCTTCTTTGCAAAAAAAAAGTATTTATGGTTACCTGGATAATAAATCAAAACGTAACCTTTTCTTAGAATGCATAGACAGAAATATGCAATGATTATCTAATGATGTAGTTTTTTTTACTAAGAACAATGACACTTGTCAAACATGTGATTTTTCACCACTTAATTCTTCATGGACAAGGAAATGCACTTCATTAACCATAAAGATACAAAACAACTTTTACGTAGATTACTGTCAAACAGTTTCATTTCATGTTCAATTGCCCATACAGATTTAACCTTGAACACTAGTAAACAATCCCAATAGGGGCCAAAAGTATATTTTTAAAATTTATTGCTTGATTTTTGTTGGATTTTTTTTGTTTTTGACTAATTGATTTTGTAGGATGAAGAATCTAGTGAGAAAAAGTCAGCTAAAGATGCCCTCCTGCTTTGGTGTCAGAGGAAAACTGCAGGGTAAGAAAGAACAAAAGAAAGTAAGGGCAACAGAGTGCATCATTGTCTCACACCTTTGTAAGATAAATCATTCTCTGATGAACTACTATAAAGTATGTTAAAATTTCATAGATTTGTACCGATAAAAGTTCCTTAAAGAACAAGATCAGGGCTGGAGCCTGATTTAGTAGTGATCAGAGCAATTTCCTATGAGCAAGATTTACCTTTAAAGTTTTGTAATATATTGATCAATATATCCAGATTCCGTATAATAAATTTGCTGATAATACAGTTTATACAGATAAATAAAAGAAATCTGGGGATGATGTACATTACACATCGAACATGATTGAAGAGGTTTGAATTACATTATCAAATGAAGGAATGCTGTTAGATTTGCTAACTCAGGAATTGATTAATGGTGGCATAATGCACATGCGACATCTTGTAGTAATTGATTTGTAAGAAGACATCATAGACTGACAGTAGAGATTGTTTATAGACAATGGCTGCCATCAACATTGTGTATTCAGAAATTACAAGATGTTAAATGAAAATGACATTTTTTTCATGTTCTTAAGTCATGCTGGATTATTAAATGTGGTAGGGCTTTTTTAATGTCCCACAACTACATACTGAATAGGCTTTATGATTTGATATGATCAGCCTAGTAAATTAAAAGGATTTTGATTAGAATGACATCCTTTCTTTTTAACAAACAACTACTGCTGATATGGTGTTCTGTGCTTTAGAGTATAAGAAAGGTTAAACATGAAGTAAATAATTCAGAGCTGAATGAACGTGGACACCCCCCCCCCCCCCTTTTCCAAAAAAGTGAAAATGACTAAATTATAAGACTTTAAGGGTACAGAATAGTGCTGTTGAGGATTGGAAACAGGGACTTTTTTTTAAACATTCCTCAATTTCATCACTGTTTCTAAGGGTCTCTGTTTCCTTGTTTACATTTTATGAAATGTGGTACTAGCAGGGAGAAGGACCCAAAGTTAATCTTTGTTTTCTGGAGAGATGAGACAGAAATTTGTCAAAGTAATTTAATGCAGCAGGGAGGCTTAGGGAGAACAAAGCTATAGTATTTGTTATTGTCACATCAATTTCATTGAATTCCAATAATATAACATCTCATTCTGATTAAGCCCCTATTTGATGGATTGGGGATCTGGCATCTTTGGGGATCTTTATCTGATGGATTTTGTTCTACCTTCCTGATATTTTGATGGGACACTTTATGACGATTGATGGAGACTTCTTTATAGGCAATTTTACAATTTTTGGGTATTGAATCCTTTTTTATTTTTTAGAAATTAATGTAAATTCTATTCATTTCAAACTCTTAATGATTTTTTTCTGTTTTGAATCAATTTTGGCATTGACACTTTATGGTAATAGAACTCTTGTATTTCCCCAGACAAAATGTTTAAGTACTGTCTGCTAATTAAACAAAAAATAAGTCATTTATAAATTAAATATACGCATTTACCAAAAAAAGTTGCTAGTAATAATTTCCTTGAGAATTATTCAAGATGTTGTGTTGATGTATATATTAATGCCATGAACCAAAGGGACTTTTCACAAAGATACTAAGTATCTTGACCTGTAAAAATTATTGTTATAAAATGTTTTGTACAGTTGGTGTGGACATAGATTATTTTATATATTTATATATCACAGTTGATTATTAAAAGTTATAAGTCAAGGTTTCTAGAGTACAGTGGTGATGTGTTGCATTTCCATGTGTGCACAATTTGTCTTTGTTTCTGATAAAGAGATTCACTGTTTATATGAAGTAGTAAGTATGGATGAAATGTGTACATATTTGATAGAGATACTTGTTCAAAACTAGAATTAGTTACAATGCACAAACTGCCAAACATAATTTATGTTTTATATTTTATGGAAGACACAAGTGCCTTTATAATGACTCATTTATATGAGAAAAAAAAAATTATGAAATTATTATAAATAGCAATGGAAAGTGACAAATCCTTGATTAACATTTTAAATGCTGAAATAGTAATATACAGAATTTCATTTATTTCTGAATTTTTTTTTTTGGATGATCCTAGTAAATTATTGGACCGTATACTTGCATGCTTTATTCCACAGGAAATCAGGTGTTAGCAGGTAGTGTAAGGCATTTGGATTTCACCCTTGAACTCTGTGCGTGTCATAGTCGCTACTAAAGATAATTTGTTTGGCTTGATGTTAAAATTCCATCTTACATGCACTCGGAGGTTTTTCTATTTCATAATTGTTCAGATAAATGAAAATTTTATCAGCAGCAAGACTATATTATATTCATGTATATGCAAACATAATCTGTAAGTTCAGAAACAAGAGACAAAGTACAAAATTTTTAGTGCTATTTTCTGAAGATATGAATTTTTTCATAGTTCACCATGCCACACACCTGCATTCATGTTTTTCACCTTTGTGTCCATGTCTGCATCCTGTCCAAACCACCCATAAAGATATATCCTGAATAGAAAATCTCAAGAATAAATTATGAGGAATAAAATATGGATCTTTTGTTTTTAATTAAATTATTGGAATTTTAAAAAATATATATATTTTTTAGGTATCCTGGAGTTCAGATCACAAATTTCACAGGCAGTTGGAGAAATGGACTGGGATTTAATGCTCTTATTCATGCTCATAGGTAACAAAGTCTTCCAGAGTTATCTTTCTTTGAATGCTTATAAAGAAATTTAGAATACAAGCTTGATAGAAAAAAAAGGTTTGAAATAATAGCAGAAAATTCTCCATAATGAAAACTATAAATCAAAAAAAAATAAATAAAGATCATTAACACTCGTGTTTGAAGATACTTTTTTCCTTGAATAGACCAGACCTGATAGATTACGATGCTTTACACCCTGATGATCACATTGGAAACCTTAATAATGCCTTTAACATAGCAGCCAATGAGCTAGGAATCCCTAAGATTCTGGATGCTGAAGGTATGATCATTTTGATGTGAAATAGAATACATAAAAGTACATACCTAACAGAGACGGAAGATGATTGATTGATTTAAAAAAAAAAAAAAAATAAAAAAAAAACATGTTCAGTGGTCCTAGTATGGAGGATGCATGATAGTTTGCATACTTCATTATATTTAGAAATGCATGAGGAATTTGATTTCAAATGTAACACATTTTTTCAGAATAAATATACTGGATTTTTTTTGTAGATGTGGATGTCAAGCGCCCAGATGAGAAATCCATTATTACTTATGTTGCCTCATATTATCATTATTTTGCCAAAATGAAGAGCGAAATGACTGGAGGAAAGAGAATAGCAAAGGCATGATGGGAAAATTTTGAATACTGTGAAATCATTAGATTTCGTGGTGGCTCAATATTCGTGGAATTCATGGGTACCCAGCGTCAGTGAATTCACATCCTCAATGTATTAATAATTGGGGTTTTAAAAGTCATCTTTCTTTTTATAGATATGAGTGAATGTACAAAACTACATCCCCTCAAACCTGTAAAAATTAGGCAATCCACGGAAATTTGCTGCTACAAATTTCATGGTTTCCATAGTATATTAAAATTTTTATTCTCTTTGCATAACCTCATTTCTTTGACCATAAATTGTCTAAGATATTTCCAAATCATTTCCAAAGGTTGCATGATGTTATTTATGATAGCTGAAGTCTGTTTTTCAAATCAAGTACATTTGAATTTCTCTATTTTTTTCTTTCTCTTCTTTTCTCATTTTTTTTTTTTTTTTGAAGTTGTTGATATTTTAGATTTCTTTTTTCTTCAAAATTTGGAAGTTTGATGAGCTCAGTTTTTATTTTGTTTTGACAGATTCTTGGACTGATGAAGGATGTTGAGAAGATGGTGGATGACTATGAGACCTTGACCTCTAGTCTGTTAGAATGGATACGGTACACCATCCAGCACCTGAATGACAGAAACTTCCCCAACTCCCTGGATGGAGTACAGAAGGAGCTGGGAAAATTCAAAACATACATAACTCGGGAAAAGCCACCAAAGTAAGCCAGTCAAAAGCCCACAAAACAATCATAACGTAGGAAAAACCACCAAAATAAGCCAGTCAAAAGCTCACGAGAAAAAGACCAAAGTAGCCAGTCAAAGGCTCACAAAACATTCATAACTCTTTAAAAAAAAACACCAAGTTTTAATTGTTAGAAATTGAAGCCATAATAAAAATTCTTGATATGTGGATAACTCGCTCTAATTGTACTACAGATACAGAGAGAGAGGAAACATAGAGGCCCAGTTTTTTAACATTCAAGCCAAACTGAAGGCTAATGGACAGAAACTGTACACTCCTCCGGAGGGCCAGCTGATACATGACATAGAGAGTGCATGGATTCGTCTGGAGAAAGCTGAGCATGAACGAGAGGTGGCACTCAGAGATGAAATGATCAGGTATTATCTCAAAAATGCCATATAAGTTAAATAAGTAGCGAGAGGCAAATTTAGTGTTTAAGCCGTAAAAATCAGTATAAAATTTTAGCAAGAAATAATTTTAGCGACTTGACAATATCTTGCAAGATCACCTTACCTCCTTATTGCTGAATGAATTGTGAATTGTGAGCAATTTCAACACCCTCCCCAATAATGCCAAAATTGAGTCCTGGCTAATAATTCTGCTTATACGGTATAACAAGAAATTCAACCAGAAAATGTTTGGGAACTGGAATTGAATTGTCTGTTCACTATAAACCTTTATGATAAAATTTTAATGATATATGATGTTTTTCTTTTCTTCAGACAAGAACGTCTTGAACAATTGGCTGAGAGATTTCAGAGAAAGGTTTGTCTAATATATTTTCAGTTATTTTTTCTTAATCTTCATGTAGAAATTTTTATTGAAGTTAAAATCATCTTACTAAATACAGCAATCTACATTTTTTTCTCTATCATATAATGCAGTCCTTAAACATATTCACAGATGATATATTTCATTGAAAATGAATATACCATTGCCAGCCTGTTCTTTTCATTAGATTTATAATTCAATGATTTGGAGATTGATACATTTAATTTACAATTTGTGACTCTGTAAATATACATGTACCTTACTTGAATTTAAGTATTTAGTCAGCTGTAATTACACTGGATGTGTGCTTTTCCTGATATAAAGATACATGTACTTCCACATGTAGGAAATAAATCCAGTTAAATGCATGATAAAATCAAACTGTTATGAAACCCTGCTATTTTTGAATTCCATGGGAAAATAATTGTTTAATTCCCACTGAGGTCCTTAAAGATCCTTAAAGATATACTTATTCTACATGTATTTTTAACCAGTTTTATCTATCTCTCTCTCTTCATCATCTCTCTGTAATGATAAATGTATTTATACATGACTGTAGATTATAACTTTTTATTTTGGGTTTTGATTTTAACTTTGGTTGAAATCTTGGATTAAGTAACTTTATGTCATTACTTTGTTAGGCTGAGATTCGGGAGTCCTGGCTCAATGACATGAGTATGATCTTGGAAGAGAATATTGTGGCTAACAACTCCGCTCAAGCAGAGGCAGCCATTAAAAAACATGAGGCTATCAGTGCGGAAATCCTGGCCAGGGTATACATTTTAAATCTTAGATAAAAATTTGTAATTGTCAGCCTGCTTTTCTTACATGCAAGTAAGTTAAGGCTAAATATGGACATTCTATGCATATAAGATGTTTGTTTATAATACAGGGAAGGCTTAAAGTCACTTACTTCTACATACTTAGTGCCCATGATGTGTTACAGCCAATACACATTATGACATCATATTATGACACATTGTCCTTTACATCTGAAAGAATAAACATCAAAGAAACAGCTTTGGCGCAATTAAATTTAATCCTATATAATTTTACAAAAACAAGATTTAATGAAACGAAGAATATTCCATAGATTGATGATATTGCTGCACAAATGTTGACAATTCAATGGGTAACGAAGGTACTTTTTATGGAGGTTAAGTTTAAAGACAGTAAAAGTACATGGTCCCCTGTAAGTTTCTAAAAATTCTGATTAAATGAAATATTGCATTAGATTTGTGCAGCAGTTTCATAAATCTAATGAATACTATGAAATCACCAATTTTCATGGGGAGTTAATTTTCTTTGTTTTCAAGGTATGAAGAGACTAACGAGTTTATGTCGGCCATGAATCGTAATTTTTCACATATATTACTATTCAAACCATGAAAATTTGACCCCACAAATATATGTGATTTTACAGTATTCTTTTGACAATGACCATTATAAAGATGTTATAATGCTGGGGGTGCTAAGCATGAATGAGAAAGCAAGTCTAAACCATCTCTGTGAAATAGACATCAACCATATAAGTTTTGCCAAAAAAAAATTCCTTGACTCACTTGCGCAGAGTAGAAAATAGAAAGTTCTGTGCCTGTACTTTAAGTTACAGAAGATGTACATTTTTCTGGGCGAGATTAAGTAACATATAAATTTTTCACGAAAGTTCGACACAGTTTACTTATACATGTAGTGCATTTATGACATACAATGGCAATCCAAGAAAGCATAATTTATTTCCACGGATTGAACAGAAATTGTGATTCTGTGGATGTATAACTTTGTGGAAAAAGTATGTTTAGAGAGAGTTCCATATGGTTGCCTCATCTGCATTTATGATTGCTGCCAAAATATATGTTCACATAGATAAAAACTGACAGTTATAATTCATAATTTAACCCATTTACATACAAATGTACTAATTTTACATATGATGAAATAATAACACATGATGTAGTTTAAGATACCAATGGGTGACTTAACTAATTTGAGTAAATAGATAGTTTGTTAAAATATTGATTGTCTTGATACAAAATGTATGTTGAATATTGCAGGAAGACAGATTCCAGTCATTAAACAGTTTGGCCAGAGAACTTGTGGAGGGAAACTATCATGCCAAAGATCAAGTTAAAGTCATGTAAGGATTTAGATATTAAATTATAAAACAGATGAACAGTATCGGGGTTGCAGCTTTTTTCTAAACCTTACATGGCAAACCATATAAAAGTTGTTTCAAAGACTCCCAAGTTTCATTCTTTTAAAAGTATTTCACTTCTTTCAAAAAAAAAAAATAATTCAAACATTTCCAAATTTGAATACGGTGGACTTTCATGAGGGTTAATTTTTGTTTGTCTGCTTTGAAGAGATCCACAAATTTATGTCCTCTACGAAATGTGAAAATTGTAATCAAGACAATGCAACACTTCTTCAGCCATGAAATTGGACCCCCAGCATTTTTTCCTCAAAACCATGAAAAATCTGACCCCACAAAACTAGATTTTACAGTTTTTAAACATTTCTGCCACTTCGCACAACCAATTAATGGTTTCCTTAATCCAAATGAACTGGCACATTTAGATGTCTTAAACCTCAAAGATTTAGATTTTAAACAACTTATTAAAGCTATTGTAATATATTTTTTTTACTGTAGAGATCAAACAATAATGAAGAAATGGCGAGAATTATTAGATAAATTGGAGGGGAGAAAAAACTTACTCTCTGGCTATAAGAACACAATGAATATGTTCAGAGAAATTGAGAACATTCAGGAGGAACTAACTGAAATTGAGGTAGGATTTTAACTTTTTTTTTTAATTTGCTAAGTATTTTCAAGTTTTCTCTCATTCATGTACTGATTTATTTAATTTCAGGTAAATGTTTTCTTGACCTAACCTTACTTTAATTAGATGTGTGCTTTTGTAAAGTCAGAAATCTGGGGCCCATTTTACAAAAGAACTTATGACTAAGACCAAAATTTAATTCTGCTCATAACTTTTTAATTTACATTATATTGAAAATGGTTGTAATCTTTCTAAAAGGAACATAGTAAGATAATTTTACGCTAGTAATTTTAAACAGAATCATCAACTTTGCGAAATTTTACAATCAACTTAAGTTTTTGGTCTTAGTTTTAAGTTCTTTTGTAAAACAGGCCCCGGCTCCATATTGCAAATTCATTATTGGAGATTGTCATTACAGTATATATACAGTAAAATTTGTCTAATCCAGACACCACTGGTTCTATAGAAATTTGCCAGATAAAACAACATCTCGGATTAGACAATATTTTAAACAATTGAATTTCCCTAATGACTAATTATTTCATCATAATAGGCAAGATTTCAGAATACATAACATCCAGATTAGACAAGTTATACTGTAGTGTGATATCTTGCTGTCAGGAGGAATGTCTAGTTTACCAATAAAAAGGAACTTTCACTAATTACAGTATACTTTTATGCATTTAAATGTATACCATTTCTTTGAAATTTTCTTTGTGTGTGTGTGTGTGGGTGTACTCTTCAGGAGAAAGATCTTACAAACAACAAAATCTTTACTTCAACAAACCCAAAATGGTCAAAAATATTGCCTTAGAGGGTTTATTTAAGTGTGATACATTTAGTGGAAAAAGGGATATTTAAGAGGCATGCTTCTGAATACCCAGAGTAGTGGCTCTGCTTTTTGGAACTGTCATAGATTATGTGGGTATTCTGAAATTTACCCCTCTCTCTTCCCATTAACTGTTTACATTGACATTTTTAAAATATGGCATCCATGCTATTTTACAGTCCAAATTGACAGTTAAAGACACAGGTAAACACCTGCAGGCTACTGAGGATTTCCTACAGCAGCATAGTTTACTGGAAACACAGCTAAAATCCCTGTCCAAGAGAGTCAGAAACCTCAATAGGAGGTCCAAACAGATAGAACCAAGCCACCAGGAGGGAGGAGTCCTAGAAAAGAGGCTAGAGGACCTCAATAAAGACCTTGATAGGTACCTCAAGCTGGGATAAAGTGAATTATTATTGAATTAGCATAGGCTATAAGGACTGATAGGATGATAAAATTAATGATATAAATGAGATAAATTCTTAAGGATTAAAGTATTTTAATGCTCTCCATATATAGAGAATAACTTTTGCTTCACACAGTAGAACGATTGTTTTATAGGGTGAATGGTAAGAGTGAAGACAGGAAGAAGGCCCTGGAGGTAGTGAAGAAGTATTACCAGTTCCTACAGGACGCCGAGGAGGAGGAGAGGTGGGCACAGGAGAGGATCGATCACTGTCGCTCCACCAATACTGGAAAAGACCTTAATGCTGCACTGATACTGCTCAAAAAGCATGAGGTGAGTAGAAATGCTAGCACCATGTTAGGTATTCATCTAATGTAAGGTAAAGTAATGCTACATAAGAATCATTAGTGATAAACAAATTTGTATTCATGTACATTTGATATTCTGTTTCACATTGCAGGCTTTAGAGGCAGAGATGCATGGCCGTTGGCCTCGTTGTGAAGCAATCTGTGCCACTGGCCAGGACCTGGTAAACAGTGGTCATGGGGCTCGTGCTGAAATTGGGACAAAAATTAATAACCTCATGGACAAGTGGAAATTACTACGAGAACTAGCAGCTCTGAGAAGGACCAAAATTGAAGATGGAATAGAAGCACATCAGGTCAGTCATGCTCATGCATTTGTATTTTCTTAATCATGGATGCTATTACTAATTTCAGTTTTTTTTTTAAATTTCATTTTTGGCTGTACTTTCTTATTTATATTTCACCTGACTAAATTGTATCCATCCTAACACTTGATTTTAGTACTATGCTGATGCCAATGAAGCTGAGCTTTGGATGAAGGAGAAAATGCCTCTGGTTACGAGTGATGACTATGGAAGGGACGAAATGGGGTCAAAGGTTTGTATTTTTCTATAAGAATAGATTGCACTTATTTCTATTTTTTTTTGGTTATAGAGATTCAAAGATACATGTATTATTCAGTTTTTTATTTGTAGTTGTTACATGCAACAATAAAAATTTAAAATATCTTTTAAAGTCCTTCAATCATAAATAAACTGTCAGAGAAACTGAATAAAAGGACCAGTAATTGGGTTAGTTTTTAGGTCTTAGCTAACCTTGCAGTAAAATGTCTTTGAGTATTCATGCTTTGTTTTTTTTTTTAAATGTGACCACACTTTCTCCCGAATTGAGGTATTAATAAAGAAAAATTGTGGTGGAATCATTATCATTTTTTATAACTCTCTTTTTACAATGTTCCTCAATTCTGAAAATCTATTTAGTTTCTAATTAAAGAATGTGTATAGCGTCCCACTTTTGTGCAATTTTCCCCAGCAAAACCATTGTCCTATGTATAATGTGTACCAAAAGAAGTGAAAAAAATCATTTGATGAGTTAAACAATTGGACATCTTAAACTTTTTAAACTTTCCTGTCATGATTAAATGCGATTTAGCTGTAATTTGACATGACAGAAATTACTCCCTAAACAAGTTTTGCTCTGGAAACAAAAGTAGTCATTTTTTGTCCAGTGTATGGTACTTTAGCCTCCCCCCATTTCTGCTTAAAAAATTCCTGAAAAGGTTCACATTGAACATAAAGTATTACTGAGCATAATATATTCTGTTAAGGGGTAATGTCAGATTTAATTTTATAAAGTTAGCATATAAAAATCTTGACTTGTATCCCTTGGAAAAGGTTAATGAATACTTTATTTTCTACCAGGCCTTGCTCTCAAGACATAATCGCTTGGAGGGAGAAATTCGCAGCTTCAGGACAGAGATCAAACGTTTGGAAGAATTGGCTCAGCTGATGACCAAGGCTGCTACAGAGCATAATGTATGTGATCTTTTTAGGATAAGTGTCTCTGTCTCTCTATTTCTCCATTATTATTTTTCCCACTAAAACTGGGGGTATATGGTGATTGGGGTGTCCAATCGTCCACACATCCTTCCGTGTGGACATCTATTATGCTTGGGGGTAGCCATCCCTTATAAGCCTATTTTACATTATATTGGAAAGATATTGGGGGTTTTCCATAGCAAAGTGGTGTCTGTATTCATGCCTTGTTGGTAATGAGCAAGAGCATGTAAATTAATAAAGGTAATAACAATGATCAACATTTTATTTTATTGAATTGTAAATACTTCAAAACCGAGCTACTTGTATGTCATCTTTAGTCAATTTCTTGTATTTATAATGTACTGATTCAAGTACTGCATACAGGGTTTTTTTTCCACCCCTTCACACTTGCAAACAATTTTGCCCCATTTTAAATCCTATCAGTCACAGTTCTGTTTAAGATATTATACTGTTTACTTGGAATCCGCTCTGTCTTAAATTCGCCCACTTGTGTCTAGAGCGAAAGGGGCTAAAATTAAACGGGGGCGAAAATTTGCCTGTATACAGTATGTCTGTTTGAGAAATGCTTCAGTATCAGTTCTTTTAACACAAGATTTCCCCAGAGAAATTTATGCCTCAAGAAAATGGAGACAAATCAGACGAGGAGCTTGTGGAGGAGGTGATTGAGGTTCCTCATGAGGTCGAGGTAGAGGAAATTCGGGAACGTGAGGTCATGCAGGATGTTGTGGAAACCCGCAAAATTCCACAGGTCAAGGCCATGTATGCCTACAAGGGACAGGGAATGAAGATAGAGAAAGCAGAGGTAGGTCATCTGTTTTCAAGCTAAAGGTTGATTTTAGTGTTGTGTTGCTTTGAAGTTCCCTGCAGTACAGAGTATATTTTCATTGCATGATGCTTAGATTAATTATAATCAAATGTCTCCCAAAACCAATAAGGCTTGGTTTTGCAAACATTTATGATCTATGTCATGCTGAAGGTCAATAACAGTATTTAGCTATCTGAATAGAGGGATCCATTGAGTATTTCTGATAACCCATGTCCATTGTCTGCTAGTCATTCTGTCTGTCTTTTAACTTTTTACATTTTGAATTTCTTCTCCAGAATCACTGGGCCAATTTTATCCTAACTTGGCTCGGGGTTTCCTTGAATAAAGGAATTTAAGTTTGTTCAAATGAAGGGCCATGTCCACTTTCAAGAAGGGAAAATAAATAGGGTAGATCATCTTCTTCTCAGGAAAGAGGAAAAGTATGAAAGCTTCCTGACATAATGTGGATCGAAGTCTGTTCAAATGGCACTCATGGAATGTATGGAATATATAGAGAAAAAAATGTTTAAAATCTTCTTTTCAAGAACACCATGGTCTTAATATATATCATATTATTGTGCAAGCATCCCCAGATAGTGCAAATTCAAATTTATTCAAGCCACAGCATAGTAGTTAGGTGAGGCCACAAAAAATATTCACATGGACTATATAGGGAAAATCTTTAAAAAACCCTCTTCTCAAAACTAGCAGATATTGCAGATTCATATTGGTCAGATCATGACCCCTGGGGCTATGGTTGGGCTAAAATAGGTATTTAAAATTTATCATGTATGAATTTAAAAAAAATAAAATAGACAAGTAGGATGACACTTAATCATATTAATATGTAAACATTTCCACATCCTGTAGATTCATGTTTGTTCAAATTATGGACATGGGGGTGAGGATGAAGCTAAAATTGGGATGAAAGAAGAAGGTACAGTTTTGACTTCATTATGCCCTAAAAATTTAATTCTTCAAAAAGTTTTGAAACTGGATTAAATATTAGTAGAGTATATGAATGTGATAAATCAGGAAAGAATATGGCATGAAGGAGTACCATTCTGGAAATATGACGTCATTAATTTGATGCAATTCTCTGTTTTAAACAGAAAAAGCCTCAAAATGAACCATTTCAAGAGATATTTTCCTTAAGAAAATAATGTCCACAGCCATCGCCCACTATAATTTTCGGATATGTTGTGTAAAATTCTTTGAAAAATCACATATCTCAAAATCTTTGTGGGCGATACCTGTGGACAATATTATCTGAAAGAAATTTCATTGAAAATTGGTGTCTTCTGCAACTTTTTAAGAAAATACAGGAAAATGCACATGTTTATGACGTCACAATTAGCATTTAGAAGGTCAAGTGAGAAAAATGATTTGCAAGATCTTTCTGCATGGAATTTCAATGATTCAGAAAGCATGAATTTTAATTTTTTACATCACTTTCATTTTTAAGAAAAACACAGGGCAAGATTTGTATTGAAACCGTACCTTGTTCTTTTATATAGCACAAGTACATTGGGAAAAAAATCTTAAAAAAAAAATATCCAAAACAGCTAGCAATGTTAGGCCACAGGCAATAGACATCATAAAGTCAAACCTTATTATCTCAGACTTGATGGGACCCCCCAAAATTCAGATATCAGAGGGTTTTAAATACTGAAGGTAAAATACATCAGTGGAAAGTGGTTGGGACTTCTAAATGACTTCAACATATTATCCATGATATATATTTTTAATTTATAAAAAGAAAAATATAACCCCTCCCTAATGAATTGCCAGCTTAACATCACTGCCAGCTTGAATTTTTCTAGGATGGACAACTTCTTCTATCACCTGAAACTGTCTTGACTATATTTCCTGCCACCTTCTTTATATGAATGTTGCAAGACACATCAACACAATTAATAAAAATACCTCTTTTAATCTCTACTACTGCTTCAGAAATCAGTGAATCCTTAAAATGGGCTAGAAGTTTACATTCTTCTCAAAATTCTTATGGAAAACCCTTCTTTGGTTGCACAGCATTTTTCTTCACTGGGTAATACTTATAATAAATCCATATACATGTATATTGGCAAGTATCTGTGTGTTAGGCATATTGATATTAATGATATTCATAATACTCATGTATGTGGATTCAAGTTTGGTAAAGTCATAACCTCTATGGGATAGGGTGGGGCCACAGTATTGAGTCAACATATTTCTATAGAATATAGAGGAAGAAAATGCTTTATAGATAACAGGACAGCAGGACAAGGTGATTCAGGTGAGGGCTGTGGCCCTGTGGCCTCTATTTTATGTGTATTATCATACTAGGTGATTTTTATGCTCAGGTACTTGTTGGAGCCTTCACATAAATCAGTTGTTAATTATATTTTTTTAGTCTGTTTGTAATATCAACATGTGAGGGGAACTTTCCATGCCATTATTATGGAGTTCAGTGATTTTTCAAATGACAGTAGAAAAATGATATTTTTTGTTTCCTCCATTCATTCTCAAATCTTTCAAATATGTGTTTCTTGTGAATTATAAGACCTATAGGTCTAGAAAATGCTAATGAAGTAGATGAAAAAAATACTTCCTCTTAGTAGCTACCAGTGTGAAGCAAATTATGCAGGAAACAAAAGTAAGGGAGGGGTTAAATATATTGTCATCTGAGTAGAAATCTCGTCTCAAGGAAGAATTTATGACATGCAGGGCTTTGAATAGAAAGTTGCAATCTAATCCTATGTATTTGCATGAATGTTTCTTCCCTATTTGAAATTTTGAAAAGGACTTGACAAACCAAACCAATGATTTGTTTTATCTACTGTACAGTAGAACCATCATTTTGTGAACTACTTAGTTGCTACAATAAGTGTTTTGATTAAGTGGTGCACAAAAAGGAGTGCAAGCAAGTTTCCTTAAGATAATATATGCTCCACAATTCAGAAGGAAGGAATGCAAACTTTATTCTAAATTTATTTTTCATACATTTTATACTTCTTACTTTGATTAAGAGATCCATTGCTGAAATAGAATCATATGTAAATTCATTTCAATTGTATGGCTTTTCAGGGTTGTCCCAGAGACCTGGGGGCTGGGGAATTTTCCTGCCTATAATGACGTAATTCCCTGGTTACTCTGGTATTCTCCCTCATCATCCTGTTAATGGAGGAACCACAGACCCCCTTCTACTTTTTAATTCACCTGAGTCACTCAGATGACCTATTGCTGTGTGTTTTTGTCTGTTCATCGTTCATTACATTTGAACATTTTCAACTTCTTCTCTGGAACTGCTAAACCAATTTCAACCAATTTTGGCATATAGCATCTATGGGTGCTCCCTTTCTTTGAAAATCTTCTGCTCTTCTACTGGGTATTAAACAAAGTACATAGTTATGATGGGCAAGGATGCCTCTTCCGAAATTGTGAAATTCATGGCCCCAGGATAGGGAGTTCTGGTGAAAGAGGGACTCTATTGACTACATAGTGAAAAAGCATAATTTCTTTGAAAATATTCTTCTCTGCTCCTGGGTATCAAACAAATTTAACTAAGTATATAGTTTTGATGAGCAAGGGTGCCTCTTCCAAAATTGTGAATTTCATGGCCCCTGGGTCAGGGGTTCTGGTGTTAAGGCAGGACTCTATTGATTATATCGTGAATATGCATTAATTGTTTGAAAATCTTCTTCTCTGCTCCTGGGTATTATTTAACAAACTAAGTGTATGATTCTGATGAGCAAGGATGCCTCTTCTAAAATTTTTAAATTCATGGCCACGGGGTTGGGGGTTCTCGTGAAATGAAGGAGGAGGGGGGTTCTATGATTATATAGTGAGAAAGCATAATTTTCTTGAAAATATTCTTTTTAGCTCCTGGTTATAAAGACTGGTAAAGAAACTAAGTGTATAGTTATGATGAGCAAGAATGCCTCTTCCAGAATTGTGAGTTTCATGGCCCCTGGGTCAGATGTTCTGGTGTAACGGTGGGGCACTATTGATAATATAGTGAAAATGCATTAATTCTATTGAATAATCAAGTCTGCTCCTTAGTATTGAGCAGTTAAACAAGTAAAGTGAAAATGCATAATGTCTGTTCAATAATCCTGTCTGCTCCTTAGAATTGAGCAGATAAACAAAGTTCATAGATATGATGGGCAAGGGTGCTTCTTCCAAATTTGTGAAATTCATGACCCTGGGTCATGTGTTCTGGTGTTAAAGTTGGACTATGTTGAATCTGTAGTGAAATTGCATTATTTCTTTGAAAATCTTCTCTGCTCCTGGACATATCGGAGGCAAACAGAGTAAAAGTTTTAATAAGCAAGGGTATTTTTACCAGATTTTTGAACATCTGGACCATTTGGTCAAGTTTTCTGGTCCTGGCCAGGGCTCTATTAATTTGTATTCTACTGAGAGAAGTTATTCCCCTTTGCCATTCACTTTTTGATGATTATAATCACTGTAAATAATGTTTTTGAAAGTTTAATAGAATAAGAGACTGTATTTGGCTGAATATAATACGCACTTTTTTCCTAAAATAATTTTCTGTGAGAAAGGGGTACGTATTTTACACCACAATGGGATTTTGATAGGTTTTTCTTTCAGGTGAAACACAGCTATCATACGCACATACCGTAGTATTACCTAGAGACTTAAGCAATTTCTTGCTGTTTATCGCCGTATTTAAAACTTCGGAAAGTTATTGTTGGAATGTAGGCTTGTTAAAATGTTATATTTATAACCTTTTGATAGTTAAATTAAATTAACAAGCAAGTTAAAACTAATTTGAGCTGCATGTTCATCGTGTCCGTGTAGGCCGCCATTAACGATGTTATTTATAGATGTTCACACATTCCTTTGCCATGTGCTTCCGTATTCATAATACACATGTACCTAATCAGTCAGACACTCGGTCAAAAAAGTAATAAGTCATTTTTTAATGAAATACAATAAAATAAAATTGTATTTTAGGTTTTAAATACCTCAGTGAAAATTCATTTCAACAT